ATCTTTGTCACCATACTCATCAGGCACATTGACTCTGCGAGCATACATTAATGAAAACGGCGCACTTAGTGTTTTTTGAGGAATATGTCTATTGATACACAGCTGAACAATCGGTAGATAGTGACACCAGTCATTGCTGTTCGCTCTCATCATTTTACGTACAGTATTCTCTGCAATTTTTACACTGGCTTCGGCAATACCATTTCCTTGTGGGTGATATGCTGTCGAATATCTTCGATCAATCCCAAGCTCTTTAGATAGGCTTGACATTAAAGAGTTTCTAAATTCCAGACCATTGTCACTTTGCATTACTTTGGGAAAACCATAATCTCCAAAAATCTTTATCAATGCTTTAGCTATTGTTGTTGAGTTCTTGTTTGGCAGTGGTCTCAAGATAATGTACTTGGAGCATACATCAACCAGAACTAACATGTACGTGTGTCCATCCTCTGATACAGGGAATTCACCGCATAAGTCAATTGCAATATGATCAAATGGTCGGAATGCTACAACATTAGTCAATGGGTGATAGCCTTTCTTGCTAATATTGTGCTTCTGACATTCAGGGCAAGAACGAATAATCTCTTTAGCCTCTTCATATATATTAGTCCAGTGTAAGCCTTGTGAATGAAGATCATTCACTATAGCTTGACTTCCAAAGTGACCAAACGAATGTGCTTCTTTTAGTAAGCCATTACGATTTTCTTCAGGAGGTGACATATAGTCGGACGACTCTGAAGCATTTTCGACGAGTTGCGTTGCAAGTACATTTAGCACTCTGTCTTTACTATATTTTTTCTTTTGAACAATAACTCTGTTTTTAGCTTGTAAGTCATTTGTTCTGATTTTTCTCAATCCATCATCCTCCACCAGCTTGTCACTATCCTCTGGAGGATACAAGCGGCTTAGCAAATCAGGTAGTTTATTCAACAAACCAGGAATATGGACCACTTTAAAATCAAAGTCAAGGAGTGTCTCAATCCAGCCAATCATCATCGGATTAGCGATTTTTTGAGTGTGGAGATAAATGAGTGCTCGATGATCAGTAAAAATTGTGAACTGTCGGCCCCACAGAAATGGACGGAATTTTTCAAGCGCCAAAACGACTGCATATAATTCTCTTTTAGTTGTGCTCCATCGTCGCTGCGATGGGCTTAAGGAAGTTGATACAAAGCTGATATATTTATCACGCCCTTGTTCATCTCGCTGAAACAATAAGCAAGCTGCTCCATAAAGGGATGCATCTGTGGCCACATACATTTCACGTGACATATCTGCGTAATGAAGAATTAAATCTTGGTGCAATATGTCTTTTAGTGCTTTAAAGCTTTTCGTCTGCTCATCTGTCCATTGACCAGACACATTCTTGGCATGACTCAAACGTGAAATAGGCTCAGCTACCTTCGAAATCATAGGAATATAATCTCTGAAGTAATTGATCAAACCCATGAATTGCTGAATCTGTTTCGCAGTTGTAGGAATAGGCCATTTGTCAACATTTGTCAACTTTCGCTTATCAACCTTGGTGCCTGTCTCATTGACGACAAAACCAAGCAATCTCACTGAATGTTGAAACCAGACACACTTTTCCGAGTTCAGAATCAACTTCGCGGATGACAATTTTTCAATAACTAATTTTACGTCTTTGACATGCTGTTCAAATGTTTCACTGGCAACAATACAATCATCAACAAAATTCTGTACACAGTCAATCTTATCAAATAAAGTAGCCATGACATGTTGAAATTGTGAAGTAAGCATCTTCAAGCCAAAACAGCCTTTAATAAAGCTATACTGTTGCCCATCTAAGTGAGTGAATGTCAGTTTGTGTACATCCTCAGGTGCAACTTTGAAACGATGATACGCATTGGATAAGTCGAGTGTGGTAAAGAATTTCTTTCCACTTAAGTTTTGAAATATTGTTTGAATTTTTGGAATTGGATAATTGAATGTGGGAGGTAGGATCTGATTTAACAATCGCACATCTAAACACACTCTATGACTGACAATCTCACCAGCTTTGTTTCTCTTTGGAACAAGCAACATTGGACTGTTGAAGGAAGTGTTGGTCTTGGACTTGACAATAGTTCCTGTCTCAAGCCATTCTTTTACTTGCTTGTCAAGTGTTGGTCTTAGAGCGTGCGGTATAGGATACTGCCGTCTGTAAGCCGTCGCACCTTCCTTAGTAGGTAAACGAATAATAGATTCTGATAAAGGACAATATGACTCAACGGGAATATTCTTATTTTCCTCCAGTGATGCTTTAATAGAGCTCATAAATTCTGCTCGTTGCTGTGCTGTGCCAGCTGGCGAATTATCAGGTTCAAACTTTTTCTCTTTATCAATATTTAGATTTTCATAAATGGCGGCATAGTCTTTTGCATTATCTGAATGGACATATTCTCCTTCGATATCATATGCAACATTAATTAATCCAATATTCATCTTTGCCAAAATATCTCTTCCAAGGAGGATATCAAAATTAAAACCCGTATTAAACTCTAACACCTCTGGTGCATGCTTAAAGGTAATGCCATTTATATATTTAAAATTTAAAGGATCAGTTTTTCCTAATCTCTTTGTACTACTATTCTTAGACAGAAAATTAAAGGAACCAATTGAAGAATTTATTTTTGTTATTTGTAAATTGTTATTTAAACATTTCAAATTTATAAACGTGCGGGAACTGCCTGTATCGATCATCCCGATTAACTTCTGGTTCTCTATTATGATTGGAGTTACAAGATTAAACGCATCATTAGCTTTAATTCTTCTCTCAATTCTGTCAAGTAGGTACTTACATTCAAATGATATTTCCTCCATGTCTTCATCTATCCTGTCCTGGATCGTCTTGAGCGTCTGCTCAGACTTATCCTTTGCGGGAGACTGGGATACCATGAGAATTGGCTCATTGTTCTTGCTTTTGCAGACATGACCATGGTAGTAGTTTTCACCACAACGTCTGCAAGGATTGCGACTGTTGGAACTACTGGCTTTGTTCTTGCGGTTGATCAAGGTAAAACACTTGCTGGACTCATGGGTCGGGTTTTTTCCATGGTGCGAGCAGAAAAATGTCTTCTCATGCTTGGTTATCTTGTTGGAGTGGTGAAGCTTCTTTCTGGGATGTTCCTCGTTATTCTTCTCAGGTTGCCCACGGGAACCAGGAATCAATCGGGTCGCCTCAGCATAGAGCCTGTTGTCATCCCCAAGGATGTCTCTGCCGATCTGCGTGATCTGCTCTACAGTCCAATCACGCTTGGACTCCCCATTGGGACCAGAGCGGGCCATGGTAACTCTTACCAGTGTTTGCACTGATAAGGTCAGCGAGGCAAGGAAGCGATCAGCGATGCGAGCATCGTCTTTGGGTAAACCAGCATTGTAAACCGCACGGAGGAACTTCTTCGAGTAATCACCGATGGACTCAGTGTTCTTCATCATCATTGTAAAGACCTGGTCTGTGAATCGCCGAGACACCAAGCTGGAACCATGTCTTTTGTTGAAGCATGATTTCGCCGCCTTCCAATCAATACACTTCTTAAGATCCATCTCTACCCATCCGTCATCAGTGTGAGGCAGGCAAAGTGGGAGGAATTTCTTCCAAACTCTCTCGATGTCCAAGGAAGAAGACTCGATCACATTCTTGAAGGTACGTAGGAAATGTCCAACTGATTCAAAAACCTCTTCATTTGGGAAGGGCTTAATAATACTGGAGGCCAATTGGAATTTGGGAAGATCTCTTCTGTTGAGAGTCAACCCTCCTTCACGGCCAGCTCTCTCTGTGTTTGTACCAGGAGAGGCAAGCATCTCGCTGCACTTTTCAAGGCTAGTGATTGCCAATCTTGTGCGCTCGATCCTGCGGAGTGCATCATCAGCTGCTTGCTCATTGTTTGCTACATGAGCAGCGCTGAAGGCCTCGATGTGGTTGCCCAATTCAGCCTTGAGAACGGCCACACAGGAGGAAGCAGTTGCTACTTCTCTACCAACGGGAGGGGAACCAGAACCAGAAACGGAACCAAAACCAGGGGCAGCATCCGGAAAGAGGACGGGCTCACTCAAGTCAGAGAATAATTCATCCGCAGACATGGGGGACAAGGTAGCCTCCTCAGGAACAGGGGTCAAACCAGCGGGAAACAAGTCAGCAGGAGAGTTCATTGTAGTTCACGAAAAAAAATGTTGTGGGGAGAAAATAAAGCAAAATATAATATAGACGAAAGAATTCGTGAGAACTTGTGTAGGTTGTTTATTTCAAAAGAAAAGTAAAGAAATATAAAATTCGATTGTCTTTCTACACGGAACTATCTACTGATATTTATATGTTTTTCTAATTTGTAATTCAGTGTGTGCTTAAGTAATCTTTATCACGATGAGTCATATTCCAGGAGTATTGTTCTTCTGGAAAGATCCGGAAAGACCAATTGATATGATACTTCTCCAGTCAGATCAGTCCAAGAGTTTTGGTAAAGAAGAGCATTTATGCTATTGGTAATATTTTAGTATTCCGACCCAGATACTCGGGTAATGTTTCATAATATTAGATAGTTGTAGTTGTAGTCTCTCAATTAAGTATTTGTATAATAAAAGAAATATGTAGATGAAATATAATGATGCCATATATATAATGTATATGTATTTGTATATCCCATGTCATGGTGATAATAATAAATAATCAATTATGTGTATGATGATCTGTGTATTAGATAATATCATAAAGGGAGATCCGTTTGACTGGAATAGCTGAGGATATTATTTTATCCTTCAGTCTTACTCTCAGATTCAGCAGTAATCAATACTCATTCACAACAGCGATAATAGTTTAAGTACTTCTTGAAGATGATTCAATGATGGATCTGACACATTGCTCTTATGTTTCAGATAGGACTTCATATTGGATAATCATTTATAATGATCTCTTTGACAGGTACTTATGTCTGGGTTCGTATATGATATTGGATATTAAAGTATCCCAAATACAACACTGTGTACTATAATAGCTTTTTGACATGGAGACTAGACGCAGAAAAAATTTGCGTGGACTCTACAGAGGAGATTTGAGATTATTAATTATGCACAACAAGAGAAAAATGAAAGAAGAGCTTGAGGAAAATAAAGACAAAAAGGTCAAAATGCTTGCTAATTTTGATTTCTTGGTTCCTGTTGCATCAGTTTTGCCTGTAACAGAAGCATTAACTGTATATAAGCAATTGAAAAATGAGGGATTTGAAGAGATTCATGAAGTTTATGAAAACATTTCTGAGATGATAAAGCCTCCAGTCAGTTCAGATAGTGAGTTATGCAAGTTTGCTTTGTTTGAAGTAAGTGAACACATTGTTGTGAAAGAGTATTTCCAACGCCTCTTGAACAATTGCAAAAAAATTGAGGCATCTGAAAAAGCAGCAGAGATTTTTTGGACAACATCTTCCAAGTACTGTGGAGAGACTGTTCGTGGTTGGGCCAAAGAATTTCTTCAGTTTGGCAAAGTTTCTGATCATCAACAGGGCAAGCATGCCAAGCGGTCTTCAATTGTAGACGATGAAGACCTTAAAAAGAAAGCAATTGTTTGGCTTTGTACTCAAAAAGCAGAAAGACGAACTGTTGTGAATTTGAAAAAGTATCTTGATGAAATGCTTTTTCCATCATGCCTTGGTGTAAAAGGCAACATAGCCAAAAGCACAGCATGAAAATGCATGAGAGCTTGGGGGTATGTCCACCACAAGAACAACCAGAATGTATATTACAATGGACACAAAAGACAAGACGTTGTTCAGTATCACCATGCTTGGGCAACGCGAATGATGGGATACAAACAATGTATGTCAGACTTTACTGGGGAAGATGAAAAAATTGAGGTGACCCTCTTCTTTTGGAGAACCAGAAGAACCTGGTTATGATGTCCCATGACAAGTCCATCTTTTATGCCCATAATGGAAAGGTGGATATGTGACTTGAGGAAGGTGAAAGCCACATCTGCAAAAAAGGTCAGGGAAGATCTCTGATGGTCAGCAAGTTCCAGTGTGCTTGTCATGGCACTATGCAAGTGAAGGGATGGGTCTCCTGCAGAATATTTAATGTTGGGGCAGCATATGATGGTTACTGAACAAGCAAAGACATGCTTGACTAGCTGAAGAACCATGCTATCCCTCTATTTGAAAGCTTGCACAAGGGATGCACCAGTGTCTTTATTTTCGACCAAAGCAGCAATCACAAAGTATATGCCACGGATGTCTTGGTTGCCACCCACATGATTCTAAAGCCAAAGGTCGTTTCTGAAAATGACAAGTTCGTTTTCAAAGATACAACGTTTTTGAAGGATGGACGTATCATCCCTCAATTGTTTTATGAGACAGTCTTTGAAGTTGGAAGGAAAAGAAAGGGGCCAGTGGAGAAGAGACAGTTTGTTGGCGTCCAGCAGATCCTTCAGAAGCATGGACTGTAGATGGAACTCGATCCATCCAATCTTTCTAGAAGATGAAGAATGAACTGCAATAAAGAAGAAGCAGAGAACCACTGTTGCTGTGCCTGTTACCTCTTGGCCTCTCAGCCCGACTTTTCTGGACAGAAGACAGCTATTTAAGAGGTGGTGGAAGAGGCAGATCACATATTTGAGCTGTACCCCAAGTTCCATTGTGAATGCAATTGGATCGAGTATTACTAGGGTGCAGCCACACGTGTGGCTTGCCTAAACTGCGATTATTCTTTCAAGTCATTAGAAAAGAATCTCACGTCTTTCTTGGACAGTGCCTCTCCTGTGGCTGGTTCTCCTTCCATGATCAGGAGATTTTATAAAAAGACTTGGAGATATATTGAAGCTTACAGCAAGTTTCTAGATGCTAAGAATGCTGATGCTGAGGTGAAGAAATTCACCTCAAGAATCAGTAAATCTCACCACAGCATTGGCATCCATGATTAAAAAAAAATTATAATTTATAATATAAAATGCTGTGCCTATGTATAAGTTTCAATATTTCAGTTTTTTTCAAAAACTAGCGGACATTTAATACTGGATTTTGTGATCGGTGTTTTAAATGAAAAAATTGATACAAATCCTAAAATTCTTGATTTTAATAAAATATACTATAGTGTACAAGATATCCTTTAGCTTCCGTGGTTTTAATGAGTTCAGTATCTACATCCTGACAAGTGAAAGCAGTAGCACAAACAAAAGCAGCCTTGATATTGTTGATATCATTCACATACAACTTGTAGCTAACATTATTCTCTTCATTGATTGCCTTTTGGATCTCACGAGTCTTAGTTTTGATTTCAACAAGCTTCATGATTTCTCTAGCATCATAGACAGTAATCTTTGACAAGCAACCTTTCAAGATAGATTTCATGGAGTCATCATCAAGAGAGTGACTGTAGTAACCTTCAATATCATTGGTAGCTTTCCAAAAAAGATATTCTTTAGCAGTCTTCTTGTATGATATTTTCAAGAGATAGAGACATCCAGTCTTTTTACTAGACAGACTTCTCTTGTGTTTGCTGTGTTCAATATTCCATGTGTTTTTATAATGACTGCCCAAGGCACACTTCAAATAAACTCAAATTGATTTACTATCTCTAGTTACAAGTGCAAAATTGTTGGCAAGTGCATATTGTTGCATCTTTGAAATTGCTATTCTCATATTACTTTAATCATTAACTCGTAAGACAGAAAGAGATTGTTGAACAGGATAATATTTCTTTCCATTAAAAAAACAGATTTCTTTATTGATAGGATTCATATTGAAGTGATTTCTAGAGAGTACTTATTAACATCATGATTTCGAATTGCTAATCTGCAATGAACAAAATAATATCTTTACTATCTCTGAAAAAAAATAATATTTTTAAGTGCAATTGATTAGTAGCTCTTATAAGATGAGTATAAAATAGAAAAAAAGGTTTTATATTTAAATATTGAGTTAAGAATTTCAGAACACATCGTTTTGCCCTGAAGGATTGGAGAAAAGATCTCAGATCTTGGACAAGTAGTCACAATAAATTAGTCTGGCAAAAAAAGGTAGTACCCTATTCTGAAAATGTTGTCCCCGTAAGATTGTTGTTGTTTATATTATCAACTTAAGTTCTTGAAGACAAATTTGATCACAGATATGAATAATTTTTATTAAGTGGAGAAAACTGATTACTTTTATAGACAATCTTGTAACAGAAATATTTCAAAAGAAAATGTTTTTTTGAAGAAGAAAGAAAATAAAGAGATACAATAAGTCATTGTTGAAAGAGTGAGACTAGTAATATGATAAACAAGAGTATAGTAAAATGAAAATAATGAAGTGAGAAACAATGGGTAAATGTTGAAATTGGATATTCAGCAAATAATAGAGGAAATGTAAAGAAGATGCTATCATATTTGAGATCAGCATAGAAAGGAGGTGAGAGCAGTAAAGGTGATAATAGTAAAGTAGAGTAATTGAGAGAAGATACACTATGAATGAAATTAATGTGGCAATACTACTAATTTGCATGAAATTTGGTGGCTGGCTACACTACACTAAAGCAGGGGAAATTAGTAGTAAATGAGCTATGCTTGCCACTAATCATAGTGATATTGCTACTAATTTACTGAATAGTAAGGCAGCATGCTTGATTGGCTTAGTTTCAAATATATTGGTAGTAAAAGTATGGTAGTAAATTCATATTTAGAAAAATTGGTGATAAAAACTTGGTAGTAAATCCATATATGGAAAAATTGGTGGTAAAATTGGTGGATTTTATTTTTATTCATATGCTTGCTGCGCAGTAGTATATATAATAGAAATATATAATAGGCTATACAATGTACTATATGATATACTATACGATGTATTATATGATGTACCATATAATGTACTGTGCAATGTCCTATACTATAGACTATATAATGAACTATACAATATAATATATGATATACTATGTCTTTTACATGACATATAATAATGCATATTCATATACAAGCTTAATAATAATACTAGCAATATATCTTGCACATATACTAACTTATATATTAGTTATATGAGTAATTCATACCTTTAGATATATCAGCTATGGATGGCGGGACTCTTCTTTATGAATTATAATTGTTGATGCTTTTCTATTAAAAGAACGTTCAAGCAATTCTGTTCCAGTGTTGTGTAAAGCTAAAGTAAAGAATACTATAAATATACGTATTTAAAAGTATTTTTTTTGTAATTACCTCAAGTATATTCATTAACAGCCTCAAGTAATTGTGATTAAAGACAAAGTCTACAAAAATAAGTTAATAAGCAAAGTAAATACACATAGTCTAGTAAGCTTACCCTTATAATTTGTTTGCATTTGAAGATTGTCTGGTAGCTACCATACTGCAGCACAAACCCCAAGTAATTAAATGCACTTACTCATTAATAGCTAGCCAGATTGTTTAGTATACTCTATACAATATCACTTTAGTAAGACTGTAACTTACATTGGCTGTATTTTGTGAAAGGAAGTCGAGAGTTTATTATATAGTAGCTGCTTGAAAAAAAAACTGCAAAAAAATGTGTTTTTCTAGTTGCATTAGTCTTTTTTTAAAAATCAAAACACAATTGTAGGGATTTTATATCAAAAGTGTCTTAAATTTTGAGTGATACATGTTGTTTGAATGTGATTACAGGAAAAGTAATAGAAGAAAGTAGAGGAAATGAGTCAATTTGTCATTGATTAAAAAAAGAGAGATTGTAAAGAGAATTTTTTGTTGCTGTTCTGGAAGACAGAAATAACAGAGAGTTCAAAAAATAAATAAATTTGATATCTCTGCATGTTTCTTCTTGGTGGTGAGGCTGCCACACTACTTTCTGCCTCACCAAGGCTACTTTTAAAAATATAGTTTAGTCAGTGTATTAAGTTTTACATTTGAACAATCTATACATACCTCAACTCTTCTTCTTGAACTTGTCTGCTTAACTTTGCTAACATATTTTTTAATAAAGAAAAGTATTAATGAAATATCTTGCATGACACTAAATTTAATATGTATGATTTGTCACTTCTCCATTTGGTTCAGCCTTCATCACTTCTTGAAGAAGAACAGCAACTTATTGAAATCTGAATTTGTGTAAAGCAAATTGGTATTTCAAAATTAACTCCTCAAGTCTCAAGGAGTAGTACAACTTTTGTTGACTACTCAATCTTCCTCAGTTCGTCTCTACAATGCCGTCTTCACACATAATACATTGGCATTGTCTTGTATACATGTGGAACTACAGTTGAATGAGCTTTTGCTCTTCTAAGAATATGCTGATATCTGTCTCCTGTTTCTTTTTCCACAGATAGTTGATCAGTACATATATCCTTGCAGTTGCACTTGGTATCTTATTTGTTCTTGTTGGGATAAAGTTAACACAAGCCTCTGTCATTGTAACAGGAATATGTCTCACTCCTCTTACAAGCAATAAAAAATAACTTTTTGTTTTTTTGATAATTAAAATATATTTTTATTTTATCAAATTAAAACAGGTAAAAATAAAATAGAGAGCAAGTCATGTAAATTAGATGTATAAAGTAGCTATAGAAATTTACCATCATAAAAAATAACTTCATGATATTCATTTACATAGAAAGGGAAAAATAAATGCAAAGTAAAAATTCGAGCAAAATAAAATATAAAAAAAAATCGATTTAAATCCTGCACTTTTGGTAAATTAGTGGGAAAGATAGTTGGTCTGCCACATTGATTAGTGGTATTGTCAAAATACAACAATCTTGACAATGAGACAAAAAAAAAGTTTTACGATTTCAAAAAAAAAATCAAATTGCTATACTCTCCATATGATATAAATGTAAAAAAAAGACGTTTCTATTATGTTATTTCGCTCTTAAATACAACTTTATCTTTTTTATCTTTTTTTAATATTTTTACCAAACTCTAGAACCAATTTGATTGGTTAATTAAAATAAATTAGTGGCATATCCACTACCATTAGTGGCAGCTACACCAATTTCATTCATAGTGATACAAGAAATAATAGAGCGAGATAAAACATTGAAAGCGGTCTTTGGTACACAGGTACAAGAAACGAATTGGGCATTTCATTATGAATACACTGCTTCTCTCATTCTTTGGCTCAGTCAGTCATTGCATCACAACTGTGTCAAACATGCCACTCTGGAGGCCATAATTTCAAACTTAATCTAAAAGTTTGAAGAATTGACAGCTAACTACTAATCTGTGCTGAAAATACTTAATGCACTAATGGTTTTGCAAGCAGCTGGAGCTGGCATAGCAATCTTTGAGTCAACTAGTAAGGACTCACTGATGGCATCAAAGTATGTCCCAAAAGCTTTGATGGTTGACACCAACAGTAGCATCTTCATCCTATGTGCTAACTGTAGCATCACCACCAACAGCAACAAAAACAATGAAAAGAGTGACCCACAAAACAAGACAGACAGCAATGTAGCAGCTGGCCAAATCTCATATGTCACACAAGCAAAGAAGAGCATAGATGCCAAGCAGACCAAGCAGAAAGTATAAATCCACAGAGTTCAGAGACAACAACTTCTCCAAAAACCAACTGGCCCATCTGAGTACGAATTTGTCTACTTCCTAGCCAAACGATACATTAAGTATCAAGAAATGAGAAAGATTCTCAGTTCCTTCAACATGCCCACTTCCTGCATTCTTGATATTCAATTCCCAGCCAGATGGACTGTTGCCCTTCTCATAATTGGGGAGTTTCATGAAGAACTCAGTGCACTGCTTGGAAAAGCCAAGGTTGTCCCGCTGGGAAACTTTAATCTGATCACATCAGACATAATCGCAGATCTCAAGTTGAAGGAAGAGGCGATCAAGGTTAGGGCAAGAAAAGCCCAGAACCTATTTGACACATGCCTGATCAAGGCAAGTCTCTGCATGTCAACATATCTTGGTCATAGTGACATCTGCCATTTCTCATCCAAAAGGGCTGTAGTAAAGATCTTGCAGACTGCAGTTTCTGGCTACCCGCAGAGCCAAAAAACTATCAGCACCACCACCTCCATAGCCCCAACCAACAACATGAATGGCATAGAATCCACCAAAATGTCAATCATCAGAACACATGAATAGACTGAAGATCAGCTTATTTAACATCAATAGACTATGCCCTAAATTTGTGAATGTGATAGATGTTTGTGAGACAAATGATATTGATATTTGTTTTTACAGAGACTTTCTTGCCTGAGAGAGCCCCTACTCTTCAGTGCCCTTGGACTCAGATACACAACTTTGTTATTCCAACAATGTCACCAAAGTCAGTAGACAACATCTTGCTACTTATAAGGTTCACCGCCAGAGATGTTTATTATCATTTTGGGTGAAAATTGGCACCTAAGCAATATGATTGGCTTAGAGGCCAAATATTATAATTTGTTTTCATACTTAATTTTTTTCATCCGAATAAAGGATAAAATTAAGTTCAGTACTACTTGTGGGCTTTTAAAGTAAGAAAAAAAACTGTTAGGGAAGTCAGAAAGTGTTCAAGTGAGACAAAGGATTTATTAAGGAAAGTTGGGGGTTGGTTTGAGTAACCAAAAAATGACTTCACAGAAATTACGCAAAAAAATTGATGTTGAGAAGAAGAAAACAGAAGGTTCAAATAATAATTATAATAATAATAAAGAAGTAGCATCATTTTATTCATCAAAAAGAATATTATTGAAAATGAACCAGTAGGAACCGAACTTGCTCAAATTTACAATGTAAAATAGGTTGTGGAAAATGTGCAAATCTGACTTACAAACGAGATTCATGTTAGCAACATCAGAATGCTCACCTGTCATTACAGCCTTGGCATAGTTATTGTTTCTGACATTATCCGTACGAGGAACAATGCTAAGAAACTTAACAACAGAGCCTGAGACAAGTCCTATACGAGGGCGAGAGATTGGATCATCTTTAAAAACAAACGCGCCAAAACTGTTGTTTTGGACGGCATCATCTTCAATATCTCTAGTGTCATTGTTGTCCTTTAGCTCTCTTGAGCCGCCAAAGAAGGTGTAATAGAACAAAGATTTATTGTTGTCCTTAATGAACCTCTCTATTCCAGTTCCAGACTTCTCTCAATTGCCAGAGCTATTAATCCACAACCCGCTGTCAATTACATGTTGCAATGCTACCTGCTTTGCAAACTTTAGGCAAACATCCCTGGAAGTGTTTTGGCGATTCGTATGAAACAGATGTTCGCAAATGTGCTTATTGAACTGTTTGCCCTTTTCTGTTTCATAATTGAGAGCTGGGCCAAAACGAATTATATTTTCCTTGAGATGTGTCAAGTAATGAACTTTCAGCTTGGTGCAATATGCCTTGTGGAGCTCATTCTTGGTTCCTTTATCATAGTCAAATAATGCTCTGATCAAGCACTTCACTGCATTATCTACTCTGATAATATAGTTATCAAAGTCTGATGTCACCTAACGAATGAATACCAGAGAACACAATCGGCCAAGTTCAACAAAGCATAGTATTACAAGGTCTAGCTCATGATTTCCAGAGAATTCTGTAATCAGAATTACAGGAAGTATTTGAAGCAGAACCTTGAAATCTCTACTGACAAATGAACCACTATGTCTCAAGTTTTGGGTGAACTTTCTTGATAGACCAGTTGATCGCGTGTACAGTGGTCCCTCAATAATTTCAAGGTCTAAGGAAGGCCAGGCGTCTTGAAATTATTGAAGAGTGAAATTAATGAGTTCGGAGTATATATTTTCCGCCAAACTATGGGCGGAGTTTACATTATTCTTTAATAGAAAAAAAATATATCAAGTAATGATTCGATGTGCTTCAATCCTCTGTTTAAATTCATTCTAGTTAAATATAACCCCAGGCTGCATTACTGTTTTCTACCCCCCTGTCTCGTAACTAATTATTGTTTCAAATTCTTATTCAATCAAAAAATAACAGCTTTTTGGTATGCTTTTAGCTTATTATATAATGCTTATCTAATATCATTTTCAATTTTTTTTGATACTTTAATGAAATCTATCAAATCCAGAACTAAACAATAAAAATGGGCAAAAAAAACATTTCACTTAATATTGCAAATCACCTTGAGATTTGTGATATTAAAAAGAAAAAGCCATCTATGAGTAACCCCCAATTGGCTGAATGGGCAAAGGAAACCTTTGGCCTTCAAAAAGCTCCTGATGCTTCTACAATCTTGAAGATTTTGAAGAGAGGAGACCAGGGCTTGATAATGCAAGCCGACGTAAAAAACAGAAAGCATGTTAGAAAGGGGAAATGGCCTGTATGTAATATATCTCAACATTATGCATTTTTGCTCCATATAAAAAATAAAATTAACCTTATTATATTGTCACACAACTATAGCAAATTGAAGAAGCAGTGATTCTTTGGATCAACATTGCTGAAAATAATCAGATTCCCATCACTTGGGAATTGATTAAGACTAAAGCTACTATTTTTGCTGAAAGAATAGGCGTTAAAAACTTTAGTGCTTCTCAAGGCTGGATGGAGAAGTTTGGAAAGCGTCATTGCATTAAAATGAATCGAATTCATGGTGAGGCTGGTTCTACTGATATAGAATTGCTTCAGATTGACAAGGCTGCCATCAAAGAGAAGATAGAGGGATATAGTGCTCGTGACATATATAACTTTGATGAAACAGCACTCTTTTATGCTGCCCCACCAAGAACAACAATTTCTCACCAGAAATTTTCTGGTTGGAAAGATAACAAGAAGCGCCTGACTGTAGGTCTCTTGTGTAATGCGGACGGAACGGACAAGTAGTCCGATATACTGATGATTGGGCATGCAAGAAGACCAAACTGCTTCAACAAGAACAACAAGAAGCAAGAAGCAAGTGATCATGGATTCTCCATGTATCATTACAATAGCAATGCTTGGATGACAAGATCGATCTTTCATGTTTTTCTCTGTCGCTTTGATCATGCCATGAAAGCTCAAAAGCACAAAGTTCTTTTGATTCTCAACAATTTATCTGGTTATATAGTTGATTATACACCTACAAACATCGAGCTTCTTTTTTTGCCACCAAACACCACTTTCCACCTTCAGCCATTGAATGGTAATATTATTTGGGCATTCAAGGCTTATTTCAAGTGTAAGCAGTATGGCAAGGCATATCAATACATTGGCATGATTCAAAATGGCAATCAAGATAAAATTGGGCCAATTGATAAAATCTTTGAAATTGATCAATTGTGGGCCATGAAATGGATAAGAGAGGCTTGGGAATCTGTCTTGGCAAAGACTATTGAGAACTGCTGGAATGCAACAATCTTTTGCTTTATTGACGACGAAGATAGTGAAGGTAGTAGTAAAGCAATTTATTGGTCATAATAGTAGTATAATCTTTCAATTCCACTTTCTTAATATTCTAAATATAATTTATATATGTAAACCAGGCTATGATTCAGCAAAGTCTGGCTGAAAAGGTTCTCATCGAGGGTTTACAAGAAACCCTGGACAAGATTGCTGGATCAGGTCTTCTGTCTCTGGAAGATTGCCCAACAAATGAGTCTGATCCACTCTATAAGAGACAATGCACTCATAGAGTGGTCAATGAAAATGAGATTGCAGATATTGTGATGGAAGAATATGATGCCGACGAAAATGCAGCCATCAACAGCAATGAAGAAACTGCTGAAGTGGAATCAGCAGTTTCTTTTAAGAGAACTTATTCTGCTTCGGAAATGTTTGAGTGTGTTTGCACACTTTTGGATATCTTGGAAGATGAAGATATTGACAGAGACTTGGTCAGTAAGGTTGAAGGCCTTCGAAACAAGTTCCAGAAAACCACGAACTCAAAGCAAACTAAAGTCACCAGCTTCTTCAAGTCTTTTTAAAATTTATTCTTTTTCAAATAAAATAAAAACAATTTTCTATAAGAAATATATTTTTCTTCATTTAAAAATAGAAAAAAAAAGTTAGCAGCCAAGTACACTCAAAGCTTGATTTCGTAATATGTTTGTAAATAGTAACAATTGCAAATAACAATAAATAGTAATGACAGATAGAAATAATAAAATCTATAATAAAAACTTTTATAACAAAACAAATTAGAGTTATATTTATATTTTTCAAGTAAATAATTTTTACTAAACAATTAATAAATGAAACTTAATCAAAATATAGCACATATAGTTTTATTTTATTTCTGAAAAAAAAATGAAAAAAAAAATTTTAAAAAAAGTAAGCTAGATGACAACTTGATAACCCAGTGTTTGGCATGAAAACTTAACGCACTTGACATTGATATCAATTACAAAATCGTGAAAAGCTAGAATTAAAAAAAAATTAAACCAAACTGTAACTATATTGCTCTCGTCTGATTGGCTAATTTTTTTTTCTTTAAGGATTCAAGGCCAAAAAATTTTGTGAAAGTGAAATTAACAAGAATCGTGAAAGTTAAGCCCTATTTTTCGAGTTAGGTCTTCAGAGCCTTGAAATTATCGAAGCATGAAATTAAAGGGGCGTGAAATTATTGAGGGACCACTGTAATCTGTCAAGAATTCTGAAAGTCTTGCTATTGTGACTGTGTCATTCTTAAGCACGACCTTAACCAAGTCAATCACCATATACTTTGCAACACCAAAAAGTATCGTGTGGAGGATTTCCACTGGTGTATCCTTTTCTGAATCAAACGACTGCAATTCTAATAAGCAGCCAGTCAAATGATCTCTAAAGCTTATCTCGTTTGCAGGCGTGTTCATTCCAATTTTCGGAGCATTTGGGATCTCAGTGTCTCTGCCAGGTGACGAGTTTGCAAGAACATAGTGCTCTTGAGTTCGTCTCTCATGGCACTCACAGAAGTAGGACAAGTCCTTCACAAAGTCTTTTGCACGTCTAAGTTCGATGTAGCATCTTCTGCAAGGAAATGTGGTGGCCAGCCCAAGCAATCTGCAAAGTTCCAAATGACATGGCATGTCAGTCTCAATCCAAAGGATGGGAGCAACAACTGGAACATACTCATTGTCTTCAGTGGAGAACATTTTTACACCTTTCTCAAGTTTCTTAAAGTCATCAACGATTGCTGGCAGAAGAGACATACCATTTGCACCATCTTTCTAAGGGATTGTAGAAAGAAACTGGATGTTTGCTATTGAATTTCAATCCTTAAAAGGCAAGGCAGTGCATCTCATTAACCAGCTTTCAAACGGATTGTACTGCTTTGAACGATTTCTGGAAGTGTCATCTGTAAAAAGGATGATTGAAACAATCCTAACTTTGTAAAATACTGCATCGCAATCTACATTACTGGGCAAAACAGAAAGAGGCATAGGCTTCTTCATTGGATGAACTCCAAAAAGAAGAAAGTCATGAGCAGGACTCAATCTGGTAAGGCTACTTGAGATACTATAGTAGTGATCTCTTTCAACAGGAGTGGTGTCAACGTGAGAGATCTGCTCTACTCTAAGATCGGTAACAGCAACCTCAACGCCATAGCATATAATCGAAATCGCTCTGATCAGATACCCTCTCGCAAAAATGTTTTTATTTGCTGTGTGGAACGATTCAACCAAAAAGCGAATACTGCAATCGTTTGCCTTCAAGTAAATGATGTTTCCAAACCAGACATCTATACCATTTACAGTGTGCATAGGCTGCTGAAAGAGATGGTGGGTTCTCCACTTTTCACCTTGTTCCAAACAGATCGATTGGTTTGGGGTACAATCGGGCATGGACAAGATCAACTTGGATTTCTTTGGGTTTGCCATAAGAAATCTCAAGTGGTCGGACAGAAGGTTAATGTGGGCAAATGCGTTCCTGTTTGATTCAGGTACTGATATTCTTTGTGAAGGAAAGACAGGCATCTTGGACTTCTTTCTTGCCTGATAATTTAAAAGAGCATCCAAACGAGGTAACCTAAATGTTCTTCCTATGGGAGTTTCTTGCTGGATCTTAATGACCAAGTTCATCGCAAGCAGTATCTTCTTCAACATTTGCTAGGAGATCATGTCATTATCAACATCAATAAAAGCGAAAAGGATCATGGTTTGAAGATTGCGAAAAGGATAACAGCTTGTAGGGTCATTTACAGCGCCAATTGTCTCAAAGACTTCTTCCGGGATCTCAGAGTCATCATCAGTCATTGATACCTCATCAGCAGCAGCAGCAGAAGAAAACATGTCAGAGAACGCGTTGAAAACTGGATTACTGTTCATTTTAATATCAAAGAAGTTATTGACAATATCGTTTTCCTCGTCTACAATGTTGTCTTCTTCATCCCCAATACTAGAGGAGTCATCTTCATCACTCGAGTAATCAAATGCATTAACATCCGGAATAGTGTTCTTGACTATCAATTCGGCCTGCTCGGGTTTGTCGAGTACAGTATTGGTTGCTATTTGATTACTTATATGGTGAACCTTCGAATGTCTTTTCAGTAGCCAAGACTTTTCAAACTCTTTTTCGCATTCAGAGCAGGTAAAAACACCTGAATTGATGCTAAAGTTAAGTTCGCCTTGCCTTTTAGGGAGGCGAGTCTTAACGATTTTATATGTTTCTTGTCTTGTATTCTTTTGCATAATAGTAAATTGATTGTAAAAACAAAGGGGGGAAAATGACTTTGCGAAAATAATTGAATTTATAAAATGTGGAAAGATCGATATTTAATGTCAGCGGACCAATTAGAATTTTTTTTACTTCTTTTCTTTTAAGAAAATATCACATGTTTTTGTCTTCTTTTTCATTTTACTTTTCCACAAAATATTTATTATTTGCATGAGCTTCCATTTGTAAGATATTCCAGTATGCTTATAGTATTTATAGAAGTAGAATTTTGCTTAAAGACCGTAAGCTCAAAGGTATTTATGCTATCAAAGTTTTTTATGTCATTGTGTTTATTAATCATACAATTCTAGTTTATAAATTAGTTTTTCATCATCTCAGTAAATCAATAAAGAGGTAATAACTACATGTTCCTCTTACAAAGCAACAGAAGACTAACTATTTACTCCTCACTTGCAGAGATTTGGCTGCCTTTTATTGCAAATGCCTTAATAGAGTCAAAGGTAAAATTCTGTTAAATATATATAACTAAGTTTAATTACTAATTATTAGTTCTTCTGCTTTAGCTTTTCTCAAAATTCAAATCTTTATGCTCTTTGGGTTTATTGGAATTTCTGGCACCGGGTCTCTTGGATTAGCTAGACATAGTAGTTTGCAGCAAACCGATTGCATAATTTACAGGCATAAGTACAAACAGTTATACTACTAGTGTTTCTAGTGGTATGGATATACTGGTGTGCTACTGCCTGTGGATTTTATGGTCCAGTCAAGCTTTTTTTTAGCCTAATTTTTTTTGAAAATAAAAAATAAATTTTTTATAACCCAAAATTATTTGAAACAAATTAAAAATTTGAACCATTTTTGAAATTGTGCAGTACATTTTTTAATCGAAATCTATTGGCCGAGAGTAGTCCCCCCATCCCCCCACTTTTCAGTCCCCCAAAAAAATGAATTTCCTGTTATGGGCAAAATTCGCCCCATATATAAGAATCCTTTTAAGAAACAAGATTACACAAAAAAATCTGCTGTGGTGTTAGATTTTTCTCATCATGTACACCTCCTTCCAATCATTAGAGAGCTTGCTATCTGGCTTTAAATAATGTATATCAAAAGTAGCAAAATTGTTATATTGGTGTTTAAATTATTCATCAACTTAGAATAGGGAGACAATAGTTGTGATAAGAGAGAAAAAACAATCATAATAATCTTATTAACATACATTTTTAAGAATAATTGGTCAATACAATATTTATTTTAATATTTTCTTTATATATTATGTTTTATTTCTAAGATTTTACTAGTATTTAAGAAAATTTATGTTACATTTATTTGTATTTGAGCTTATTTTATTAAAATAAGTATATCAAAAGAATAATCTAATGTGTTTACTACGTCAATAATATGCTAAAGAAAACATATATGTAAGATTTGTTGTAAGAGTTTGCAGAGGTATGAAGAACATTTTAAATTATATAGCCAAATAACAGACACAGCTTAATAACAAGTTTATTCTTTTGATAATTGTATACGAGTTCTTTTGGACAGATACTCTGGACAAGCAGTCATGTAGAGATTTGGGTACTCTTATATTAGAGCAAGCTTATTTTTGTTAGTTTACTTTTTATATTTTTTCTTTGGCTTTACAGTGGTCCATTGATAATTTAATGCCCCTTTAATTTCATGCTTCAATAATTTCAAGGCTCTGAAGACATAACTTAAAAAATAGGGCTTAACTTTCATGATTCTCATTAATTTCACTTTCACAAAAATTTTTGGCCTTGAATTCTTAAGGAAAAAAAATTAGCCAATCATATGAGAGCAATATAGTTAAAGTTTGGTTTAAATTTTTTTTAATTCAAACTTTTTATGATTTTTTAATTGACATCAATGTCAAGTAAGTTAAGTTTTCATACCAAACACTGGGTTATTAAGTTGTCATCTAGCTTAATTTTTCTAAATTTTTTTTTTCATTTTTTTCAGAAATAAAATAAGACTATGTGTGCTATATTTTTATAAAGCTTCATTTATTAATTGTTTAGTAAAGATTATTCACTTGAAAAATATAAATATAATTCTAATTCGTTTTGTTTTTTATAAAAGTTTTTATTATGATGTATTTTCTTTTAAATCAGAAATTTTGGATTTAGGGCCAACTTTCTTATTTAAAACACCGATTGCAAAAAGCACTATTGAAAGACCGCTAGACTTTAAGAAAAAATCCAAAATATTGAAATTTATACATAGACATTGCATTTTATATTATAAATTATAAATTTTTATTTTTTTATTATTTTTAATCATGGATACCAATGCTGCAGTGAGATTTACTTATTCTTAAGATGAATTTCTTCACCTCAGCATCAGCATCCTTAGCATCCAAAAACTTGCTGTAAGCTTCAATATATCTCCAAGTCTTTTTATAAAATCTCTTGATCATGGAAGGAGAACCAGCCACAGGAGAGGCACTGTCCAAGAAAGACGTGAGATTCTTTTCTAATGACTTGAAAGAATAATCGCAGTTTAGGCAAGCCACACGTGTGGCTGCACCCTAGTAATACTCGATCCAATTGCATTCACAATGGAACTTGGGGTACAGCTCAAATATGTGATCTGCCTCTTCCACCACCTCTTAAATAGCTGTCTTCTGTCCAGAAAAGTCGGGCTGAGAGGTCAAGAGGTAACAGGCACAGCAACAGTGGTTCTCTGCTTCTTCTCTATTGCAGTTCATTCTTCATCTTCTAGAAAGATTGGATGGATCGAGTTCCATCTACAGTCCATGCTTCTGAAGGATCTGCTGGACGCCAACAAACTGTCTCTTCTCCACTGACCCCTTTCTTTTCCTTCCAACTTCAAAGACTGTCTCATAAAACAATTGAGGGATGATACATCCATCCTTCAAAAACGTTGTATCTTTGAAAACGAACTTGTCATTTTCAGAAACGACCTTTGGCTTTAGAATCATGTGGGTAGCAACCAAGACATCCGTGGCATATACTTTGTGATTGCTGCTTTGATCGAAAATAAAGACACCAGTGCATCCCTCATGCAAGCTTTTGAACAGAGGGATAGCATGGTTCTTCAGCTGGTCAAGCATGTCTTTGCTTGTCCAGTAACTTTCATACGCAGCACTAACACTAAAGATTCTACAGGAGACTTATCCCTACACTCGCATGGTGCCGTGGCAAGCACACTGGAGCTTGCTCACTATAAGAGCACAACCCTGACCCTTTTTACGAATATATCTTTCACCTTTCTCAAGCCACATGTCCACCTTTCCATCGTGGGCATAGAAGGTGGACTTGTCATGAGTTACCATCACTAGCTTCTTCTGGTTTTCTAAAAGAAGAGGTGATATCTCAATCTCTTCATTTTTGCCCATAAAGTCTGACATATACTCCTTGTATGTCATCATTCTTTTTGCTCATACATGACAATATTTGACAACATCAGCTCTCTCATGTCCATCAAAATAAATATCTTAATTATTCTTATGGTGGACATACCCCCATGCTCTCATACATTTCCACGCCGTACTAGTGGCAGTGTTTCCTTTTACATGCAGGCACGCAGGGAAAAGGGTCTTGTTAAGATACTTCTTCAGCTCAATGACTGTTCTTCTTTCTGGTTTCTGGGCACGGAGCCAAACCAGCATCTTTTTCTTTAGGTCTTTGTCATTAACAATATATGGGCGCTTAGTGTCTTTCCCTTGTTAGTGTTCTGAAATTCTTCCAAACTCAAGAAGTTCTTTTGCCCAAGCACAAACTGTTTCTCTACAGAACCTGGAAGGTTAGTTCTAAAGAATCTCTGCTGCTCTTTTAGATGCTTCAATCTTTTTAGTGTCATCCAAAAGTTATCTTATATAGTCTTTTACAGTGATATACTTGCTGGTTTTGAAATAGAAGGATTGGTTCATATCACTGTTTGAAACCAATTGAGAGTTTACTTTTTCAGAAAGTAACTCAAAAGTAGCACGAAGTTTTTTATTTATTTGATCCTTGTTTGGTTTTTGTACAACCAGAGGCTTGGCTACCAATACATCTGGTAGAGCAGGGACTGCAAAACCAAAATCAGCAAGTGTTCTGACCTTTTTGTCTTTGCTTGCTTTAAGTTCTTCCTTTGCTTTTCTCTTTTGTCTTTTCATTGAGGTTGCAGAGTTTCTTCTGTAAAGTGCTCACAAGTCTTTTCCTGCGTCAGGTATCCATATCAAAAAGCTTTTGTTACAACAGTCAATCATCATATCTATGTCCAAATTGAGAAGTTCCCAGTTGTTCTCCTCTACAAAATGTTCTTCTGAAAGTTCATTCTCTGCAGGTGTATTTTTGGTAACACTAGATATAACTGTGGATTCAATACAAAACTTTTCACCATTGATTTGAGTACACTTAAAAACAATTTTAGAGTGAGCACTTTTACAACCCATCTTATAATAAAGTTTGTTTTGGAAGAAGTAAAAGAAGTGCTTTGAGGGTAATCTTAAATCAAAACTAAGTCACATAAAAAATTATTGTTTCTATACTCTGTCGTGTTACACAATTTTACTATATTAGGGGATCGATTCTTGTAGTCTGCCATAAGAAATGAATAATCTAAGGCCAATATTTCTCTTTCTCAGTTATTAACTTCGAATACCGCTGTTGTGAATAAGTATTGATTACTGCTGAATCTGAGAGTAAGACTGAAGGATAAAATAATATCCTTAGCTATTCTAGTAAAACGGATCTCCCTTTATGATATTATCTAATACACAGATCATTATATACATAATTGATTATTTATTATTATTACTATAACATGAGATATACAAATTCATATACATTATATATATGGCACCATTATATTTTGTCTACATATTTCTTTTATTAGACAAATATTTAATTGAGAGATTACAACTACAACTATTTAATATTATGAAACATTATCTGAGTTTCTGAGTCAGAATAGTAAAATATTATCAATAGCATAAATGCTCTTCTTTACCAAAACTCTTGGACTGATCTGACTAGAGAAGTATCATATCAATTGGTCTTTCCAGATCTTTCCAGAAGAATAATACTTCTGGAAGATGACTCATTGTGATAAAGATTACTGTGGTGATCCAGACACTCTGATGTTAGATTTATCACATATAAAAGCATATTCATATTGGGATAGCATAGTAGCTATCATCTTGTCAGTATAAAATATATATAAACAATTAAGTAATTAGCTCAATAATTATTATAGTTAGTACTGTAGATAATATCTTAAAGATTGTTAAGATAATTATATCATACTGCCAGGTAAACTGTGTCAGATCAATATAGAGCTAATTTAGTAGGAAGTCCTAAAGCTCTAGTATAAAAGAGAAAAGAATAGCTAAGAGCTAAAGAAGTACGATTTATGACTTGATGTCATAATTGTAACACCAACACTAGTTAAGCAGTAAATACACTCTAATAACCAAATATAGTAAAGGAAGAAAGCCTTAAAAAACTAAGACGTAATGACAAGAGCAGATTGTGTTTTCTTATAAAAAGAGACACTTTTTATTTATGAATAAAGACAACTAATATACAGTCTCAAAGTATTTCTATACATCTCTATTATCAAATATTTTATTTTTCTATTGTTTTGTACCTGAAATATCACAGCTCCCATAGGCAGTACATGAAAATATTTATTTTAAAATGGAAAGTCATGTGATCAAGAAAGTGGCCAAGCTTTAGGAGCACACATTTTTTCCTACATTTAGCGGAGATTTAATAATTATTACATATAAAAAAATTTCAAGGAAGAAATTGAAACAAATGCAATAACATAGATACTTAAGTCCAATAGCATCATAAAGAAAAATATATTTCTGATAGAAAGTTGTTTTTATTTTATTTTAAAAAGAATACATTTTAAAAAGACTTGAAGAAGCTAGTGACTTTAGTTTGCTTTGAGTTCACAGTTTTCTGAAACTTGTTACAAAGGCCTTCAACCTTATAAAAAAAGTCTTTATTAATATTATCATCTCCCAAGATATCTAAAAGTGAGCAAACACACTCAAATGTTTCTGAAGCAGAATATGTTTTCTTAAAAGGAACTGCTGATTCTACTTCAGCAATTTCTTCATTGCTGTTGTTGTTGGCTGTGTTGTAGAGAGAAAATAAAGCAAAATATAATATAGACAAAAGAATTTGTGAGAACTTGTATAGGTTGTTTATTTCCAAAAGAAAAGTAAAGAATGATCAAATTCGATTGTTTTTCTACACAGAACTATCTACTGATTTTTATATGTTTTTCTAATTTGTAATTCAGTGTGTGCTTAAGTAATCTTTATTACGATGAGTCATCTTCCAGGAGTATTGTTCTTCTGGAAAGATCTGAAAAGACCAATTGATATGATACTTCTCCAGTCAGATCAGTCCAAGAGTTTTGGTAAAGAAGAGCATTTATGCTATTGGTTATATTTTACTATTCCAACCCAGACACTCAGATAATGTTTCATAATATTAAATAGTTGTAGTTGTAGTCTCTCAATTAAGTATTTGTCTAATAAAAGAAATATGTAAATGAAATATAATGGTACCATATATATAATGTATATGTATTTGTATATTCTATGTCATGGTAATAATAATAAATAATCAATTATGTGTATGATGATCTGTGTATTAGATAATATCATAAAGGCAGATCCGTTTGACTGGAATAGCTGAAGATATTATTTTATCCTTCAGTCTTACTCTTAAATTCAGCAGTAATCAATACTCATTCACATTAGACTGCATTGTTGTCTGCGTCATACTCTTACATGACAATATCAGCAGTCTCATTGTTATTGATCACTCTATGAGTGCATTATCTTTAATAGAGTGAATCTGATTTGCTGGTCGGACAATCTTCAACAGACAGAAGATCTGATCTGGCAATCTTGTCTAGAGTTTCATCCAAACTCTTGACCAGACTTTGCTGAATTATAGTCTGGTTTACATCTATAGATTATATTTAGAATATTAAGAAAGTGGAATTGAAAGATTATACTACTATTAGAACCAATAAATTGCTTTACTACTACCTTCACTATCTTTGTCTTCAATGAAGCAAAAGATTATTGCAATCCAGCAGTTCTCAAAAGTCTTTGCTGAGACAGATTCTCAAGTCTCTCTTATTTATATCATTGCCCACAATTGATCAATTTCAAAGATTTTATCAATGGCCCCAATCTTATCTTGTTGGTCATTTCGAATCATGCTAACATACGGATATGTCCTTGCATACTGTTTATGCTTGAAATAAGTCTTAAAAGCCCGAATAATACTACTATCCAATGGCTGACAGTGGGACATGGTGTTTGGAGGCAGAAAAAGAAGCTCAACATTTGTAGGCACATAATCTACTATATGGCCAGAGAAAGTATTGAGGATCAAAAACACTTTGTGGTTTTGCGCTTTTATTGAATGATCAAAGTGATGAAGGAAAACATGAAAGATTTATTGTGTCATCCAGACATTACTGTTGTAATGATATATAGAAAATCCATGATCTACTACCTTTTGTGTTTTGTTGTTTTTGTTAAAACAGCTTGGTCTTGTTATATGACCAATCATAAATATATCAGACTACTTGTCTGTTCCATTGGCATTGCATAAAAAGTCTACTGTAAGCTGCTTTTTATTTTCCTTCCAACCAGAAAATTTCTGGTGGGAAATAGTTGTTCTTGGTGAGATGGCATAGAAAAGTGCGGCTTCATTAAAGTTATAGATGTTACAAGCACTATAACTCTCTATCTTCTCTTTGATAGCAGTCTTGTCAATCTGAAGCAACTCTATGTCTGTTGAACCAGCCTCACCATAAATTCGATCCATTTTGATACAATGACGCTTTCCAAACTTCTCCATCCAGCCTTGAGAAATGTTAAAATCTTTAACACTTATTCTTTCAGCAAAAATAGTAGATTTTGTTTTAATCAATTCTCAAGTGATAAAGATCTGATTATTTTCAGCAATGTTGATCCAAAGAATCACTGCTTCTTCAATTTGCTATAGTTATGTGTCAACATAATAATGTTAATTTTATTTTTTGTATAAAGCAAAAATGTATAATGTTGAGATATATTACATACAGATCATTTTCTCTTTCTAATGCACTTTCTGTTCTTTACGTCGGCTTGCATTATCAAGCTTTGATCTCCTCTCTTCAAAATCTTTGAGATTGTAGAAATATCAGAAGCTTTCTGAAAGCTAAAGATTTCCTTTGCCCACTCAGCCAATTGAGAGTTACTTATAGATGACTTTTTCTTTTTCATATCACAAATCTCAAGGTGATTTGCAATATTAAAAGCATTTGCACCAGTAGCATTTAAATTTAGTTTTTTCCGATTTAAGTACTCTTTGTAAATGCTTTTCAAAAAAATGGTATGCAACAATAGCATTTCTGACAGCATGTATTTACATGCCCCATGATTTTTATGACCTTGAGCATGGAAATAGATGCTCATTTTAAAAATTTGCCGAGCATTTAAATCATTTTTCTTTGTTATTTTTTTTAAAATCGAATAATAGTATATAGCAACACTTACAAAAACTCACAAAAATTATGCTCACTACAAAGTTAATAGTCTTGAGAACATTTAACTTGTATTTTTTATATTAAGTATGAAAGAAAAATATCTAATAATAATGAATGTTACTAGTGAAGAAGACTATACCAGATAATATAATTATCTAAATGTTTCTTTTTATTATACTACTGATATTTTACCCTCAATATTTTTACTGATTTAACTCTCAGATGTGGCTTATAAGCACTTAAATTAATGCTAATAGAAATGCTACTGCTGGAGATGCTCTAGCCAAAAACATTTTTTTGCTCATATTTATTGTTTAGTTCTGTATTTAATAGCTTTCATTAAAGTATCAAAAAAATTGAAAATGATATTAGATAAGCATTATATAATAAGCTAAAAGCATACCAAAAAGCTGTTATTATTTGATTGAATAAGAATTTGAAACAATAATTTGTTACAAGACAGGGGGGTAGAAAACAGCAATGCAGCCAGGGGTTATATTTAACTAGAATGAATTTAAATAGAGGATTGAAGCATATCAAATCATTACTTGCTATATTTTTCTCTATTAAAAAATATTAGGGGGTTTCATTATCTCTTAGGATTCGGATTCAGATTAAAATTTGGAAAGCGGGTATTTAAATAGTAAAATAACACACCCACTGAGATTTTTTTAAACTTAATGTCCAAGCTAGATTTAAAGCTGGCCTGACTAAAATTTTCTAAAGCAGAATATGAAGTGTCCGCTCAAATTTACCATGAATGGAAAAAAGGATGGATACTGTTGTAAATGAGTATTGACTACTGCTGTAATTGAGAATAAGTCTGAAGGAAATAATATAAGGCCTCAGCTATTCCAGTCTGTTGTGAATGAGTATTGATTACTGCTGAATCTGAGAGTAAGACTGAAGGATAAAATAATATCTTCAGCTATTCCAGTCAAACGGATCTCCCTTTATGATATTATCTAATACACAGATCATCATACATATAATTGATTATTTATTATTATCACCATGACATGGGATATACAAATACATATATATTATATATATGGCATCATTATATTTCATCTACATATTTCTTTTATTATACAAATACTTAATTGAGAGACTACAACTACAACTATCTAATATTATGAAACATTACCCGAGTATCTGGGTCGGAATACTAAAATATTACCAATAGCATAAATGCTCTTCTTTACCAAAACTCTTGGACTGATCTGACTGGAGAAGTATCATATCAATTGGTCTTTCCGGATCTTTCCAGAAGAACAATACTCCTGGAAGATGACTCATCGTGATAAAGATTACTTAAGCACACACTGAATTACAAATTAGAAAAACATATAAATATCAGTAGATAGTTCCGTGTAGAAAGACAATCGAATTTTATCATTCTTTACTTTTCTTTTGAAATAAACAACCTACACAAGTTCTCACGAATTCTTTCGTCTATATTATATTTTGCTTTATTTTCTCCCCACAACACAGTCAAAGGTGTCTACCAATTACTTTATTATTTAACACACAGGTTTAGCATGCATGATAGTGATTATATTTCATATGATGATATCACCATAATATGAGATACATCAGTGAATTATTATAAGCATAATTATAACTCATAAACACATTTACTTTTGATGTTAATACTTCATTGGGACTACACACATTTATATAATTAATCATACATTAATTATCCCAAGATCACGTTGCTCTGATTAAGGCTCAGATAGGATCGATTACCCGACCCCAGTCATATAATTTTCCCAATCCAAAACAATATAAATAGCAGTAGTAGTTCAGTGTAGGAACCTGGTCAAACTTTGATATAAAATCCTTTCTCAATAAACAAAACCTACACAAGTTCTCACGAATCTTCGTTCCTAATCTCAAATCTTCAATTCTTCCTCTTAAAAACTTCTTCAACTTCAACTACCACAACAGATACAAAAAATCTGAAAAATGGGGGGTCCAATAATTGCAATTATAGGGTTTCAAAAAATGTGTTTCAAAAAAAATGTTTCAAAAAATGTTTTTATTTTGGTTTCAATAAAAAATAGTACTAGGATTACACGTTCTATATACTAGTAGCTAGTCTAGTGTAGCAGCCTCTCTTATGCAATAGATTGGGAGATAGACATGGTAAAAGTACAGAAGAACGACTATTAAACAGAAATAAAATATTAGTGTTATGACCTTTGAAGTAAATAATATGGTAAATTACCTTTTTATACTAGACAGACAGTGATATATGAGACTTACCTAAAGAGATGAGGGTAAAGTTATTAACAAAAGTAAAGGAAAAGACTGCTTGTTTAGTTATGTTAGGAGTAGATACCTTATAATATCACGACAGACAGCTTAGCATAGTTTGAAGTAACTTCCTAATACAATCTCATGTTGGAATCTCCATAGAATCTAATAAAAAATATATATTAGTATCAATATGAAGTAGGGCATAATAAATATATTACTTACTGAGGGTGTTCGGTATGATGGACACTATCATCTTGTTAGATTATGCTTGAAACTTACCTTTCAGTCATGAGAAAAAAAAAGAAAAAGAAGGAAACAAGTAAACAAAAAAAAATTAGCTCACATTATTTCACATGATTTTTTTAGCAGTCATTTTTTGCATAATTAAAGATATGGTACCTCAAATTAGTTTACGTTTTTCTACATCTTTCATTCCAAAGATTTTTAAACATAGAAAATCACTTCACAACAAAGAGAAATACATTCCTCACACTGACAGCTACAGACAACCAAACATTTGTGTGCACTGTCTGCGAAACTGAAAGAGTGTTAGGGTCCTTGCAAGGCCTCAGAAGACATTATACAAAAAAACATTCAAACGAAATGGGGGAGTATGAGAAACTTCTAAAAAGAAGGTAAGTTAATCCTAAAAGTAGGATGAAAAATACTATGTAATGTAAAGCTGAAATTGAGCATACCTTAACATTAGACCTGCTATGTTTGATGGCCCTTCTTCTTCTGCAAGCACTGCCACTGCCACTACCACTGCCACTACCAACCTGAACAGTAATAATGGACCTGCCCCAATAGAATTTATTATTGAAAACCCTCAGGACACATATGGTCATGAAATCTCTGACAAAGATGAATATAGTGATGATCACATTCTATTGTAAATAAAAATTAGTAATGCAATATTGAAATAGATAATAACCTGTTTTTTTTTGCTGAACAGTGATTCAACAGATGACTATGATGAGACCACTGATGACAAAGACACGGACACCAGAGTAGAATATGATAGCCAGGATCATATCGCTAGAGTGGCAGCAGAAATGAGAACCTTTCAATCTCTTTCTCATGCCATGAATGCCTACTCGAACAAAGACAGCAGCAGACAGACATCGTACCAGACCAATGACTTTGCTGACATTTTTACTGGACCCACCCGTCCGTTTAAATTGAAAGTAGAGTTTATCTTACATGCTCTCTTCTATGGCAATGAAGATCTTGCCTCAGAAAGATCTATCAAGAAGATCATGTTTGCCATGAAGATGGTCTTGGACGTCCGTGAAGAATCTGGAGTAGCACTGGATTTTCTGACACCAAATGCTGTGATTAACTATCACAAGCAGAAAAAGAACCAGATCCCTGTTTTTCCTACTGCCAGTTTCGATGTTGTGAACCAAGACAATGAACGACATGTACTTTGGATGAACAAATCATCCAATTACATCAAGTTTACCATGACATGCCCCGGAAAATCATCTCAAATCTTGGCCCTTCCTGACTTCACGGAAAACCAGCAGTTGAATCTCAATCAAGGCGAAAAGTGGAAGGAGAACCCATTGCTCCAGCACCCGATGATCACTTCAAACGGAATGGACTACTGGGTGGGTGATGTTGTCAAAGTCCAAGGCTCCCCAAACTGGTATCTCCTTGAGAAGTTGTTCACCATGGACAGATCCATACTTGCCAATGCGTTCCAGGTTTATGGTGGTCACAATCCTCGGCTGAACCATCCTGATGATACTCACTTCCTGCGGTTTGGAAACTCTATGAACTTTGCTGTCTCTACCCTGAAGTATACCATTGAAGTTGATAGGATTATGTCTACTGTTCAAAAAGACAGCAATCTTTTCCTTGGATGTGGTCTCTCTGTTTCTTATTGCCCTGCCGAAATTGTCACCTATGCTCTTACTGGTGTTCAATCTGACTTGTGGCTCAACAAATCCCGTGTTGAAGAATTCAAGAGAAGACTTCCAGGCTCTGGTTTGATGAAAGTGGTTGTCTGCCCACTTAATCTCTATTCCAACAATACCTCCGTTAATTCAACAAAGCAGTACAACAAGTATGACAGTTACTTAATGTACTTTACTGCATTGCCATTTGAGACCAGAAACAAATGACAAAATGCTCTTTTCATTTGTATCTTGAATCATACACTGAATGCCGTTGAGATGTTGCCTCCTATCGTCAATGACCTCATTAGTCTGGAGAAAGGTATTGAGATGTATTCTGAGGATCATGGTGAAGTAGTTCTTGTCGTTGCGCCCCTGTTGCTCTTTATGGGTGACAACCCTCATCAATCTCAGCTTGCCATGCATAAGAGAACATCTGTCAAGAAGTTTTGCCGAAAATGCCTCATACCTTCACCTCGTATTGAACAGGGTTCCATCCCTGACACTCCGCCGTATTCTCCAGTTGACCACCGTGGGTCAGAAGAAAGAATGAGGGATTTCTTGTGCGCCTTTGCCAATGCCAATTCCCAGTCAGAGCTATATCTCAATGGGTGCGAATTGAGTTATATTAAGAATGGAAGTGAGGAATTTCTTAGACTCAAAGCCTTTGACCCTACCAAAGACATGCCTGTCAAAATTCTCCACATTATTCCTCTTGGCCTGACGAAATGCTTGATGACTTTCTCTGGAAACAGAAGATGCTGACTACAAGTGAAAAGGGGAGACTCCAGGAAGCTCTAAACTCTTACAAGTCTTGTAAGAGTTACAGCCGAACATTCAGGAACAAGCTTTGTCACACTGGTTCGTTTGTTGGACGCAATTTCAAGGAATTGATTCAAGTCCTGCCTGGAATTACAAGCAAGCTCTTTAGTGACAAACCATCGGCAAGTTTGTTCATTAAAGCCTTGCATGCATTAGGCCACCTGTCGTCTTTGGTGTACACGCGTGGAGTCGACTGGTGCTTCAACTACTATATTGCCTAGATAAAACACACTGTCACTGATGTAACAGATCTGCTTTTTCAACTGAATGTCCAGATTCTCCAAAAAGGATTTTCTAAGCAAGACTTCATGTTCAAGCCAAAGGTCCACCTTCTGCATCATATCACTGACAACATTGTTCGTTTTGGTTCTGTGCTGCAATACAAAACTGAAAACAGTGAACAGTTCAATAAGTTCATCCGCAAACATTTATTCAAGACCAACCGCCATTCCACCTCTCGAGACGTTGCTACAAGATTTGGCAAGCAATACATCTGTCGGCATCTTTGTAATGGAGGATTGTATGTCGTAGAGAGACCAGCTGGTAATGGAACAAGATCTGTGAGAAGTTCAATTAGTGATTTTGTCAAGCTGGCCCCTGTCAATTTCTCAGGCTTTAATCTCCATTTCTTTGGTTCTCGTGTCAACAGTGACAATTCCGGGCTGTTGACTCCCACTTTGTGTGATACACTTGCAGGTGTTTTTCAATCAAATGGTCAATTATTCCTTGGTCAGGTAAAGATTGTTCAAGCAAGAGACTCTGCAGACAGAATGAGGAAGGCGTTCTTTATGCAAAAGTACCAAATTGTTCCGAACAGCAATGTAAATTGCATCTATACCCCAGCTGTGGTAACGGACAATTACAACAACATTGTGGTTCTGCCCCTTGGAGGCCTGGTTGAAGTCAACAAAGATGACATCAACATCGTTCAGGCTGTTGATATTCACTTGTCCATTGGGTCTTCCAATAACTAAAAGTTTCTCAACGTTGCAAAATCCGGCATGTTCCAGTGGATGTTGATGAACATTGCAAAAATCTATTAAAAAAAATGACTTATCAAAAAAAAAAGTATTTTTCCCAATGGGGTTTGTCCAATAAAATCTCTTCTTTTCCAGCTCTCTTCGCTTCTCCCCCCCATTTCAGATTTTTGTACCATCTAAAATTTTATCATGACACTTAAAACATTACACTAATCCACTTTTGGCTCATTTATATCAAATTTGTATACCCAAATCTGAGCCTTAACAGGTTCAACTTAAAATTGGAACTCTAAACCAATAGAAACAGCTGTACCATTAGAAATTACCATAAATGAAAGAAATGTCAGTAGGTGTGAATTAGATGAGAAGAATCTGAATAGAATTAAAATATATAAATTTAATCTGAAGGAAAAAGCTTTAGAATTGAAATTTAGGATCGCTTATTTTGACGTCTTGGAATACTCTAAACAAAAAGTTGTTAATGTCTTTGCCTCTCTTATATTATTCTACTCTATATATCAATTTTTATAAAAAATGCCCAACATAAGTGATAGAAAAGCTTTCTTCAAGTTGCTTAAAAAGTTGATTCTTTATAAACTAATTGAATTCCAAATTCACAGTGAGGATAATGCATTAAATATTACTGTCAACATACCAGAAATTCTTGTATACCTCGTGTTATCTAGAAAGAGATACCTTAGAGAGCGATCTATAGTCTCTTGGCCACCCAGTAGAATCAGATAGTTTTTGAATGATCTTGATAATGATAGATTTAGACAAGAGTTTAGAATGAACAAGCACTCTTTTTTTGCTATTTGCAACATGATCAAAATGAATCTTGTTTTCAATAATACAGCAGGAAGACAGCAAGTAGACATAAGTATTCAAATGATAGTTGTCCTTAAGTGCTTGAGATTGTATGAAACTGGTGCTACTGTTGGTAGTATTGCACAGTCAATTAGTATAAGTGGTATGTATTATGTAATTGTAACTGCAACTGTAATTGCTATTATTATTTCTTATTTCTGATTTAATATAATAATTATAACCAACATGTTTATTAGAGAAATCTGTTATTAAGTACAATAACAGATTTATTGCCACTTTCCTCTCATTAGAGAAGCAAACAGTATTCTGACCTGAGCAAGATGAAAGAAACAAAATAAGTCAAAGAATAAGAGCCCGATCTGGTTTCTCTTCTTGTCTTGGATTTGTCAATCAGACTCTTGTAAAGCTTAAATACAGGCCAAAATGATGTGGAGAGGACTTCTTCAGTAGAATATCATATTACGGTCTCCCTGTAATGATTGTATGTGTTGTATCCAACATAATTGTAGATTCAAATAGAGCGCACAGACAATAAGACAAAGACATATTGAATAAGTGACCAGTATCAATTATACATTATTTCTCACACTATCATTAAATAAAAAATATACCAATAACATGGTCACACACCTTAGTCAACATTACTAATCACTCAAACAAGAGTGTGAGTAATAACTTAACAATATATTATCTATGATATAAGAAAACAGACATCACATGATATACTCATATCATTATCCTAAATACACACGTAATGTCTATATAAACTCACATAGAAAATAGCAATAGAAGATCATCTCTCTTTTCATCAATAAACAAAGTCTCACCGTACTTTTCGTCTGCACTTTGTTTTTCTTTCTTTTTCTAAAAATATAACAGTATGCGATGACAAAAAACTCATTAGAATGATGTACTCTGAATGGGCTGGCTGTTCCCATGATTCACGAATGTATCTTGCCAGCCCCTTAGGAAAAACACCAGAACTTTTCTTTTCTGTTGAGGAATACTTACTTGGCAATGCTGCATACACACTTTCTCAGTATATGATCATACCATATAAGCAACAATCTAGCACTGGCATGACACAGAAAAATGTGGATTTTAATACTGTTCATTCCAATATCCGTGTGTCTGTAGAACACTGCATTGGAATTTTAAAAGAAAGATTTCAATCTTTAAAAGGCCTCAGGACAGTGATCCACACCAAAAAAGGCATAGAAAAAATGTGCTACTGGATAAGAGATTGCTGTATTTTACACAACCTACTTGTACCCAAAGTCAATAATGACTTTGAGTACACTGTTAAGAGTAATTGTGATTCTGAAGATTCAGGAGAAAATGATTCAGTTTAATTGGGCAAAGAAAAAAGAGAAAGGTTAAAGCAATTTATTTTCTAATAAATATATTTTTAATTTTATTTTTATTTTTGTATTAAAAATATTTATTAGTGTATTTTAGTTAAATATTTTTTTTATTTCTTTAAGAATATCTTTCTTTGACATTCCTAAGCCCTTGAGCATTTTGGCATGTTGAATTTGTGCCCTGGATTTATCAATTTGTATTTTGTATTGTTCCAGAACAATCTGCCTTTCGTCAAGGTCTATTTTTCTTTTGCGGATCTCTGCATCTTTTTCTTCTACAACAATCTGTCTTTCTTCAACCTCTAACTGCCTGCTTTGAATTTTGGTCTCAAATTCCAACTGTCTCTCAGCTCTTTTCATTTTTTCTCTCTCCTGATCGCCAGATCCCTTCATAAACTCAAAGAGACTCTTGTCAATATCTCTGCAGGCCTGTTTGGAAGGGCGATTATTTTCTACAGCAGTTGCCGCAGAAAGATGCCTAGCAACTACCTGTCTTTCTACTTCTTCGATCTCCTTATTGTCTTCATCTTTGCTTTCTTCATTGGTCTCATCATCGTCTTCTGCAACTTCTATATTCTCATACTCTTCATGCATCGAATTATGCACTGTCATGGATGCATGGCCAGAGTGTACGTTCAGAACATGTTTGACATCTGTGTCATCCAAGAAAGACTGCAGGCATGGAGGTTCTGTTAATGGTTGATGACCCATTACTGGATCAAGTTCATTAAAGTAGACAAGCATGGCTCTTTTTTTCTCTAAAAGAAATATCAAAGAGTAAAATACATATTATTATTAACATTGTATTTTAATTATGTGCTATATATATATATATACCTGCAATAGTGGTATTAATCTCAGGTTGAGACACACCATCTTGTTCCATTATATTTCTTAGACCTTGTCCAGTTTGGTTCAGTCAATCAATTACTCGCTTGTAATTTTTGTGAAGGTGGGCTATTTTTTCTTATATATTGTAAATTGATTGGTGAGTAATATCATTTGATACGAGTATGCTTCGTATTTCTGAGCAAAGAGTTGCCTTGATAACACCATTGACAGATCTTCCCTTCCATTGGTCGTAATTGACTTGCTCAGTTAACTAATTCACAACAATTATTTCCGATCTTGGTCTACCATTTACACTGTTCTTACTCCATTGTTTGATGTTATTTTGAGTGGAAGCTGCAGAATTTCTATCAGTAGGTATTTCAAATACACATCTATATTGTATTGATTAAAGTATACTTACTAGGTTGAGAGCTCATTTTGCTTTGGGAAAGTATGTTTGGAAATAAAAAAATAATATTTTTTTCCATTCGAACAAAAGCATTTATATACATATAAAACATATGCTCTTTACAAAATATCCAGGGACACTATATATTATATGTATGTTCTTTGAATTAAAAAGATCAGTACAAATATTGAGAGACATATATAAACTAGATATATTTTATTTAATTATGTATATAAAGGTTAAAATGAAATTTTAATTTTATCAGTAAATAAATTCATTAATACAAAATTAATTTTTTATACTTCTTTTACGTCTACTATCTTAATCACACTTTAAGCCAGCCTTTAATTCTTTTTTATGATTTAGTCTTTGCTCAATAAAGCTTCACATACAAAATAACTTAATTATATACAATCTTTCAAAAAAAGTCCTCATGACTTTAAAGTCCACTTAATCATCTTTATCTGCAACCTCGTATCACACTTACATTAATCTATAACCTTATAAACATGCCATCTGCAAATTCAAACCAAAATAAAGGCAATCACCCCCATAAGCTTAAGAGATTTTCGAATACTGAGAAGTCCATTATGATTGGGATACATAAAGCTGGAATGTCCATTCCAGAAATCTCCCACTGCGAAGGCATACCTGTGGAATCTCTTTGCAGTATAATAAAAATGTATAAGGAAACTGACTTTGTCGAAGATAAGCCTTGTTCCAGAAGACCAAAGTGTCTTGATTCTAGAGGCAAGCATCATTTGGATAGACTTATAAGAAGTGACTGGCGCCAGACTTTATTGGATATTGCAAGAGGTGTTAGAAATTTCACTGGTCATTACATCTCTGAAAATACAGTCAGTAAAGAACTGCATAATCTGGGCATATTCTCTTGTGCTGCAGCAAAGAATTCTCGGCTAACTGAAAAAGACATGGCCATTCGTAGCAAATGGGCAAAAGAAAGAATGGACTGGAAAGAAGAATGGAAGACAGTTATATGGAGTGATGAATCAAATTTTTCTCTTTTCAGAGTAAATTGAAAAGTTTGCTCATGGAAAAAGGCTGGCGAGAGGCTTCGCACAGACTGTGTTCAACAAAAAGTACAAGGAAATGGAGGATTTGTAATGGTATGAAGCTGCATTACCACTGAAGGAGTTGGACCACTTGCAGTTGTTAAGGGCACCATAAATGCAAAAGTTTATGTGGATATTATGGAAACTGTCTTTAAGCCATACTACCATGCCTTATCAAACAATGACATAAAGACATATATGTTTCAAGAAGATAATGCGCCATCCCATACTGCAAACATATCAAAGAAATGCAGAAAAGAGCTTAGTCTGGATGTTCTTGACTGGCCATCAAGAAATCCAGATTTAAGTCCAATTGAAAATATCTGGAATATTTTGGATGACTGTGTTTGCAAGAGGGCTTTCCCACCTACAAACCTGAGGGAGTTGGAAGTAGCTCTGCAAGAAGAGTGGTAAAAAATAGATAGAAAAACATGTGTGGATCTATGCCTCAAAATACATAACAGATTAGTAGTCATCAAAGAGAACAAAGGTGGGCCTATCACATATTAAATAAATGATCGTATTTATACCAGATAAAGGTCTTTCTCTAAGTTTTATTATAGTTATTTTCTGGCTGCCTCTATTACATATGTAAAGAATAAAAGAAATATAAAGATAGACCTTTGGACTTCTATTCTCTCCAGAGTTTAAAGTCATGAGAACTTTTTTTGAAAGATTGTATAATAAAATATCAGATACAAGAATAAGACAATTAATTAAAAAGAGAGACTCAATAATTTCCATTTTATAATCATCTTCATTGACTACAGGTTTTACATCTGCTTTCTGAATCCTAATCCAAATCCAAATCCTAAGAGATAATGAAACCCCCTATTGTAAACTCCGCCCATATTTACACCACAGCAGATTTTTTTGTGTAATCTTGTTCCTTAAAAGGATTCTTGTATACGGGGCTGTGGTATTTCAGGTACGAAACAATAGAAAAATAAAATATTTGAGAATAGAGACGTATAGAAATACTTTGAGACTGTATATCAGTTGTCTTTATTCATAAATAAAAAGTGTCCCTTTTTATAAGAAAACACAATCTGCTCTTGTCATTACGTCTTAGTTTCTTAAGGCTTTCTTCCTTTACTATATTTGGTTATTAGAGTGTATTTACTGCTTAACTAGTGTCGGTGTTACAATTATGACATCAAGTCATAAATCGTACTTCTTTAGCTCTTAGCTATTCTTTTCTCTTTTATACTAGAGCTTTAGAACTTCCTACTAAATTAGCCCCATATCGATCTGACACAGTTTACCCAGCAGTATGATATAATTATCTTAACAATCTTTAAGATATTATCTACAGTACTAACTGTAATAATTATTGGGCTGATTACTTAATTGTTTATATATATTTTATACTGACAAGATGATAGCTACTATACTATCCCAATATGAATATGTTCTTATATGTGATAAATCCAACATCCGAGTGTCTGGATCACCACAGGGGCGAATTTTGCCCATAACAGGAAATTCATTTTTTTGGGTGACTGAAAAGTGGGGGGATGGGGGGACTACTCTCGGCCAATAGATTTCGATTAAAAAATGTACTGCACAATTTCAAAAATGGTTCAAATTTTTAATTTGTTTCAAATAATTTTGGGTTGTAAAAAATTTATTTTTTATTTTCGAAAAAAATTAGGTTAAAAAAAAAGCTAGACTGGACCATAAAATCCACAGGCAGTAGCACACCAGTATATTCATACCACTAGAAACACTAGTAGTATAGCTGTTTGTACTTATGCCTGTAAATTACACGATTGGTTTGCTGCAAACTACTATGTCTAGCTAATCCAAGAGACCCAGTACCAGAAATGCCAATAAACACAAAGAGCATAAAGATTTGAATTTCGAGAAAAGCTAAAGCAGAAGAACTAATAATTAGTAATTAAACTTAGTTATATATATTTAACAGAATTTTACCTTTGACTCTATTAAGGCATTTGCAATAAAAGGCAGCCAAATCTCTGCAAGTGAGGAGTAAATAATTAGTCTTCTGTTGCTTTGTAAGAGGAACATGTAGTTATTACCTCTTTATTGATTTACCGAGATGATGAAAAACTAATTTATAAACTAGAATTGTATGATTAATAAACACAATGACATAAAAAACTTTGATAGCATAAATACCTTTGAGCTTAAGGTCTTTAAGCAAAATTCTGCTTCTATAAATACTATAAGCATACTGGAATATCTTACAAATGGAAGCTCATGCAAATAATAAGTATTTTGTGGAAAAGTAAAATGAAAAAGAAGACAAAAACACGCGATATTTTCTTAAAAGAAAAGAAGTAAAAAAAATTCTAATTGGTCCGCTGACATTAAATATCGATCTTTCCACATTTTATAAATTCAATTATTTTCGCAAAGTCATTTTCCCCCCTTTGTTTTTACAATCAATTTACTATTATGCAAAAGAATACAAGACAAGAAACATATAAAATCGTTAAGACTCGCCCCCCTAAAAGGCAAGGCAAACTTAACTTTAGCATCAATTCAGGTGTTTTTACCTGCTCTGAATGCAAAAAAGAGTTCGAAAAGCCTTGGTTACTGAAAAGGCATTCGAAGGTTCACCATATAAGTAATCAAATGGCAACCAATACTGTACTCAACAAACCCGAGCAGGTCGAATTGATAGTCGAGAACACTATTCTGGATGCTAATGCATTTGATTACTTGAGTGACGAAGATGACTCCTCCAGTATTGGGGATGAAGAAGACAATATTGTAGACGAGGAAAACGATATTGTCAATAATTTCTTTGATATTGAAATGAACAGTAATCCAGTTTTCAACGCGTTCTCTGACATGTTTTCTTCTGCTGCTGCTGCTGATGAGGTATCAATGACTGATGATGACTCTGAGATCCCGGAAGAAGTCTTTGAGACAATTGGCACTGTAAATGACTCTACAAGCTGTTATCCTTTTTGCGATCTTCAAACTATGACCCTTTTTGCTTTTATCAATGGGGATAATGACATGATCTCCCAGCAAATGTTGAAGAAGATACTGCTTGCGATGAACTTGATCATTAAGATTCAGCAAGAAACTCTCATAGGAAGAACATTTAAGTTACCTTGTTTGGATGCTCTTTTAAATTATCAGGCAAGAAAGAAGTCCAAGATGCCTGTCTTTCCTTCACAAAGAATATCAGTATCTGGATCAAACTGGAACGCATTTACCCACATTAACCTTCCATCCAACCACTTGAGATTTCTTATGGCAAACCCAAAGAAATACAAGTTGATCTCGTCCATGCCCGATCGTACCCCAAACCAATTAATCTGTTTGGAACAAGGTGAAAAGTGGAGAACACACCATCTCTTTCAGCAGCCTATGCACACTGTAAATGGTATAGATATCTGGTTTGGAAACATCATTTACTTGAAGACAAACGATTGCAGCATCTGCTTTTTGGTTGAATCATTCCACATGGCAAATAAAAACATTTTTGCAAGAGGGTATCTGATCAGAGCGATTTCGATTATATGCTATGGAGTTGAGGTTGCTGTTACCAATCTTAGAGTAGAGCAGATCTCTCACGTTGACACCACTCCTGTTGAAAGAGATCACTACTATAGTATCTCAAGTAGCCTTACCAGATTGAGTCCTGCTCATGACTTTCTTCTTTTTGGAGTTCATCCAATGAAGAAGCCTATGCCTCTTTCTGTTTTGCCAGGTAATGTAGATTGCGATGCAGTATTTTACAAAGTTAGGATTGTTTCAATCATCCTTTTTACAGATGACACTTCTGGCAATCGTTCAAAGCAGTACAATCCGTTTGAAAGCTGGTTAATGAGATGCGCTGCCTTGCCTTTTAAGGATCGAAATTCGATAGCAAACATCCAGTTTCTTTCTACAATCCCTAAGAAAGATGGTGCAAATGGTATGTCTCTTCTGCCAGCAATCGTTGATGACTTTAAGAAACTTGAGAAAGGTGTAAAAATGTTCTCTGCTGAAGACAATGAGTATGTTCTGGTTGTTGCTCCCATCCTTTGGATTGAGACTGACATGCCATGTCATTTGGAACTTTGCGGATTGCTTGGGCCGCCCACCACATTTCCTTGCAGAAGATGCTACATCGAACTTAGACATGCAAAAGACTTTGTGAAGGACTTGTCCTACTTCTGTGAGTGCCATGAGAGACGAACTCAAGAGCACTATGTTCTTGCGAACTCGTCACCTGGCAGAGACACTGAGATCCCAAATGCTCCGAAAATTGGAATGAACACGCCTGCAAACAAGATAAGCTTTAGAGATTGTTTGACTGGCTGCTTATTAGAATTGCAGTCGTTTGATCCAGAAAAGAATACACCAGTCGAAATCCTCCACACAATACTTCTTGGTGTTGCAAAGTATATGGTGATTGACTTGGTTAAGGTCGTGCTTAAGAATGACACAGCCACAATAGCAAGACTTTCAGAATTCTTGACAGATTACACGTGATCAACTGGTCTATCAAGAAAGTTCACCCAAAACTTGAGACATAGTGGTTCATTCGTCAGTAGAGATTTCAAGGTTCTGCTTCAAATACTTCCTGTAATTCTGATTACAGAATTCTCTGGAAATCATGAGCTAGACCTTGTAATACCATGCTTTGTTGAACTTGGCCGATTGTGTTCTCTGGTATTCGTTTGTCAGGTGACATCAGACTTTGATAACTATATTATCAGAGTAGATAATGCAGTGAAGCGCTTGATCAGAGCATTGTTTGACTACAATAAAGAAACCAAGAATGAGCTCCACAAGGCATATTGCACCAAGCCGAAAGTTCATTACTTGACACATCTCAAGGAAGATATAATTCGTTTTTGGCCCAGCCCTCAATTATGAAACAGAAAAGGGCGAACAGTTCAATAAGCACATTCGCAAACATCTGTTTCATACGAATTGCCAAAACACTTCCAGGGATGTTTGCCTAAAGTTTGCAAAGCAGGTAGCATTGCAACATGTAATTGATGGCGGGTCGTGGATTAATAGCTTTGGCAACCAAGAGAAGTCTGGAACTGGAATAGAGAGGTTCATTAAGGACAACAATGAATCTTTGTTCTATTACACCTTCTTTGGCGGCTCGAGAGAGCTAAAGGACAACAACAACACTGGAGATATTGAAGATGACGCCATCCAAAACAACAGTTTTGGCGCGTTTGTTTTTAAAGATGATCCAATCTCTCGCCCTCGTATAGGACTTGTCTCAGGCTCTGTTGTTAAGTTTCTTAGCATTGTTCCTCGTACGGATAATGACAGAAACAATAACTATGCCAAGGCTGTAATGACAGGTGAGCATTCTGATGTTGCTAACATGAATCTTGTTTGTAAGTTAGATTTACACATTTTCTGCAGCCCATTTTACATTGTAAATTTGAGCAAGTTTGGTTCCTACTGGTTCATTTTCAATAATATTCTTTTTGATGAATAAAATGATGCTACTTCTTTATTATTATTATAATTATTATTTGAACATTCTGTTTTCTTCTTCTCAACATCAATTTTTTTGCGTAATTTCTGTGAAGTCATTTTTTGGTTACTCAAACCAACCCCCAACTTTCCTTAATAAATCCTTTGTCTCACTTAAACACTTTCTGACTTCCCTAACAGTTTTTTTTCTTACTTTAAAAGCCCACAAGTAGTACTGAACTTAATTTTATCCTTTATTTGGATGAAAAAAATTGAGTACGAAAACAAATTACAATATTTTGGCCTCTAAGCCAATCATATTGCTTAGGTGCCAATTTTCACCCAAAATGATAACAAAAATCTCTGGTGGTATAGTAGAAAATATATATTCCAAACTCGTTAATTTCACTCTTCACTAATTTCAAGGCACCTGGCCTTCCCTAGGTCTTGAAATTATTGAGGGACCACTGTACATCTCTTGGCACACCAACACCAGGAGGACCCTGTAGGAGCAGAACTGCTTCTATGTCTGTGTTGTCTTCTGAGCTCATCTCAGCAGAAGAGATTGTTGATGGCCTTGAGTACATGATCTCATACAAGTTGTGGTAATACTTTAATCGCTTTTTGATCTTGTTTGTCTCAGAATATTATATATATTGATTAATACTTATTATTTATTATTCATTTATATTTAGAATATATGTATATATCTTGTATTATTGCTTCAATAATTGCTTCTGATATGTCATTAACAAATATGATCTTTTTAATTATCTCTTCTGTGTTATAAAGAAATTTGTATATGTTTTGAGAATTCTGAATTTTTACGCAAATGTCATTATTATTTTGAGCTCTTATTCTATTCTCTTTAAAGAATGCTTTAATTTCTGAGCAGAAGGTTTCTTTTGTTCGTTCTTGAGATTTCCCACCCTTCCACTATGCATAGTTTGATTCATCCAAGAGCCAAATTATAAGAAGTTCTTCAGATGAAGACCCACTATTTACATCATCCTTACTCCATTATATCTGCGATTTGTGAGTAGTAGCACCTGTATTTTTCTTTATTAACCTAAATGTATTACATGTATTATATATATATAAACATATCTTGTTTATGAACTCATGTTTGTGAGAGTATTTGTAAGAGTGTTTGTAAGAGTAAGATTAAGAAAGTAAAGATTAGAGACTATATTCTTCTAGTCTTATTTATATGAATGAACAAGGCTGTACTTCTCTCAATTATCTCATTAATGGCAAAACAAATGTGCTCTCATGCAATATAACTTTCATTATCAGACAATAGTATCCTAGTTAATGATCATACACTTTCTCTAAAAATACTATTATTTACAATAATATAATTGCTAAAATTTTATAGTAAATAGCCAGTATTGTATAATTATTCTTCATTCACCAGAGACTCTGGCTGTGTTACCATCAATTCTTTATTTAGCCAAAAATTTTAAATAAAAGCTTATTATTGCTATAATACTATTTTGTATCATCTTTTCTTTTGCTCCTGATATTCAACCACTTGACTTTATCAAAGATCCAAGTTGTGACAAATGATATCCACAACACTTTACAAGCTCTCCTCGCCCACATGGAAGCTTTGGAAGCATGTTCTGCTGCTTCTCCTGTGACCCTTGATGGTTCTCCTGCTGATATAGACGACATAATGCTACCTACCAACCATATTGTCAAACGACCTATTGCATCTGATCTCACTCCCTTCCCCAAACTTATTAAAGTCATACCCAAGATAGAATGCGACTTCTTCAGGCAACCCTTGGACAAAGCCTCTCGCTGCTGATTCCTCCTTAACTGCCCACAAAATGTACTTTGTCAGTACCAAGCCCCTGTTCTCAACTACAGTGGCATGAGAACTCACACTAAACGTACTGATGCTCAACTCGCTGAAATTCAGTTCTGCCTATCTGGTCTCACCCATTCCATTGACCTATTCGTACATGATGTACTTGTGGAAGGATCTATCCAGGTTACACAGGCGTTGGGTTTTGTCAACACTATGCATGAATTACTATCAGATCTTGCCTCTGTTGTCACCCAGATGCGTAGTGATAATATCTGCCTAGATGTCAATCTACCTATCACACTAATTGTCACCAACTCTGCCTTAGAGCCCAAACCACTTCTCGACTCTCAACGAATTGTGGAACAAACTAAGCTCCAGCATGCTTTGCATGACGCCACATGACCTTCCCAAATGAGAAAGGGAAAACGCACTGGCCAATCAAACTAGACCAACAAACCCACTCAATCTGACCCAACTTCTGCTATCCCAGTCCCATCTTACCAGCAATCTTCCTGTCCCCACAACTCGAAGAAGTTTTTTCACAGTTGCCCACAGCTGTCCAAGTCTCAGACAACCAATATACCACAGTAGGTGGGCGCCTTCAACTATTTTGCAACGCATGGACCAAACTCACAAACGAACACTGGGTTTGATGCACTGTCAAACAAGGGTACGACATCTCTTTCACTTGTCTGTCACCCATCTCCTTGTCCGGACCATTGACAAACCACAACCGGATGGACAGCAATGTGCTTGAACAGGAGATCATGTCCCTTCTGTGCAAGAAAGCCATCAAGGAAGTACACAAACCAGGGTTTCATTTGTGCATCTTCACAATTCCAAAGAAGACAGGCGACCTCCGGTCTGTTCTCAACCTACAACCACTCAATCAGTACATCCCGAAACAATCTTTCAAGATGGAATCCATCAAGCACGTCTGCCAGTTGATCCAGCTTGGCGACTACCTCACCAGTGTCGACCTGCAAGATGCTTTTCTGCACATTCTGATCGCCAAGTCCTCTTGCAAGTATCTTCAGTTCTCCTGGAAAGGTCACATTTACCAGTTCTGCGTTTTGCCATTTGGCCTGCCCTTGCCCTATTGGTATTTATGAAGATGGTTTGCCCAGTACTTCATTGGGCACGGCGACAGGAGATTCGTCTGTTGGCTTACCTCAACGACTTGATTGTGATTGTCTGATCCCCAACACTGTCCCTGCAGCACACACAGTGAGTAGTGAACAAATTACAGTCACTAGGTTTCTTGATCAAAGCGACCAAATCTCATCTAACTCCCTCAATCTCCTTAGAGCACCTAGGATTTGTGATCAACAGCAAGAATATGACACTAATCATCCCTCGCTCCAAGTTGAGAGATATCCCAAGAGAAGCATCTCGCCTTCTCCACAACCCAACAATCACCTTGAGTCAGCTTTCCTCGTTTATCAGCAAGGCCCATGCAACCACTTTGGCAGTCCTTCCCACATGTCTGCAAACCTGGCAACTGATATCCATACGCAATCAAGCCTTGTACCGCGGATTGCAATGGACCAGTCCAATACACCTCTCTTCCATGGCTTGGCAGGAACTTTTGTGGTGGATCGACCAGCTGAAGGCATGGAATGGACACTTGTTCCTCTCAGAAGTACCTCAAGTCGAAGTGTACACTGATGCCTTGGAGACCGGTTGGGGCATTGTGTATGACAATACTGTCCTGTCTGGCACATGGACCACAGACTAATAAACCGAGCACATCAACTACCTCAAATTGCTGATCATTGCCTTTGCCACCAAGCTTCCACCCCTTCAAGGGAAAGCCCTTCGCATCTACTGTGACAACATGACCACGATTGCCTATGTCCATCATTTTTGAGGAACCCAGTCTGCCAAACTCATGAATCTGGCCACGGACATGTGGAAGCAATGTCTTGTCACTGGCACCCATGTCCGCCTGGCATACATTCCCTTGCCCTTGAACCCTGCCAACCCTCCCTCTCACAGCTGGAGTGGAGTATTTGTCCAACATTCTTTCAGCACTTGGACTCACTGTGGGGTTCCCACCACATTGACTGATTCGCATTGAGTTTGAACACCCAGCTTCCAATGTACATGACATGGAAATGGGATCTGCAAGCATTTGTGATGGACGCATTTTCTGTACCTTAGACGACCTGGCCTCGGCTATATCTTTGTCCACCATGGAACATACTTCTCCACATACTGCAGAAACTACAACGAGAGAAGGTTCCTGCTACGTTGATAATGCACAACTGGTCGAGCACCCTCTGGTATCCTCTCCTCCTCCAGCTGTCGTCCCGCCCACCAATCTCTATCCCTTGTCACCTGGTCCTTCCCGCACCAGGCTGCACCAACCATGTTATTCTGAAGAACCCACACTGGAACATGATTGTGTGGGACATAAATTACGCAGGTTAGAAGACCAAGGATTCGATGACAATGCCAACACCATCATTCTCAACTGCGATTGCAACCACTTCCGACGATCCTATAACTGTATTCAACACACTTACATCGACTGGGCACACCACCACAACGTCAGCCCTTTCATTTCTAATCCCGTTCATATAGTCAACTATCTGGCCTATGATGCTACCCATTTGAAATGGAAAGCATCCACTTGTCAAGCCTACCACTCCGTCATTCTTGATTTGTACTCGGATAAAGATTTTATTATCAAAGACTCTACCTACATTGAATTCTTTTCTGTACTCAACGAACAAAACCTACTGTCTTTCCACTATCCAACATATGATATTGCCCTGGTCATTCAGTTCATTCATAACCTTGGTCCTAATGACACAATGAATGCGATAGATCTCACACATAAGTTGTGCTGGCTTCTTGCCATTTGTGAGTTTATGTGTCCAACTGATTTGGAACGAGTCGATGACCACCATACATCAAGAGACAATGGCATCCTTTGCTTGGTCATTGTTGCCTCCAAAGAAAAACGTTCAGGTAGATGCATCAAAAGGGTTGTCGCCATTCAACCTCATGAGGACCCCTTACTTTGTCCCGTTGCCACCTATCTAGCCTACAAGTCCAACATCGCCTTCTCAGTCTGCATTTGGCCTCACTCTGTCCTCTCTCAGGTGACTTTGCAACAATTAGTACGTGACGTCCATAATTACAATAGACCTATTGAATCAGAACGGATATCCAAGCATATTCAATTTCTCATAGAGAAGATCCCTAGTCCTTCTGGTGCCCTCCTCCCCAAGGCCCGGGCTCTGGGACCTACTCTTGCTTTGGCTTCTGGTGCTTTGGTTGAAGATATTCTTGTACACGGCTCATGGGCTTCCTCCGCCATTTTTGACACATTTTACCACTTGTCATGATAGACTGTTAGCAATTTCTCTACCATAACTTTGACTTCTTCTAGCAGTTATCTGGACACACAGCCAGAGTGTCTGGCGAATGATGAATAATGGTATTGTTAGCCGAGGCCAAAGGCCAAAGGCCTATACCTATTATTCGAAGAGACAGAGACTCTGGCTGTCCCCTCCCTTCCCTTCCCTTCCTTATTATAATATATACCACTCGCGAATAGATGATAAAGAATAGTATTATAGCAATAGCAAGCTTTTATTTAAAATTTTCGTCTCAATAAAGAATTGATGGTAACATAGCCGAGTCTCTGTCTCTTCGAATAATAGGTATAGGCCTTCAGCCTTCGGCCTTGGCCAACAATACCAGAATTATCCTCTTATCATCTATGATTTTATTTACCAAGATTTTCCAAACAACTAATGCTCATTATGTCTACAATAAGGGTGGACAATAGGAATTTTTTAGAAAATTCGCTTCTTCTTTGAGTAAATGTATTTGTTAAAAAAATAAAACTCAGATATTTGGAATTTTTTAAAAGGATCCACTTTTTTGTGGGTTTTTTTTATAAAAAAAAGAATTCTTTTACCAAAAAGAGATGATGAAGTTCAAGGCGTTGCATCTCATAATTTTTTTTTCAAAAATTCGCTAAAGATAACCACTTTTTTACCACTTTTTCATTTTTTTTTTGACTTTTTTTTCTGCAATGTTATTGGATTAGAAGGAATTAAAAAAATGGAATTTTTTCAAGAAAAATTCCTATTGTCCACCCTTATGGATAATAACTCTTTCGTATAAGCTAATTTTTGCTTAAAAAACCCCATTACTCAAAAACAACCAATCAACCACGCATCCACTCCCATCCCTGTCCTGCCAACTTTGCTGACCTAAGTAACCTCTGTTTTACCAAGTTGCCATGAGTCCAAAGGGATCCACCAACACGAACGTCTTCAAAACAGTTCCTCCTCAACAGTCTAGGCTGGCAAAATCGTTGGCTGACCAAATGTTTTGCGACCCTGAGAACACTCGGCTAAAAGCCATTTTGGACGAGGTGCTTGCACGCACAGCCATACACGAAGAACAGCAGAAAGTTCTGCTTAGCAAGAGAGATGCAATTGCAGCACACTCAATTGCACTTCAAGAATAGAACAGTGCTCTTACCAAGGAGCTCCGCGTCGCAAATGAGCATGTAGAGTTCCTACACAACCAACTCCAGCTTCAGATACAAGTACCTGGGGCTTCAACCTTCACCACCACCACTCTCCTGCCCACAGAGATTGCTCCTGTTGAGAATTCCTCAGCGGAAGCCTCTGCACATGGTCCTGTCACCATCCCTACACCCTCACCCACCACGTTTTTGGCTGCTGCCAAGAAGGCGATGGGGAAGAAACCCAACCAGCCCAAGCTCACCACTGCCCAAACTACCCGCGCCCTGCAACCCGAAAGTGGACCATCTGCATATGCATTTGTATACCTGCTCTGCCGCCACCACCTCAAGTACTCCCAAGTACGAAAGCTCTTGAGAACATTCAAGATCCAACAGTCCCGTGTCTTGGACATTGCATTCCCAGAACGCGGCACTCTCTCCCTCCTTGTGCACAACGACTTCAAGGACAAGATCACCCAGCTCTTCGCAGACATTGGCGTGTCTGTGAAGACAGATTTTGATCCCTTGGACCATCGGATCATTGCTGATCCGGCACATGCCCACAAACCTGTGCAGGAACGCCAACAGCTTGCATACAAGCTACACCACCAACGTCTTCTCGCTCTCTGTCTTTGCCTCCCTGCCCCACTGGGCAAAAGTGTCATGAGGCACTTTTGTACAGTGGAAAGTAGCTCTCTTCGCCTCCCTCCAGTCTGCCTTGAGCAGTATCTGGAAGACCGAAACCTTCCATCTGGCCCCCAAGCCAGTGCCATTGACACTGCCACTGCCATGGTCATAGGATAAATAAGCTTGCTTACAGTCTTCTCTCCTTGTCCTGTCTTCTCCCCTCCTCTCTGTCTCTCTTATTTTAATCTGTATTATTCTTTCTCTTCACCTTAGCTAGTTTTATCAGTCATATTTCTGTTTTTTCTCTTATTTCTTCTGCCGAAGTTCTCTTAGGTCGCCACTATGCTAAAATGCGCAAGGCCTAGACAAATCCACAATAAAAAAAAATGTTTTCACCTGTCCACCCTTAATGTCTTAAAACAAAGTTGTATCTTAATATAAGACATAATGATATTTATTGTTGTAGTAAAAGTACAAGAATTAAAAAATTAAAATTGGGGTACTCAAAAAGTCTTGTCAACTCTTGGATATTATTGGCTAATACTTTAAAGCTAAAAAGCTTACATTTAAAAGCTTAAACGACTTTTGAAATCCTCTAATATCTATTATATTAAGCTTAGACTGTATTTTTATATTAAGTTCGATCATCAACGCTTTTTTTTCATTTCTACTTATCTTTGTATTTATCACTATTTAAGCTTTTACCCTTTATAATTTTTTTTCTTTTATCTTTATATCTATTTGTTACTAATAGTTTTCTTTGTATTTTTATAATTATCTTTTTTTTGGACCATTTAACAATTAACAAAGTCTGGTCCCCAAAAATGCGCGTGTAATCATAAAAAAGCAATTATGGGTGATTTCAAGCCTGATTTTTTAAATTTGGTCACTTTAGCATGTCTGTAAAAATTGCCCTTCTTTTTTCTAAATGCATATGCAGCTCACCATTATTAAATTCCAGCGTACGTCACACGCAATGCAAAAGGTGTACATAGCCTGTCATTTTTTTCTTCTCACTTAATAAAAAGAAGAATGTGCTAGCCTGTCAAGTCTTGAATTGACCTTTTGTTATACCGAAAGAAAGGAATTAGAAAGAACTCATTTGATTTTCTTACATTAAGACATTAAGCTACATTGTCCATTCTCAAGGAAAAGAAGAAGGAAACCAAAAAAAAAGCATTTAAAATTTATACTCTTCACTCTTGAGATACTTCCTTATTTTACCCCCCCACTCTGCTGCTAAATAAATAAGTAAAATGCTACGCGTCGCAAAAAAGGCTATTTTTATTCGTAGACCACCAAACTTCTTTAACACTGGAGGTATTCATGCTTGGTTCTCTTAACGATGTACAAATTGTTGTACATTCATGACTGATGTTCAATTTATAGCAATCATTCATGTCGCCTTTTTATTAATATATTAACATTTTTATTTAAATGCTATTTTTGTAGTACGCGCCTTCTCTACAACAACGACAAAAAAAGAACAAGTCGAAGTATTTATTGATGGAAAGTCTGTAATGATTGAACAAGGATCTGCATTGATTCAGGCCTGTGAGAAGGCTGGTGTCGATGTAAGTAATCTCTTGCGTACATGTACATTCAATTCGTTTTTTTTTGTTTGGAATACATATTTAATAATTATAATATAATTGACGTTTTTAGATCCCTCGTTTTTGTTATCATGGTATGAAGTTGTTCAAACTAGCACATAAAGCGTTTTTTCTTTGGTTTCTTTCTTGTGAATATATGAAAGTCAATTGGTTTTTTTTTCTTTATGTGTGTTACCTTTAAAATAGAGCGTTTATTAGTGGCTGGAAATTGTCGTATGTGTCTTGTCGAAGTCGAACGCTCTCCCAAACCAATTGCATCTTGTGCATATCCCGTTATGCCTGGCATGAAAGTAAAAACCAACACTCCTCTTGTTCACAAGGCTCGTGAAGGTGTTATGGAATTTCTTTTGTACAACCATCCTTTGGACTGTCCTGTGTGTGACCAAGGTGGCGAGTGTGATTTGCAAGACCAAAGCATGCGGTACGGAAGTGACCGTGGACGGTTTAATGAACCCACTGGAAAACGCGCAGTAGAGGATAAATACTTTGGTCCATTGATTAAGACTGAAATGACACGCTGTATCCAGTGTACACGCTGTATCCGTTTTGCGAATGAGGTTGCAGGGGCTCCTGAGCTTGGTTCCACAGGTAGAGGCAATGACATGCAGATCGGAACCTACATTGATATGACAATAAGCTCTGAAATGTCGGGAAATGTTATCGACCTATGCCCTGTTGGTGCACTCACTTCCAAGCCATACCAAATGACCTCTAGACCTTGGGAACTGAAGAAGTATGAAACTATTGATGTTTCCGATGCAATTGTAAGTGATATATAAATACATATATAAGTATTTTCATGTTACACAAACACATACTTATACATCACAAAAGGGTTCCAATATTCGTATTGATACACGTGGGCCTGAAGTGATGCGCATACTCCCTCGCCTCAACGATGGCATCAATGAAGAGTGGATTTCTGATAAGACCCGGTTCTTCTACGATGGTCTAAAGGTTCAGCGTCTCATTACTCCACTTGTGCGTGAGGGTGACCGCTTTGTTCCATATACCTGGGAAAATGCACTTGCCCGTGTGAGCGAAGAACTTACAAAGGCCAAAGGAAACAGCGCAAAGGCAATTGCTGGTAATCTTGCTGATGTGGAGTCCATGGTTGCATTGAAGGATCTCTTCAACCGCCTTGGATCCGAAAATTTGACTGTTGATGCTCCTAATGGGTCAAAGCCACTGTCATTGAATACCGACTTTAGGTCAAACTACATTTTGAATTCAACTATTAGTGGAGTTGAGGATGCAGACCTTGTTTTGATTATTGGATCTGATCCTCGTCATGAAGCACCAATATTGAACACTCGTTTTAGAAAAGCGTATATACAAAACGAGCAAGACTTTGGTCTTATTGGAGAAAAGGTAGATTTGACATATGACTATGTACATCTTGGCGAGAACGGCAAGGCTATCGATTCGCTTTTGGATGGATCTCACCCATTTGCCAAACGTCTTGTTGAAGCCAAAAAGCCGTTGATTCTGGTTGGATCTGGTGTAATCGAAAAATCCAAGGACAGCGAATATGTACTTTCCAAAGTAGCTGAATTGGCCAACAAGCTTAAGGATACCATCTTTCAAGATGGTTGGAATGGATTCAATGTACTTCAGCATGTAAGTTTGCTCTGTATGACAAGTTATTTGCGCAGATATTAAATATATATATATATTTTTGCGCCTACTCCCTTTCACCCATACATTCCCATTAAATTGTTTAGTGTGCAAGCCGAGTCGGAGCTTACGAAGTTGGCTTTGTCCCCCATCCAGATGCTAGTGAAACACCAGTAAAGTTTCTTTATCTCTTAAATGCAGATGAAATATCTCCCAAGGATATTCCTAAGGATGCATTCGTAGTATACCAAGGACATCATGGTGATGTTGGTGCACAGTATGCCGATGTTGTTTTACCTGGTTCCGCATTCACAGAAAAGAATTCCACGTGAGTATGGATGTGGGCATAGATATCGAAAGCAAGTAATTAAAACTTTTGCTGTATACAAGATACGTTAATGCTGATGGTCGCACGCAAATAACTCGAGCTGCAATTGAACCTCCTGGGGCTTCCCGTGAAGATTGGAAGATCATTCGTGCTCTTTCAGAAGTTGCAGGACACACTCTTCCATACGATGACTTGTCTTCTGTTCGCTCTCGTTTGTCAGAAATCAGTCCCTTGTTGGTACGTTGTGACACAGTAGAGAAGTCTTCTTTTGCTCCACTTGGCCTGTCAACTCTTCAGAAGACAAATACTCGCAGCTCCGGTGAGGTTCTGTCATCTGTGATTAAGAATTTCTACCAGACGGATCCAATCTCTCGAGCATCAAGTACAATGGCTAAGTGTTCAAAGACGTGGGTCCAAGGAAAGCCAGCAATTGATGAACTTGACAAAGCTTCTGCCTAATTGATTCGTACGCTTTTTATTTTGTTTTATTTTGTTTTAAAATGAATAAATAAATGGATAGCTATTTTATGGCTGTTGCAATTGAATTGAAATGTACATTTAATTTTGAATCCGGAGAGGAGGTATTTGGGGATATTACATTATACGTTCTATAGAAAACCATTTGCTCAATACAACACACCATGGGGTTTCAACAGCTTTTAATGCTTGACTGCTGGATGTAGCAGTAATTTAACCACCGTTCAATAATAACGAATGTCGAAAAAAAACTATCGAGTACCATTAATATCTCTTGGTTGATATGTTTTCTCTCATATACATCAAAATTCATATGTACAATATGCTTGACTAGAGTACCTATAAATATAGTGCCCCTGCCTAATTTTCCCTCAAGTAAGTTAGGCTTTTATAATTTGTTGTCAAGATAACTACTTTTATATAGATTGATTATGTTTTACTTTTGACTTTGCTTTCCTATAAAATTTGTCACCAATTGTATAAAGTGCTGTACTTTATGTACAATTGATTGCAAAGTCATTACATCTAGAGTCTCAAACTATTTTTTTAGGTGCTTGGATGCTCAGTTTTCTTTTTTTTTGAAAATTCGTCAAAGCCAATCATTTTTCGAATTAAACTACCGCTACATCCAACAGAAGCATGCAAAGCTGTTTAAACGCCTCTCTTAGAGTATACAAAACAGTTTGAAGAAAGATATGGAGCCCATATACACATGCATATACATAGTATATACATAAAAGAAAAGTGTTGGTTCTTGTATTTTGCACTTTGAATAAAAGCTATTCTAAATGAATTGTGTGCGAACAAGAAATAAATAAACGCTTTATGTATGTAATATATATTGTAGATGTGATATTTTTGAGAAACAACGTTAGTCTAAAGTTACAATCATTTTATAGGACTTACTATCAAAATAAATAAAGAAATGAAAAAAATGAGCATTAATTCTCCATAAAATCCAGCATAAAAGAATATAGTGGTTCCGAAAGGATGGTTCCATATTAAATTCCCCTCTATTTTTTGAACAAAAGTAAAATAAAGGTTTCCGAATCAAATATCATCATTTCAATCGATAGAATATAAAGCAAAGAAAAATGAAATTGAAAAAAGAATTAGGGTTACAAAGATCAAATTCTTATTTCAAATATTCTATGACTTTAGCGGATTTCTGTATGTTTATTTTAGCATATATATCTGTGTGCCTTGTATTCTATTCACTAAAACAAAGGAAGAAACAAGAATCGAAAATTCTGGTTTAGAGAGTTCCCCCTCATATGTCCAAGACAAAAAGGACTAATATCTGGATTTAATGGAGGGGGGGCGAGGAGAGATTTTTTCTTTAGTTATCTACTCTTTTGATACTGAAAGATTGTCTCTAAATAGACATATATGAATTATATCTTAAGAGCCAAAAAAAAGTGTATCTATAAGACGCAGTGATAGATAGATAGAGAATTATTATTATAAAGGAGATTTTCCCTTAAATTATGTACCATAACCAATAAGTACAAAGCTAGGGATAATTTTTACACAAATGGGAAAGTAGCAACAAACGATAGGCTGGTAACAATAAGAAGAAGAAAAGTCTGCAGTATTAAGAAAAAGGCTTTACGAATCTTACCTAGAGTAAAATAAGAAGAAGAAAATATATATATATGAAGATAATTTACGGAATATGCAAAGTGATCCTTATTTGTACTTTTATTACAAAACTTTTGATACAAATCCAGGCTACATAATATCAAACTTACCCTTTCTAATATATCTATATATTACTCTTTCTGCTTTAATACAAAGGAAAGGTGACGATAATGAACGGTCAAAATGTCAGAACAATACATCTACTTCTTCGGTTTGGTAGCTAATGAGATGGGTTAATATTTGTCACTTTTATGCTTTTGCTTTTCATTACAAGTGATAACCCAAACAAAAGGATTTTATAAACCATCACATGCAAACAAGTTCAATTTCGAGATACCTTGCTAAAACACTTGCACAAAATATAAACAGACAAAGAACTCCCTCATCTTTATTTAGATCTTATTTGTGTATATCGAAAGCTAGTGCATTAGAATTGAGCTAAGCTATTAAAATATTGGGTATATAAACCATCTGAATTAGAAATATAAACAAAACCCAAAAGCAAGATGGTACTCTCCTAATCAGACTGGTGTACGATATCGTTGTTCAGGCAAAAATCGGGTTAAATTCCGTTGACCTGTACTTATTTTAAGAATAATAATAATAGCAATATGAATTAAACTATATAAAAAGTATAAAATTGTGCCATTTTATTCAAATAATACAATACTATAGGTAAAGAAGAAGAAGAAGAGAATAAGAAGCTTTTATTTTAGACTTCTATGGAATACCTTCATCCTAAATTTTCGTCCATGTGGTATTATATATGCATATTTAAATTGTTGATTTTCATTTACGCAGTAAAAAAAATACGCATTATGGATAATAAGGATTTTCAAAATTCTGATTTTTCTATTTTTAGTAAAATATTATATATAGGAAGAATAAGCCTTTGTGCCTTTTATAGCAGCTTCTTCTTCTTCTCTTAAACAAAATTAAAACCAAACTAAAAATTATAAAGGAAAAAAAAAGTCTAATTCGAGAATTAAAAAGCTTATTTATTTTTATATATTCATTATAGGAGGTTGTTTGAAAGTCATCAAGAGTATTTTTTCTTAAATACTTGGAAAAATCGTATGCTCAGGAGAAAAACCTTATTACCAAGTAACTTTTTATCTAAAGTAGGTAATAGTATAGACTATGTATATCTCTATAGCTCTAGCAGGCTAATGAAGGCAAGAGTTGGATTATTAGACTACTTGTTTTTATATGAAGCATACAATCAAGTCAAGTAATTCAAATGTGGATTGTAATTGAAGAGATTCTTGATGCTGACTTGAATATTTGTAAATTTAATGGTTATATTGGCGTATGTTTCTCTTTTGTTTCTTACTTTCTTACTTTCTTACTTTCTCTTATTAACTCACTCTCTTTCTCCCGAGTATAATGACAAAATAATATAATTATTATCATGTCTGTCGTCATTTTCGCTATTGTACTCCTTGGTCATATATTAAATTACCGTAGTTTAGTAAATAAAAGCAAGTATCAGTAGAGCATTTTGGAAGACCCAAGAAAGATTATCAATAGCTGTCGATAAACTATTGCTCAATCATAGCACGTTTAATGTCAACCCGTCCGTCCGTCAGCCAGTCAGCCAGTTAGCCAGTCAGTCAGTCAGTCAATAAGTTCCTCAGTTAGATTTATATATATATTCCGTTGTTACCCCAAAAAATCTCTTTCTCTTAAAAATAGTAACAATATTAATACGAAATAAGGGTTTACATGTTTATTCTATCGCACAGGGATTGGTTGTGTGTCAAAATCAAGATTTGATAGTCAATTATATTAATGGTAGTAATAATAAATTACCTTACGCATTTCTTTGAAATAAACTCAATAGCCTATGTATATAGAGATATATACTTAAGGTGTTTATACCTTACTTCTTTTGTTTTCATAAGTAGTTCGCGATAATGTACATAATTTAAAAAGAACATCGCTCTGTTTCAACAAAATAGCATATATATAAATATAAATTTATCTCTGTGTAAATATCGAGATCCGATATTTTCTAGATCTGTTGCGGTAAGAATCATTTGTACGGGCACTATCCATGTGTCATGTTTATGCCCTAATGCCCTATATAGATAATAGTCTTGAGAATGATCTCTCTTTCTTTATTTCTTTCTGTAGATATTTAATACTATATATTTGTGTGGGATATGTTACTGCACCTGATGATTGCTTTTTCATAAATTTACACGTTCTACTTGGTTCAAAAAAGGTTAAATTTAGTTTGTGTATTTTAGGGTGGCTGGCATATCGATTCACAGATATCGTAAGCTAACTATATAAATATATAATATGCAAATCGAAAAAAAACAGAGCTAGAATAAACGGAAAATGAGGGATGATGAAAAGTCTAAAAGGCTTTTTATTTAACATGACAAAATATGATGTGCTTTTAGGAGCTCCATACAGATATAATCTGGAAAGGGGACACACGCTTGTGTTATATAAGGTTAATCTAGGCTCATAGACTGGGGTTAAACGACAATGGATTTCAATAATTATAAACTACAAGAATGAACTTATTTGCTGGTCAGAATTGAAGTAACAAAGAGATCCTCATTCTAAGGTTAATAGGTCTCAATACTATGCATCAACCTCTCTATAAATTACTACTTCAGATATTACTACTTGTTAAAAGAACCAAAATATTTGATAAAAGTTAACTTGATATAATATAAATGTGTGTTAGATATTATATATTTAAGCTGTTACTCACATTATTACCCTTATTATAGTTTGTACTCAATTTAGAACCACGGATAGGATCGATATGATTAATAGGAGACAATTGTTTTTCTCGCTTTGAAAATAAGCTTTTTCTCTTTGGTGATCGCCAAGAAAATAAGTTAATGACCAGCATTTACATTTTCTTTAATTGTATATAGTTGATATTTACGTCTTGAATTCCTTGAAGTACATAACTTTTATACATTAATATTATTCTTGAATACAGTATATGATACTTACTTTCCCATACCCATACATATAGACATTGATCAATTTAATAAGAATTGTAGTATTTGATAGAAATATAATGATATATAATAAGAAATCAAGTAGATAGGTAGGTAGGTAGGTAGGTAGGTAGTTAAGTAGGTAGGTAAGTAGGTGAGTGAGTGAGAAGCCTTGTATTTTGATCCCTATTTTTTTTGGTTTGCTGAGAAAAGGTAAAGAAGAATATAGAAGAAAGAGAAGAAAGAGAAGAAAGAGAAGAAAGAGAAGATTTTTTCTTCCCTTTATTTTTACAAAAAAAATAGCAAGAATAAAAAGGCAATAAACTTAACCGTTTATTTTGCCTCTTAAAAAATGAGCAATTCCTACTCTTTTTTACTTTCAATATCTAACATATTTAAATAGCACTAGAAAAGCTTGGGTCTAGGAATATAGACCGTGTTTGATATTTTCATTAAAATTTCACAAGCAACCGCCTAAAGTAAGTTCAAGAAGTAAAATAGAAAACAACTTATTCACAATGCCTGGTTATGATTATGATTATGGTTATGATTATGGTTATTGTTACCCTCTAGATAGCAACCGTAAGTGGGGGAAAAAATATTCGGTATTTGCCTATCAAAAAAATTAACCCTTTTCCCCAAATGCGATTTTGTATATCCCTCATTTTTTAAAATAGCTTTATTTTCTTAGTTTCCTTTGTTTTATCTTTTTATTTTATGTCATTTTTTTTTATAATTCAACCCACAGACAATGTGAGATTTTTTACAGAATATTGAATATTCAACATTTAAAAGTATATATAGATTAGCATAGATAGAGAAGTAGATTCTAAACATAGGCTGATTTTGCATTGTCTTTAAATTTCCCCTATAATTCCTATCTTTTTGTTTTTTTTTCTTATATGGAGAAAATAAGTTTCCCATTTTGTTATAAAAAGAAAACAGGCAATTTTTATTTTCTTTTATACATTTAACTTGCTCTTTTCCATCTTTCTTACCTTTATCCAACATCACCTTATTTTATGGTTTTTTTTCTAGTTTTCTTCAAATCAATAAAGACAATCGAATAAGTATGGCAAAACTATTGCAGCACAAGTTTATATACCCACTTATCTGCAAATATTCCAAGCACACTTTATACACACTGGGCCAGGTAATATTGCCGGCTTAATAACGATATGACTATAGACATTCTTTTTTTTACATAACTTCATTATCTGTAGATATACATGCCCATTATATATATAAAGATATTACTATGTGGCTTGTTAAAATAAAAGAAGAATAGCTTGTTATCTACACCACAGAGATTAACTCTTTAATAAAGGGAAAAGAGAAAAAGAAAACAATCTCTGTCTCTTGAGGAGTATGAGGGGTAAGGACATTACGGTATTAGCGGTTTTGTGTATGGAAAGCTGCATCAAATTCAATTTGTCTAATATCTTCATTTTTTTTTCAATGAGAAAATATTTTTATTAAAATACTACAAACACACACAAAAGCACAGATATTGCTATTTCTCTTTAATGCTGGTAAGCTAACTTAACTATACCCAAACCCTTTACGATCTTATTGTATTGAAAACATAAAATTTCACGGAGATCTTTACCAATCAGTTGTTTCTCTTTGTATTTCTAAAATAGATATTATTTTCGCTTCATGTACTTTAGACACTAAGCATCTTTAGATTGATCTATTGTCAGTTATCTATTTATTATTATGGTCTGAAAACCAATGAAAGATGGAGTGTAATTAATTAAGTCGATATTCCGAAAATCTCAAGAGTTAAAATAAATTAATTAGACAGACAATCGAAAGATCTGCTTCATTTCAGAACGCACTCTAAAGAAGTAAAGAAGGCTTTAATAAAGAATATTTTATTAAGTATACTATAATAGAATATAATTGAATTAAATTCAATTGAGTATATATATATATATATATATAAATGAATGAATGAATGGTTGAATGGTTGAATAATACCTTTTATTATAAAAATATAGATATAAATGGACTCCTTATAGATTTCATTTATGTATTATATACTAAATATGTATATTATCTTCATTTCTATTTTAGATTAAAGTGATATATATGTATATGCGTATGGTTGTATTAAACAAAACAAAATAATATTCATAATACTCATAATAATACTTAATAGTAAAACTCCTAAATATGATAGTATCTCAATGGAGGGTAAAGAGACAGTTTGCTATAAATACCTCTATGACACGTCGTCGTTGCTGTTGTTGTTGTATTTTTTCTTCTTCTTTCAAGCTACTCACTCTACATTAATCAGCTTGTACTTCCTTACTTCTATATTAGCTTCAAATTAGACACTTCTTTATTTTCTCTTGTCATATTATATAAACAATCTTTTTTATTTCTTTATTAATTACACACACTCCCACTTTAAACTACTTTTGTAACCTTTACAATTCTTAATACTTTTTCGAAAACCAATGTGCCACCAAGACTTTTCATGCCTTAACTGTATCATTAACCCGGAGAATGTCCAATCGAGAGGGTCAAATGCAACTGTTCACCCCAATCTACCGCAGAGATACTACCTTGAACCCACTCTTGACATTATCCAAGAGATCCCGGCTTACCATCAAGTGGAAACAGCTCGCGTAGATATGTCTATGTCTCCTGTCCAAAGACCTAGAAACCTAAATATGTTACTCAATTCGGTCTACTACCCTCTCCAAGAACCGCTCTCTTACGTCCCTGCAAAGTCCCTGGAAGCAACTGATGCTGTGTACCTCTGGTCAGAATGTCAAAAAAGGTGTCAAGACCGTAATCAAGATCAAGATCAAGATCACGATGGCCTCTCCTTATTTACCGATGAACTCATCTCACCTTTGTCCACTGAACGCACCTTGTATGACACACGGAGTAGCAGCAGTCCACCGTTGGGAATTGACATAGACATACCTTTCGGAACATATTCCGCAAACATAGAGTCACCTTATTCAACTGACAGCCTCCAAACCCAAATAGGAGAGTATGATGTAGCCAACTATTCAATGGGACCAACTCAAAAGCAGTCGTTTGAAAACCACCCGCCTTATCCATTTGAACACATTTTGGATGAAAACATCGCCTTTGTAACAACTGGATTCTACCAGCCACCACACCACAATTTTTCCAGTGCCAGGGCCAGTACTTTTGAACCTGTCACCGATAGGGCCATGTCAAGTTCAGTCATCATCTCTACCGGATCAGCCTCTAATTCGCTCCAGTACAGCGAGAGTATCCTGACCAACTCGGCTACCACCTCTCCTGAATCTGTCTCTAGCTCTCTTTTGCACACCGAAAGCTTGTTTGGACCCCAAGGGTCTATAGAAAGATATGAATATTCAGGACTGACAGTCCCATCCCAGGGTCAGTCTAGTGGTCCATATCATGAAATTATCGATAGGGTTTCGCATCTGATGCAATCTCCGCGCCAGCACGCCCAATCCGAGGATCACTCATCATTTATCAATGAGGCCTTGACTAGCAACCCCTCTCAAAAAAATGAACATAAGCCCCATGGGTGCACCGTTTGCGAAAAGTCTTTTGCTCGCAAGCATGATCTTGGTCGCCACATGCGGATCCATACGGGTGACAAACCTTATATGTGTTTGTGCTGCAAAAAAGCGTTTGCCCGCACTGATGCGCTGAGTCGACACTTTAGCCGAGAAGAGGCTTGTGGAAAGAGTGCTGTTGTCCAGGCATCACTAAGACATGTGGTAGGAAGAAGACAGCATCGCAAGCATTGAAAACACCTCTTGGCACGACACTCCTTTCCTACAATATAATGCTATACATTACACCACACTCCTTTTTTTTTAAAAGAAACTTTCTTTCATTCTTTCTTTTTCTCTCTTTTTGCTTTTTATTCCTTTACCCTCACTATCACTACTACTACTATTATTATTATTATTATTATTGACTGTTTATATATATATCCTTACTTTTAACTTTTTTACTTTAAATTTGCAGTACTTTGTCAATGGTTTTCTTTACTGTCTTTTCTTTATATCTTGTTTTATCTATAGAAACTATACACACATACACACACATATATATATGTAAAGAGAGCGAGAACGGAAAAGTTCATTTATAGCTGCCTTAAAGACATTTATTATATTCCTTTTATCTTTTTGCTCCTCTTCCTCTTCTTCATTTAACTTTAAATATGTTTCTTGTGTATGCCTTCTTTATATATATTCTTTTCATCTTTTTTTTTTCAATAACCAAAAAAAAATTGCTTTTAACTCTTCATGAACGTCTTGAATAATTATGCTATGCGTATACTCAAAAGGCTCTAGTGTATTTAGCTACCTATCCTTTTGTTTTCTTTTCTCACTTTGTTAACCTTTTTATATATAAATAACATTACCCTATACCCAATTATTTCTTTATATTATTTTACTTTGCTTCTTGGATACAGCTTGCGAACACAATAAAAGCTATGAACATATGTATATATATAATTTAAGTATAATATAAACGACGCACTTTTAATAAGCAATTGCAATTGCAAGTCAAAGGCAATACGATACGATACTATATGGTGCGATAGAGCACTGTGAAATACATTAAATGTTAGACCAAAATAAGAAAATGGTCTATATATATTTTTTTTCCTTTACATATTCTTCAATCAGTATACGACTTCATTTACATTAATGTACAATGATAAGACTATAATTGAGTAGACACACGTTTCTATTAATTTGTTGGTTTTTTGTTTGTCATAAGTTTCCCTTCCCCCTTTTATTTTCCATTTAAGGTAGAATTGTTCCAAGAAATGTAAAAGATACACATTGAAATAATGTAAGAGTTGATACAAGGTTAACCTTTACATATATATATAATTTGGGTATTCAAAATATTCCCACTCAATAATTTCACCCAGGAGATTAAACACGGAGACAACTACTGCTGCTTAGATAATGTATATATATATATCATATCATATCATATATTAAAAGACGCTTACTCCGCCGCGTATTTAACAAACCTTGAATGGTTGATCGATGAACTGTTATCTAAATACCTATATACTTCTTCTTACTTTGCCTTCCTATTTCTATTTGCTAGCCTATAGATTATTTAAATAAAAGAAATAAGCCAAAAGATTAGCATCAAGATATTAATATTTTTAAAATGAAATTCCAAAAAAAAACACTCCATGGGTTTGGACAATACATAATATCTAAAGGAATAAAAAAGAAAAAACAACACGAAAACAGCCCTGGTCAATCTTCACCTTCGAATTACAAGAATAAATAAAGGGACCGTTTTATCATACTATTATATGTGTTTGTATATATTAAGATTGGGAGAGTGATCCAAAGAGCCGTGCCCCGGGTGAAGGAGAATAAATGTGGATGATCGTCCAAAACGTATGCGCAAGAGCCAGAGTCAGAATCAGGGTGAATGGGTTTTTAGTGAATTGTGCGAATATGGAGCTGTCATTGTAGCTATGTATAGAATACAAATACAAATATAAATTTAAATATGTATATATATATATATGTGTGTGTGTGTGTAGCTTATTTTAATAGCTTAAAAACTATATCAATTAAATGGCTATTTGAGAAATATATATATATATAATATCACTATGGATACTTCTATATTTGCTTGATTTCCCAAACTGTTCTACTCTGTTCTTTTTCTTCCAAATTATTTCCCTTGATTGATTTGTTAAAATCCAATACAAGATCGTGGATAGTTAGCAAAGGAACAAATCTAAATTAGTAGGCTACCCTTTGTAATTTATAATACTAAACTCAATGCAAAGGAAAAGATTATTAGAAAATGTAAAAATCACATTCCCCTCATCATTATCCTCAAGTATCTATCTTACAGCCCCCTTAAAAAGATAGAATGAAGAATAAAGAGAAGCTTACCTTAGATAATATACAGACCCATATCAGTACTGAATAAAATTTTAAGATTCCGCCAAATCAAGGCATCAACTTCTTTAACATTCTTACACTAGTTTGTCTATATTCACTTAACACCCCATGTTTGAAAACATATATATACTAAGATATGGCTCTTAAAAAAATAAAAAGTAAATTTATTAAAAAAATTAATAATGTGTTGACCCTCCACGAGCCTTCTTCATCTCATGTAAGCGATTAGGCATTGACATGCAATGTGTCTTGCAAACGTCAGCCGGAATATTCTTCCATTCTATATGAATAGCCCTCTCCAGCTCATTAAGATTTTTTGGAGAGGGGACTCCGGCCTTCACTTTTCTGGTAGGATATGCCCATAAATTCTCTATGGGGCTGAGATCTGGACTGTTCGGCGGCCATACCATCACTGGGAAGTTCTGACGCTTCTTCCACTCTTCTGCAAGCTTAGACTTATGACAAGGAGCATTATCTTCTTGGTAGATAAACTCCCCATCATTTTTCTCACTAAGAGATTCCATAAATGGAAGAAGCTTCCTTTTCATTAAGTCCATATATGCATACTGGTCAAGCGTGTTCTTTATGGTTTTCAATGGGCCAACTCCTCCTGCCCATACACAGCCCCAAACCATAATGGAGCCTCCACCACACTGCAGTCTTGGTCTAATGAACTCTTCTCTGTATTTTTCTTGAGGATACCGCCATACTCTAGTATTGCCATCTCTGCTGAAAAGCATAAACCTTGACTCATCGCTCCAGATGACGCGATCCCATCTCTGATTGGTCTCTCTGGCATGATTAGCAAATGCCAACCGCTTCTTCTTGTGTGCTTTTGATAGCAGTGGCTTGTATACAACTTTACAAGAAGACAATCCAGATCTACGAATAGTTCGACGAATGGTAGACTTGGAGATGGGATGCCCTAGGGTGTCAGACATGAAGGTGGTAAGACCCCCAAGTGTTGTCTCACGATTCGTCTTCATCTCATTAATCAAGTGACGCTCATCTCGCTCATCCATTATCTTCAAAGTTCCGTTTCGCTTATCAGGAAATGCGGTTCCAGTATCTCTCCATCTATTGATTGTGGAATACACCGTTGCTAGAGGTATACCATTCTTCTCAGAAATTTCAGCAGCAGTGCCATTTACTATAGCACCACCAATTATCAGTCCTCTTTGATAATCTGAAAGCTGCTTTCGTTTGGGAAGAGTTTCCTTTTTGTTTTGGTGAGACATGGTGAGATTCGAATGAGGAAAAGCTTTGAAAAAATAAATAAAAAGTAGTGTAATGGTGATGCCTTGATTTGGCGGAATCTTAAAATTTTATTCAGTACTGATATGGGTCTGTATGTGTATGTATAAGATGCTTTCTTTTAAAGAAGGCAAGCAGGGGGGAGGGTCTCACAAGAATTATATATATAATTTATATTTATACCGGACTATTGGTTTAACGGGGACATATTGAAATATGGAAATGATTATGGTATAAAAAGTCAAGGCCATATAGCACACATAGAATGGTACACCAAATACTGCATTATTATATCAATGTTTGCGCCTGTAGGTTTCTATTCTTTGGCAAGTCCAACTTGATTATTGAATTGGTTTCCTGACAAGTAATACATCAAACTAATACTAATATTTCTGAAACTATTAAGTCAATCAATCAATCAGTAAACAAATGGACTTTCATGGTGCTACCGTGTGTTTCATTGCCCTGTCTATTCAAGTTGTAAAGTTGTTTCAATTTTATTTTTCTAAATAGTTATGGTTCATATGTACATATCAATTGTAAGACAAGTGGTCCTAGTTTGGATAATTCAGGGATTATTATTATTATTTTATTCATTTTTCTCAATAGAGATCGATCGTTTGGTTATTTTCTGGAGTGTTTATCCTGACAGACTCTTTATTCGCTATAGCCGTTGCTGTTTGAGCTTGTTTTTTTTGGTGTCTGTACACTCCCAAATATATCTCTTCACATTTGGAATCTGTACCGTTTTGCCTTTGACTATTATCAGTACTTTGCTCTATCCCTCTCGGTGCATTTGAAACCATAAAGCTTAGAGTTGCCAGGCATCTATTTTTATGTCAATAGACCAACACGCATATATATATTTATATTCATATTCATATTATAACAACGGTGAAAAGAAAGAGGAGAGAGATGAGGGGGGGTAGGGTAAATGTAACCAACAGAATACAGGGAATAAAAATTGAAACATTGTTTCATTTCTGTTTTTTCTTTTCTTTTCTTTCTTTTATATGGGCATGTCAATCTCTGTAGCCGCGTCAGACAGATTCTCACTTGAAAGAGGAGACTTTGTCAGACGGTAGAGAACAAGTGATTGAGTAGCTACACGTTCCTCTTGTTGAGGGTTGTGGGTAATCCAGACACAGGTACGTGTCTTGAGAGACTCTTCTACCAAAAGGGTAGACTCTGGATCCAAGGCAGATGTAGGTTCTAAGTACAAAATTTAATATTAATATTTGTATCAAAAAAATTTTTACTGTATTCTTATTCCTCAGGGTCGTATGCCTAAGAGCACCAATAGCTCATACCCATGCTCTATTTACTTGAGCTTGTTTTTTTTTCTTTTGATGACATCAAAAAATAAACAAACATATATTTACCATCTAATAGTAGGATCTCTGAATTCAATGCCAAAGCAATAGCCAGTGCAGCTCGTTGCATTTCACCTCCCGACAGGTGGCTCCATCTCTCCCGAAAGTGTGACTCTGATAGGTTCCAATCCATGCCAATCTTGACCTGTACCATATATTATTAATATTATTATTATACGTATAAAATCAAAATCAATATATATATATATCACAAGCTTATCGTTTTCCAGGGAGATAAAAGTAAGGGTAGAAGCAGAGGTAGAGGCAAAGGTAGAGGTAGAGGCAGAGGCAGAGTAGATGTAGAGCTTCAAAAAGGAAAAGTGATTCCTTACCGGGTCACCAAAGGTCTTTCCCTTTTGGCTGGAGTATTTCTTTATCATTTCAAAAAAGTCAAGAGGTGTTCCGGGATGAATGGCAGGGCGCTGCGGAACATACATAACATGAGATCTCCATTGAGGAATTCCATACTCATCAGGTGTTTTTCCAAATAATTTGGAATCACCAGTAGTGTAAGGAATCAGCTCAGCAAGAGCCTTTAACAGAGTTGTTTTTCTATTATTATGATTATTATGATTATGGTTATGATTATGGTTAATTTTTTTTGTATAAATATATATATATATACATATATATGTTGGTTTGAAACAAATAATATAACAATATTATTATTATTATTAACCTACCCAGCACCACTCTGACCTCTCAGGACAAGAACATCGCCTTTGTCAAGTTTGATATTAACGTCTTTAAATAGCCAACGACCGTCATCAAGTTGCATAGAAAAATTATTGGCTTCAAATATTGTCATGTTTATAGTATATGTATAAGAAGAAAAGAGAGAAATACGTTTCCCTCTGTCCGTCTCTGTCTGTCTGTCTGTCTGTCTGTCTGTCTGTCTGTCTGTCTTCTTAACGATGGGATTTTGTAGGAAATTAAATTATAAAATTATTATTATAAAATTTCTAATATAAATAAATAAGAAGTGTAGTATAGCGCACTGTAGTGTAATATAATATGTAATGTAATTTAATCTTATGTAAGTCTTACTGTACTGTAATGTACTGTACTGTACTCTATTTGTAGTGTAGTGTAGTGTAGGGTAGTGTAGTGTAATGTAAGGTGATGAAAAAGGATTAGCTGATGATGAGGTCACTCTAATGTATGTCTACTTATTTATTTATATATAAAAGTAAATTAAAGCTGGAGGGAATAAAATATTTATTTTATTTTTAATTTTATCTTATAAATATAATATATAATGTAATATATAATGTAATATAGAATTCAGATATAAACTATCCAAAACGCCCAATAAAGCAGTAAATTGAAAAACCAATAAGAAATCATAATCATAAAAATAAATGATATTTTAGTGAATTGAAGAATGACAAGTTTATCACAATATATTTTATATATAAATGTATATTGTTTAATCTGTGTGCATGTATCTGTAATATAATTATTGATATTATATTTAGTTATTAGCCCGTGCCTGAAGCCTTTGTTTTGTACTTGTTCATACACATACAGATACACATATTTTGTACAGTGATATTTTATATATATATATATATATTATAGACAGTTTTATTTTAGTGGCAAAAAAAAAGAAAAAGGCAAGAACCAAGAAGAGACAAGAACCAAGAGACTGCTTGATTCCAAAAAAAGAAAGAAAGAAACCAGTAAAATAATAATAATAATAATAATATTATTATTATTATATACACACACACACATACGCTCTACAACACTCACAACACACATAACCCTTTTCACCATCACTACTTATTATTTTACTCTCTCTTTCGCTCTTATATATATACATATATAATTCACCGAGATTCTTCTTATTTTTGTCCTTGACACTCAAATAACCATAGAATGAGTACCACAATCACAAAACGAAGACGACCGGATGACTGGAGGGTTGAGTTTTACAAGAATGGCTATCCAAAGGATGTCGTTGTAATTGAAGATACTCCTCCCCCTCCTTCTCAACAACAACAACAACAACAACAACAACAACATTATCAACAACAAACTCCACAAACTCCACAAACACCACCACCTCACCCGGCAACAATGTTAAGCCAACCTCAAATGACAACTCATGATGAAGCCATCCTCCCATCTCTCTACTCTTCCTCGACCTCCTCTTCCTCAACCTCCTCTTACTATCCAAGCCAACCCACATCAGCAGCACAGCACTTGAAGCGCACCCTACCTCCCCAAAACTTCAAACTTCCTCCACACGCACAAAACCCACTAAAAAAGCCACGACTGGATCACAGACAGCCACTTCGGCCATTTATTCAAGGTAAAATAAACACAAATGTACCAGAAAGTACAAACCTTACAAAAAGCACAAAGTACAAGTGATGAATTGTAATTATTGTGAATCAAGTAATTGATTGGGCTGAATTTAATTGAAACAAAACCCTATCGCATATAATCAACATCATTATTATTAATATTATTATTATTATTTGCAAACCATTCAATCCATATATACATATCTATCTATTGAATTGTACTTTATTTATTTATTTTGTAAAAAGAAAAACAAATCTACTTTATTAATGCTTTATGGCTTTTGATCTTTTCACATTTATTAGATTACAGCGCAATATATTCTTTACCAAAGCCAAGTGATACCTGGTCAATAAAACCAATAATCCCATGCGATGATAAGGACGGCCATTATATTATCAGAGACGGGGAATTTCTTACCGAAAGATGCAAGTAACAAATACCCACAAACACTCACAAACACACTTACACACATTCATGCCTACACCCCGCACACACACACACACACACACATATATATATATATCATTATCAATTATGCTTTAATATTAACAAACAGTAAAACTCCATTAGATAAGATAATTCGCCTTTTGGGCCAAGGAACATTTGGCAAGGTGGTCGAATGTTATGATAGAGTACGTCAAACATTCTGTGCCATAAAGATCATTAGGGCCATTCAAAAATATAAAGATGCCAGTAAAATCGAGATCCGGGTACTCAACACACTCAAGAAAAGCGACCCATTGAACCTAAAGTAAGTAAATAAACCTTTAGAGGACAATCCTAACCTCATTATTCAACCAAACTAACAAACTTTTACACCTATCAATTCACCAGCCAATGCATTCATTCAACAGACTGGTTTGAACACAGAGGTCATGTCTGTATGGTGTTTGAACTCTTGGGCCAGTCTGTATTTGACTTTCTTAAATCAAATGATTTTAAGCCCTTTCCTTCCTACCACATCCAGCAATTTGCAAAGCAATTACTAAACAGCATATTCTGTAAAGTATATCATACATTTACATTTATCTTGATACATTTGTATAGATATATTTATATAGATATACATGCATTGAAATATTCATTTTGACTAATGATCTTATTTTTTATTTTATTTTATTTTTTAAAAAAAAAACAGTCGTTCATAGTCTCAAGCTAATACACACAGACTTGAAACCTGAGAATATTCTGCTAGTAAACCAGCCCAGCACAGGTTTATCAGCCTATGAAAAGGTAAATTATTATTTAATTCGACTACACTTATTATCATTAGTGACTCATACATGTACGTTTGTGTGTATATATATATATATATATAATCTATATTTGATTTTTTTTTCATAGAATCAAAGCACACACTCTATCCTACAAGACACAGAGATTCGGCTGATTGATTTTGGGTCTGCTACATTCGAAAATGATTATCACGCCAGTATTATCTCTACAAGACACTACAGAGCACCAGAAGTTATACTAGGCAAGTGTACAATTACTTGATTATTCTGTGTATATATGTATATATATATTTTAATAATACCAATGCTGACAATATCTCTAAACTAACTTTGGGGGAATTCTAGGTTTGGGCTGGTCCTATCCTTGTGATATGTGGTCTATTGGCTGTATTCTTGTCGAATTCTTTACAGGTGAAGCTCTTTTCCAAACTCATGACAATCTTGAGCATCTGTCAATGATGCAAGTTGTACTGGGGCCTATTCCACATCCGTTGATAAGAGCAGCAAGGTATTAATATACACATAAAGAGACTTTCTTCTTTCAAGTAATATGTCTATATTTGTATATTAATATCATTTATTTATTCTGTATAGTAAAGACGCAAAGGAATTCTTTGTTAATGATCGCCTGGGTGTACCTATTGTAACCACACAACAAAGTCGAAAATATATACAAAGGCTGAAGCATTTAAGGGTGAGAAATAAATAGATAAACAAAATATAGAAAAATATAGGGCGAATTAATTTCAATGGATTCTTATACACATACAGATTAAGAGTGCTTATGATTATCAATACTTTATTGATGCTAAACATTAATAATATTAATGTTTTTCTTTTGTATGAAAACTTAGGCTATCATTTCCCCATCAACCCAACTGAATATGCATTTCCTTGATCTCTTGGAGAAAATGCTGGTCTATGATCCCAAACACAGGATCACTGCTCGAGATGCCCTTTGTCACCCTTTCTTTGACGGTACTTGAGACAAAGACCTTCAGGCCTCTAGCTAGATAGAGAGAAAGCCAGAAGTACAACGGCCTATGAAAATCTTACTATTATCCTGTCATTTTTCTTACACACCAAAACCAAACAAGAAACAAGAGAAAACTGGCTCTTTACATCTAAAACTCGAACCCTTTCTGCTTTTCCCTTTCTTCACACTTGCTCGTATAAACCCAAGAAAAAAAAAACAAAAACAAAAACAAAAACAAAACAAGAAAACACCTACACCTACACCTATACTTTCAACTACACCTTCAACTACACTTACATATATACTTACATTTACACATATATTTATTTACTTATATATATATATATATATATATCCACCAACCAACCAACCAACCAACCAACCCGCACACACACACACATATTAATTAATGCACATAAAAAATCATCCTATCCAATTCCTCCCATGGCCAATAATTGGGGCAACCAAACGCACAACCCATGGTCTCCAATACGTCTTCAACGCCCTATATCTGTCTTTCTGTCTTTCTGTCTGTATGTTCCTATTTGTCTCTTTCTGTCTATCTCTATCTATCTATATATATATATATATATATATATATATATATTGTACCTATTGAATGTCTGCTTTTCTATTTTTATTTATTTATTTTTTATTTTGTTATTTTTTAAAAAAATATATATACATATTATTAATATAAAAAATGTTAATGAACTACTAGAGTTTCGTATGCATTATCTCTGTAGTGTGTGTTTAGTTGTGACAATTTTTTTTGTACTTTTGAATTTTCTAACCCTGACTTTGTACATAGCAACGAATTAACGAATAAATAAATAAATAAATAAATAAATAAATAAATAAATAAATAAATGGGGTAAAAATGGGCATGATTAGAGTAACGGAGCTTGAACGACAAAGTCTCATCCAAAAGAGCCATTGATTTGCGTATGCTTGTACAACCCTGGCCTGAACACCCAGCACAGACAAAGCCAACTTAGCCGGCAATAACACGTGAAGACGTTTTCAAGATCTCATTCTATTGTCCCCCAAACACCGTAGACAAAATCTACAAACAGAAAACCAAAGAAACTTTAATATTGAACCCAAGTATATACAATACATACAATATATATATATACAATTTGCTACCATTTTCTTTTTTTTTTCCCCAAGTTAATATATATATAAAGAAGTTCCTTTTAGTTTTTCTTAGTTCTTCCTGTCCTTCTTTCTTTCTCTTTATCTATCTCTATTAAATCCTATTAAAATGGCACCAACCGACCAACCTACCAGAAAACCCGTCAGGTAAGAAATAAGATTAAGATTAAGCTGTGGATATCGATTGACTTTTTTTTTTCTTTTTTTCTTTTTGACTATTGTGTGTCTTTGTAAAATCAGAGTTTGGGTCGACGGATGTTTTGACATGATGCATTATGGACATGCAAATGCTCTCAGACAAGTCAGTAATCTGTTTATCATCATCATTGTTATCCAGAATGATACAAATATACGGGACATTTTTCTCACTCTTTACATATATCTATATACCTACCTGTCCAATAAAACCAGGCCAAAGCTATGGGCGACTTTTTGATTGTCGGTGTTCACTCTGATGCAGAGATCGAAAAAAACAAAGGTCCAACTGTCATGAAAGAGGCTGAACGGTAAAATATTTTAAGCAGCTTATATAGAATGTAGAATATATCAAATATCATATATCATATATCACAGAGTGTATAGTGTATCTTAAATCGTCATATTTATCTATATGGCGTTTATTCATTATAATTTTTTTTTCTTTAACAAAAAAAAAATCTGTTGTAGTTATGCTGCTGTAGCTGCTTGCAAGTGGGTGGATCTCGTAGTTCCCAACGCTCCTTACAACACAACCGTCGAGATCCTGAGAGAGCACAATGTTGATTTCTGTGTTCACGGCGACGACATCACAACCATGGCAGATGGCACTGACTGCTATCAGGCTGTGAAGGATGCCGGGCTTTACAGAGAATGCAAGCGTACCGAGGGTGTCTCGACCACCGAAATGGTCGGCCGCATGTTGCTCATGACCCGTAACCATCACAACCGTCCAGCCGAGACTGGAGATTCATCCATCTCGGGTTTCAAGTCCGAGAAACTGGGCCCGTTCAGTGACTCTGGCAACCACGTCCACACCACCATCTCGCACTTCCTGCCCACATCAAAGCGCATCGTCCAGTTCTCGGAGGGCCGTGAGCCTAAAGAGACTGACAGGGTTGTCTATGTGGATGGTACATTTGATCTTTTCCATGTTGGGCACGTTGAGTTCCTGAAGAGAGCAAAGAAACTAGGCGATTTCTTGATTGTTGGTGTACACGATGATCAGGTAATGTACATACATTCAAAGGAAGAAAGAGATAGATAAAGATATAAAGCTAATAATTATACATATATATATATATATATTCTATTTAGACTGTTAATGCTATCAAGGGCGTCAATTACCCTCTGATGAATCTTCATGAGCGTGCACTTAGTGTTTTGGCATGTCGTGTAAGTAGACTAATATGCTTTAATCTTGACTATATAGTCAAACTAACACTGAGCGATATGTATGTGTGGTAGGGAGTGGATGAAGTTATCATAGGAGCACCCTATAGTGTGACCAAGGATGTGCTGGGTTCAGAATATAATGTAAAGGTTGTTGCTCACGGAAACACGCCTACTGAGCGTGATTTGGATGGCAGTGATCCTTACAAGGCAAGTATTTATATCAAGGCAAAAGACAAGATCCAGACTATAATAAAAAACATGAGAAACATCCGGTTATTAATCCTTATTATTCTGATAGCTTGCTAAAGAGCGCGGAATCTATGTTGAGATCAACAACCCCAACTCTACTTTAACTACTCACGGTATTATCGAACGTATTATCGAAAACAGATTAATGTAAGGTCAAATTAAACATATGTACACCTTGATAAAGAAAGAGAGAAAGGGAGACATGTTTTTTAACGGATATATATATATATATATATGTAGTTTTGAGGAGCGTCAGAGAAGAAAGACAGCAAAGGCCGCCCTTGAGGCAGAGAAAGAAGCTCTTGAGAAGCAGACAAAGGCTAAGGATTGCCAAACAACACCAATTTCTGTCAATTAAGTAATTAACCGATTGATTGATAACCATTACTACACCATATCCCCTCTTACTCCACCCCTCCTTTTATTATTCTCTTTTCTGATTTCATTTTATATTATTTCATATGTTGAATTCATCTTCAACTTTCACTTCTTCCCCTTCTTTGTTGTATTCCTTTATCTTTCTTTTTTATAACATGTACACAGTGTATTTACCTCGACCAAAAAAAATCACCTCCAATCCTATTCATCATATCCTTCTCTATCCCCCCCCCCAATTCGCTTTGTCCACTTTTCTTCCTTCTCTTACAAAGCACATCATTCAGGCGCGCAATCACGCAAGAGAGAGAAAGTGAGTGCGTGTGTATGCATGTATTTTGTGAGAGTGATGAGAAGAGAAATTCAAATAGTATTTATAATATTTGTATTAATATTAATATTATTAATAATAAAACACCACGTTCAACCGTATATTTGATCAATATTTTAAACCATTATGTAATCAGTACCAAGTAGTATGTACATAATATGTATATATAAAGACACAGAATTAATAGTACAGTAGCTAATAAGCCAAAAAAAAATTAAAAAAAAAGAAATATGAATACAAGGTAACAAGGTCAAGGGCGATCTATCTCTTTTTATTATATTCTCTTATCTCGGCTTGTTTCCTGATTAAATTTGAAATTTTATTTGCTGTAAAATTATAATACAATAAAACTGTCTTTTTCTTCTTCTTCTTCTTCTTCTTCTTCTTTTACTTGGTAGCCCACCATACACACACACACGCAAGCACGCACGCACAAAATAATATAGGTAAAATCCGTGCCTTTTTAACCAAACCAACCCCAAGGGATCCAAATTATACACAACACAAAAAAAAAGATACACAAGAACACCAGGCCCTGATCCAAATATATATATATAATTGAAATACCAAGATCCAAAGCGGAAACAAACAAGCATATATTAGTAGTGTAAAAAGCTGCTCTATTACCAAATGCATCATTCTCGAGCACTGTATTTAAGCAGATAAAGACAATATGTACGTGCATAGATATAAAAAAAAGTAAATCAATAAATCAATAAAAGCAAGATACAGTAAAGTAAAAGAAGAGCAGTAAATGAAGGTATAATATTATATATATATATTCACAGTGCTAAAGAGTAAGTTTGTCTGTTATAAAATAAAGAAATACAATTGGTATAGACAGATCAAAAACGATCAAATTTAAATATATATGAGTGAGTTCAGCCAATAAAATCAATCGTTGTCTTGATCTTACCGATTGTTCAAGATTCGTTTTGTAACAGTTAAAGACTTGTCAAAATTGAATTTTCTGACCCTCTTTTAACAATAAAACAAAAAATAAAAGTAATTGAATATTGTGATATGTGCAGTATACTAGCATTTAATATTAGGAAAGGCAAGCATGGTAGTGTATACTATAATGCATTGTATCGTCTATTTAATTGACAATGCAATTACCTGGGATAAACGCTGGCCAATCAAAGTCGCTTAAACTCTTTCTTCTTCTTTATAAATCTATAAGTCCAAAGAGCATTGCTTACATTCTTGATCGGTTTTTATGCTGTGGAGACCAAGATAATGTGATCGCCTTTAATAAGTATTAGGATATCTCAATGATAGTGTATACTCTTGAGCTTATATAGCAAAGTCTATTGGTCGAAATTTGATCCTAGACAAGATAATATATATATAAGGATATAATTTTTTGCTGTTATTTCTAGAGAGCAGTTGAATTAGAAGGTTAAGCTATGATGCCTTACATTTCTGGACAGTTGTCTGCTTTCTAAGTTTGTACTTTTAAATTTGGAAGATCAATAAAATAATAAATGAGCATTTTTGGTTATTTGCTCTGTATGGTAGTGAGTACCGTTAGTGTCCTTATCCGTTTTGGACTGAAAGAAGTAACTGTGAATGGCGAGGTTGTGCCACAAATTTTATTTGCTGAATATTAAAATCAATAAATCAATAAAATATATTAACTGCCTTGGATGACAAGAGAAATTACATTTGAATTGTCGCTTCCTTCATTCAATCTACCTCTTCCTTCCTTCTTTCTTTCTTTCTTTCTTTTCATCAAGTCCTCTCCTTTTTATTTTACTTTCTTACCTTCCTTAACCTTTAACCCATTCCATCTCGTCATGTTCCTCAAGACATCTATCCTTACCTTGGCCATTTCCATTCAGTTTGCCCTGGCTGCTTCTGTTTCTATTCTTTCCCCCAAGGCTAATGCACACTGGCACATTGGCGAGACGGTTGAGATTAAATGGTAATGCTAGTACGGAAAATAGTGTTCATTATCAGCACACCTATAGACATACACACACACACAAAGACGAAAGACACGCACACAAAACAGACCCGCAGATACACATCACGATAATACAACACATCAATATCAAAGTCAGCAGCACAATCGATACAAGCATCCTAATCATTTCGTCCACCACCACCATCAAGAACAATAAAAGAAAATAAAGATATTAATTATAATTTTATAGGAAACTTTCTGATCCCTCAGCCACGGGAAACCTCTCGCTTGCTCTTGCATCCGGACCCGCAGACGCACTTGTAATTAACCAAGTTATTGCTTCGAGTGTGCCAGTAAAGGCTGGTCAGTACAATTGGACCATTCCCCAGAAAGTCAAGGCAAACAAGAAATAGTATGTGTTCTATTAATTCTTTATTTTAAAACAAAAAACAAAGTATATAGATTATTTTTGCGCAAGTGATTTGCAGTTCATTAGGTTCCTTGTTCTCCTAATATGCTTCTAATATTCTGTAGTGTAATTGAAGTAGGCCAAAATGCAGAAGATATTTCCTTTGTTGGTAAGCACAGTTAACAAATTTCGGTTGTGTTTCTGAAGATCCACGCACACATACACTCTAAATTCTTCCTTTATTTTATTTATATATAAAAACTCAATTAACCAAACTAATAAAAATAATACACAGGCTGGGTTCAAATTCTTGATCCCACAGGTTCGGGCCATTCCCACAAGACTGTCTCCAGTTCTGCCCGTCCAACCAAAACAACTACACAGCCTCCTATTGCTTGCGTTACCCTGCCTGGTCTCGGCAAAAACCATGACGACCAAGTCCGCTGTCACTCCTTCCCTGAACCTGAACAAACAAACGCACCTAAGAAACCCCAGGCTGTGAAGCCAAAGAAACACGGAACCCACAAAGCCAAGAAGAACTCCAAGACCACCACAAAGAAGACTACAACTAAAAAGACCACTACAAAAAAGACTACCACAAAGACAATTACTCACCAGGCCAAGCAGACAGATTATGTACTACCCGCTGGTTACATAGCAATCTAGATCTCTTGAGTAATGAGTAGTGAGTAGTGTATGTTTGTATAGTTGACTTTTTAAGCAGGACTTTTTTTATCTATCTATCTATCTATCTATTTATTTATTTATTTATTTATTTAATTTCTAAAGTAAAGAAAACCAAAAAAAAAACCCCCACAAAACCAAAAGCTGTACTTTGGTGTAGTTCTGAGAACCTAACCCTATGGTTTTTCTTTACATATATATTGAAAGTAAACAGTAAAAGAACACTACCATAAACCTCCTCTGCCTTTTTTTTGTTTTTGTTTTTTTCCACCTAAACAAAGTCATGATATTGTTAACAGTAAATTCTATAGTTTAATGGCTTACAAAGAGAATGACAATAAAAAAAGAGGGTCTTGTAGCTTAACATAAGAGCAAGACCTTTTGGATACATCATTAACTGACCAACTGATTGATTGGTGATTTTGATTTCTTTGGTGCCATTCAACTATTCAAAGAAATCGTTTCAGGAACAGTACCAAGGCAATTAAACGAAAGAAAAGTTTTGCATACTTTTGTATCATTCTGTAAATTGAGTTTCTTTAAATATATATATATATTTAGATAGATAGATAGATAGATAGATAGATAGATAGCCTTCTTCATTTTCTTCTTTGAAAAACATCGGCTTAAGAATTCTCACCTTTCTAGCAAGTGTGTAGATAAAAAAAATAAACATAAGAATACAAAAGATTTTGATTCGATATTGATCCTTTCAGTTTGGATCAAATAAGGTTTATAATTCAGATACTATTATTGCTGTTGCTTCTTTGCTTTTTGATCTTCTTGACATCCTTGTAAGATACATGTAGTTTTGCCGTGGACCTTTATCGCCACATTGACGTTCTTTTCATTATTCTTATTATCACTACTATCTATTTGGTTTCCTTTTAAATGTCCCTTATTTTATTAAAACAATGAAAGATTAGATCCACTCCTTTTTCCTTTCCACTTGGGCTACAATCTCTTATACAAAAGCTTATTATTATTTTTTATAAAAGGTATTTATATAGCTATCCTTACTCAATTTTCAATATACATTGAAATCAAAATTGTACACATTATTATTTTGTTGTACGTCTCACAATACAAGAATCCATTAAACAAATATACAAATAATATTCAAACGAAAAAAAAAAGCACGCCATTAATAAATTGAAATCAATTATATTGTGTTAAATATAATCTCCCAAAAATACCATGCATAGCGACTATACTATTATCTTTGTTGTATAGCTTTATATTAAAACATACATATAAATATACAAAGTTAGTATAAAAGAAACCCTCATTTTACTTTTATTAATTAATTAATTAATTAATTGATTGACTGATTGATTGATTAATTATTTAATGATTTGATAGCCAAGAAAATATGCGTCTATAACACTAGATTTCTCCAATCATAGTTAAATAAATTGAAAAAATTGCGTTTTATAGATAGATATTCACATTTTTATTTTATTTTTTTCAAAATCTTTTGATGCAAATTGTATTTAAAATAGCACTTATTGGAAAAATACAGTACAACTCAAGATATTTGTGTGTTTGATATTTCTTTAGAAGGAAAAAGTAAAAGAAAAAATCGAAAGGGGGGGGGGGAATCGAAAAAAAATACTTTAGTGGTTTATGGAAAGGGCATTGGGGAGGTATGGAAGAGGGGATGGAAAAATAGGAGATATATATGTTTGTTTGATTGTATGAGTGAGTGAGTGATTTGTGATCTGTTGAAAGTGTCATGAAATTATTCTTGCAAAAAATAAAAGAAAGAAAGAGAGGGAAGAGGAATTTACAATTCATCGTGACCAATCTCCTCCTCGGCCTCAGTCTTCTTTTCTTCCTTTACATCATCAGTCTTGATAGAGAGGTTCTTGCTACCGTTCTCGTTGACAAACTGAACAAGATCCTCGAGAGTACGGTCACCGTTGTAGTCAATGATCTCGTTGGTCTCGGCCTTGAAGAACTTAAGGGTGGGGAAGCCAGAGACAGTGAAGCCAGCATCCTCGGGCAAGTCATTCTCGGTACCGTCCATCTTGGCAATAACGACGCTGTTAGAAGCATCCTGAGCCTTGATCAAGTCACCAAGAGTCTCCCAGATGGGAGTGAGCTTCTTGCAGTGGCCGCACCAGGGAGCGTAGACCTCAAGGAAGACATCCTTGGACTTGTCCAAAACAATGTCCTTGAACTCGGTGCCAACAACGACCTTGACGGGACCATCGTTGACGGCAGGAACCTCCTCAGACTTGAGGGTAGGCTTGATCTTACCCTCGATGTAGTTGTCGAGGAAGTTTTCGATGGATTCAGTGGTGATGGACAAATCCTGGTCAAGGGGGAACTTAGCTCCAGTATCGAGGTGCTGGATGGCAAAGGCGGGCCAGTTCTCCTTCAAGCCAAGGTTGGCAGCGTGGCTACCGTACTTGGTGGCATCGATATGGACAAAGTTAACCTTGCCCTTGTACTTCTTGGCGACAGGCGAAACGGCATCGACCAAAGGCTTCAACATCTCAGCAGAGTCGGCGAACACGTAAGCCAGGGGCAGACCAGAGTCGGCGTAGAACTGGAAGTTGGAAGCATCAACCTCGGCCAACAAGGGGACAGAGTTGGCTCTGACGAATTCCTCGATTTCCTCAACCTTGAATTCACCAGCCTTGTCAACACGACCTTCATCGAACTGCTTGTACACAACAATGGAGGGGAACTCCTTGATATCCTGCTCCTTGGCAAAAGCCTCATCAGTGACCAAGCCAAACAAGAAATCCTCACGGAGCTTCTCGGCAGCAGCCAAGAGAGTGGCCTTGGAGACTTCATCCTTGGGGTCAGTGTAGGCGACGACAACGACACGGTCAGAGGTCTTGAAGGGCTCAAAAGTCTCAGAAGTCAAAGGCGAAATAGCAGGGGCAGCTTGCCTATAAATAGGAGGTTAAATTAGACTTTGCGATATACATTACAAATATAGCACTTTTGGCGCTTTATTTTTATTTTTATTTAAAACACAGTAAGGAACAAAACGCGTCTAATATGTATGCTGTTGACTAATCCTTTGCGCTAATACACACATGCACTTCCGCATACGCATACGTATACGCATGCGCATACACAAATAATAACCAGTTTCTTCTTCTTTACTTACTTTGTCATGTAGCTAACAATACCATCGGCCTTACGGGGACCCTTGTACTCGACGAAAGAACCGTTTCTAAAGACCTTGAGGGTGGGGTAGCCACGGATCTCGTACTTCTGGCACAAGTCTTCATTCTCGGTACAGTCAACCTTGGCAAGAGTGACAGACTTTTCCTTGAGCTCGGTGGCAGCGGTCTCATACTCGGGAGCTGCGAGAAATAAATATTAGTAACCGAGTCTAACCAATGATTATTATAGTGATAGTGATAGTAATAGTAATAGCTGAATTGTATCAATTGAAATATTTAAACGCACCAAGAGCCTTGCAGTGACCACACCATGGAGCATAGAACTCAACCAAAGCCAGGTCCGCCTTGAGGGCCTTATCGAAGCTGGCCTCAGTGAGGGAAAGCACATCACTTTCGGCCATAACGGTCTGAGTGAGAGCAGCAAAGGTGGTTGCGAGGGCAGTCCAAAGGAGAGTTGTCTTGACCATGATGAGTAATAGATGAAAAAAAAAAGTGTTGAATGAACGATGAAGAACTGTCAGGTTCAGGATTGACAAGAGAAGCTGGTTTATGTGCTTTACAGACCCTCTGAGCTGTTCCGTTTTGATTGGCGGATGATAAGATAGTCACACAGCTCCGAGATGCCTTCCATTTATAGAAAGACGGATGTTGAAATGTAGCACTGTGTGAGTGTATTCCTTCACACAAATGGCAGTTCCCATCATGGACCATCAAATGAAACATCCTATTCGCCTGTTGTATAAAATCCTAAGACATTTGAACACCACCAAGTCTTTTAATTAACGTAAATTAATCATATAATTATAATTATAAATATTTAAATATTTAAATATTCAAATATACACAATATATAATACAAACTGAATGAATGAATGAATAAATTGACAATTTTCAATTTCATTTCATTTCATTTTATTATTATTATTTATGTGGTAAAAGTAACACCAGCCTATGACAGTAAGCTGAAGGAGTCTAAAATTAAATAAATGTTAAAATCAGAATTAGAATCAGAAGAAGCTGAAGTAAAAGAAGGAAGAAAGGACTACAAGGAAAGGGAAAGGGAAAGGGAAAAGGAAAGAGAAATATTACTATTACTACTATTACTACTTTCACCACCACAAACACTACTACTATTAATATCATGGCTCTTTAAAATTGTCCCTGAAATAACCAAGTAAAAAACCAAGTAAAAAACCAAAAAAGAAAAGAAAAAAAAAAGCTCCTTTGGCTACTGCGATATTTCATTCAGCACTACCCTTTTAAAAAAGCCAAAGAAGCTTTTATTGTTTTCAAAGAACTCTGTTCTGGTTAACATCGAAACGATTAAACGATTGGGCAGGCGCTGATCCTCAAAGGTGACCTCACCTATATCAACGGTTTTCAAAAAACTGTAAAGGCTTTAACAAACTGAAGGCCTTCTCCCTCTTTTTTTTATTATTATTATTTTTTTCCCTATATTCATCTCTCGCCCCCCACTCCTACTCCTCCTCCTCCCCTTTTGTCTAATGGAATCTTACTTTCGCAACCACAGAGAAGACCAAACGACTATTGATATCATCGACCCTTCCTCTGGACTTAGTAGTCCACTCTACCCATCCGCAAGAGATGATATCTGTTATCCAGTCGTACCGGCCAGTCGACTGCCGTTAGATTCCCGATGTCCCACAGACGTCGATCTCGATGCTTTAAATCGTATTATTCACCAGGACACAGAAAAGGCAGCAATTGGTCTGATCCACCGAAGAAGTCTCTATGGAGATCCACCTGAAGTATATAAATATACATACATACATACATACATACATACATACATACATACATACATACATACATAAATATACATAAATACATAGTTACATACATAGATACATACATAATCTTTTTTTTTAGAAAAAAATATAGGATATAGAATATAATATATATATATATATGTATGTATGTATGTATTTATAAATCTTGTATATTAATTATAAGCTTGGAATAGTCAGAGCGTTGGCAGAATAATGATGAGGATGAAACTAGACAGTGCGCTTATTATCACCCTGACACAGGTTTAATCCATGGCCGGTCTTTGTTAGAGCTTGAGGGTGGTAAAGGCTTAGAGTCACTTTTGACCAAGGAGAACTATTGGATAGACATCACTTGCCCAAGCCAAGGAGATATGAAAACGCTTGCAAAGGTAATGAATATCAAAATGAATTTAGTTATTTATTTTTTCTTTGGTTCTAAATTACATGCCAATTAATTGAGTGCAAATGAAACATATATAAATCTACTAGGTGTTCCGTATTCACCCACTCACTACGGAGGATATTATGGGCCAGGAGTCAAGAGAAAAGTGCGATGTGTTTCGCAATTATATGTTTGTGTGCTACAGAGGGTGCGTGCAGGACAAAGGACAGCTCCGGCCGTTGAGTTTTTATCATATCATATTCCGACGCAGTATTGTTACGGTGAGTAATGTGAACTTGGCAGATTTCAAGGACAACAACAAAAACCAAAGAAAGAACAAGAACAAGAATCATTGTGATTTTGTTGCTAAGAAAAATAAATTATCACGCAATTATATACAATAGATCCATTTTGTTCGGGGGCCTCACATGAACAGTGTCTACCAGAGAATTGTCCAACTCCAGGATCACTTACTCACAGTCCCGGACTGGATTAATTATGCAGTCATGGACGAGATTACAGATAGTTTTGCGCCTGTAATCCAGCAAATAGAGGCAGAAGTAAATTCGATAGAAGAAGTTGTGCTCGACAGTGTATTAGATGCCAATGTAGATGCTGACATGGTCAATCGCATTGGGGACTGTCGTAAGCATGTTATGCAGCTATTGCGACTCCTGGGTACCAAAGCAGATGTTTTGCGAACGCTTATTAAGCGGTGTGAGACCATACGATCAGCTGAAGATATCTACAACTCATCATGGGCTAGTAAATCTAGTCAGACGCTCGTAGGATCGCCTGCTTTGAGACCACTGCCGAATAACACAAGTATGCATCGTCGAAAGGGATCCAGCCCTTCGCAGGTCACTCCTTTATTCCTAGAGGAAGATGAAGGACGCATGTTACCAGACGTTGGTCTTTACCTGGGCGATGTTCAAGGTAGAGATGATAATAAGAATAGCATATAACTGACACCTATTCAATCAGAATACAAGTGGCTAAACGTTTATTAAATATATATATTGTTTTATTTCAAAAACTAAAACTAAAACTGAAATCAAAATCAAACCCAATAATAATAATAATAATAATAATCCCAAAAAAAATCCCAAAAAAAAATCCCAATCAGACCACATCCTAGCCATGTTGCAGAACCTCAATCATTATGATACTGTTCTAGCAAGGTCTCATTCGAACTACCTAACCCGGATATCAATAGCTCTCACTCAAACATCCAATTCAACCAACCAAGTCATAGGCCGTCTCACCATCTTTGCCACTATTCTTCTTCCTATGAACCTGATAACCGGTCTCTGGGGTAAGTGTTACCTATGGTCAACCAATAGAATGTCTTGCTTATTGCTACATAATCCAGGAATGAATGTCAAAGTACCAGGCAAGGACCACGATGACCTCTTGTACTTTGGATGCATTGTCTCTAGTCTGGTCATCTTCGCCATCTGCTCCCTAACTCTGGCTAAACAGACTCGTCTGTTGTAATGTATCAGTCAAGTGACGTCAGATCAGACTCACCAATGGTTGAACCAAAGAGAAGAGAGCGTTTGATTGTTATCTCTTGACAAAATCCCCGCCCTATTTTTCTGATTCAGGTCACTTTACATTTAATTTTTTTTTAAATATCATTTTGACTCTATTATATATATTTATACACATACGCACATACGCACACACACACACAGATATATATATATATATATATATATTTCTTCCTCAGCTCCACTTTGCTTACAAAAAGACAAATTCTCTTTCCTCTCTCTTTCTCCCTTTCTCTCCCCATCTCTTCATTCTCTCAACAATTCACGGTTTACTATAGTAATCATTAAATCAACCAACCAACCAACCAACCAACAGCAGCAACAACAACTACATAATACATTCGTAAAAGTCATGAAACTTGAAATCGCACAAGCAGTAGAGTTTCTTGGTCGACTTCTCCAACCAAAGATGGAGAGTGACCTCTTGTTAGTATACAAGCAGCACTTGTCACTCTCACTCCACCAACGTTTTCAAGACCACTGGGATACTCTTCAGCCATTGAGGGGTAATGCTTACAGAGCAATCTCTAATTTCAACGGACATCTTGATCCCGTTCTCATTCTTGGTGAGTAAATAATAATGCAATACTTCTTTTTGATATAGATTAATATCAAATATATTACATTACATTATGAATTGTATAGAAATAGCAATAATAATCTTTTTTTTTCTATCCTATCTTTTTGCACATTAAGCTGCCACTAGTGCTGCAATCACTCCAGAGCTTATTCACACACATCTGCCTCGTGACTTTGTGCTTTGGATAGACCCATTTTCGGTAGCCTACCGAGTGGGTGATCATGGAAATATCATGACACTTTTTGAGGACCGTTCTCGCGGAAGATTGGGCGTGAAAGCCGAACCACCCCTTACTTTTGTCCCGAGAGTATCGACTCCTGTCCGCATTTCCCCACCCAATAGTCCCAACTCCAAGCAAGAAGCAACAGAAGCGGCAACAACAGCGGTAATTACAGCAGCAGCTGTCAAAAAGTACTCGATTCACCAGAGCTCTCCTCTTGCTATTCATGCCAAGAAAGACGAACAAAAACAACTGGTGATGGTGAACTAAAGAACAAAAATTAACAAAGAGAAAAAAAAAAGCACACACACACATACACACACACACACCCACACACACACAAACAAACAAAAGGAACTGTAAAGAAACCCCAATCTTCCCAATATTCACCACCCTCTCCCTCCTCCTTCACCACCTCTCTTCCAAAAGAAGAAGAAGAAGACGAAGAAAGCATAAGGAAAGAACTGTTGAAAAAATATATATAGAAATACTTCTTCTATTTCTTCATCTTTCTCTCTTCATTTCATTCTTTCTTCCATTCTTTCCTTCATTCTTTACCTCTTTATCTCCCTTCTTTATAGGTTATTCTTTTAGTATTTTTTTTAACATTGCATTTTTTTCTACATTCTCAATCCCAACCTCTTTCCCTCCCCAAATTTCTTTTTATAGCTTCTTATTATTTTGTGTAAATCCTTATTCTGTTTCTGTTTTTTCATCATCTCTTAATCAAGCTTTGTACTTTTTTTTTCTGTTTATGTCATTTGTCATTTGTCTTCCCCCGAACTTCCCTCCTCTTCCCAAAAAGAAAAAATATATACTTTATTCATTTTTGAAAGCAATACAATTAATACTTGATTTCCTGTCTCAAGTGTGTATGGGTATCTATATATGCCTTGCAGCACACACGAGCCATAAATGGTCGTACAAATCAATTCTATTGCTACTCCACCGTGACTTGTTCAAACAACGCCTTTCTTGTTCTTTCTCTTTCTCTCTATTTCATTATTTCCCTCTCTTCTTTTTTTTTGTCTTCATCTTTATGTCAATCGAAGTTCCAATTGTGTACATTTTAGCAGGAATCGTCACATTGCTTGCTGCTGTTGTTGGTATGCATCATCAACATTACTAGTCAATTCATTCATCCCTAAATCTATTCTTGAAAAAAAGCCTCCTTTTTCCTTTTGAAGAAAAAGCAGACAGGCGACACAATCCTGCTGTTGGGTGTGAGCGATGCTGGCAAGACTGCACTCTACACATTGGTATACTTCAACTCTCAAAATTAAATTCATATATATACCAATTTTTATAACAAATGTTGCATTTAATGTACAGATCAGATTCGGTAAAAAAGCATTGACAGTTACTTCAATGAAAGAAAATGAAGGTTCTGTTACACTGGGTAATAAGGTAACTAATATATACATATATACATATATACAAGCATATATACATATGTACAAGCATATATAGCTTGACCTGACTGTATAAAAACGAGACTAACCTTATTAAACCAAAAAAAAAAAGACATTCGGTCTTGTTGATATGCCTGGCCATGAGCGTATTAGATACCGTTACAGCGAGTTTCTTCCCGTTGCTCGCGGTATTGTGTTTGTGGTTGATAGTACCACTATCAGTCGTCAGATCCGCTCAGTAGCCGAATACCTCTACAATGTCCTGGCCAGCCTGGAGGCTCAAAACCGAAAATTGCCTGTTTTGATCGCATGCAACAAGGCTGATATGATTACTGCACTACCAAAGGATAAAATCCAAACCCTTTTGGAAGCCGAAATGTAAACACAAGCGCATATATAAAGAAAGCATGACTAAATATAATGATGCGTAGTAATCGTCTGCGTGGTACTCGTACAGCAGCTGTGGAGCAGCAAAACTCAGAAGGTGATGATCAGGAAGGATTCTTGGGCTATGAAGGAGAGGCATTCAAGTTTGAACATCTTGAGAGCATAGTAGACTTTGAAGTCTGCTCAGTTCAAAAAGAGGAAATTGATTCAGTGACTGGATGGATTGAATCTCTTTAATATATAGATAGATAAATATAATTTCTCGTCTAGGTTTTACAAAAGAAAGGAAGAAAGAATGAATGAAAAGACATGGTTATATATAAAAAAAAGAAATAAAGAAGAAGAAAAAAGGATGAAATATTATATGGTTTAGACACCCACTATCTATTTAACACGTATGATCAAGCGACTAAGAAGTGCAGCAACCAACGCCATCAAACCACCAAACACCAGTACGCTTGTTACACTCGACATAGGTGCATCATCATCTTGATTTTCTCCAGGAGCAGCAGCAGCGAATATTACGGATGATATGATGGCAACTGCAAATTGTGGAAAAACGATGTACATATTGTGAACTCCAAGGATCATTCCTGCATCGAACTCGTCCTGCTGATCTTCAAGGCGTTGAATGCTAGAAGTACTCGGAAGCTGTTGCGTGCGACTCCTTTTCTCATCCTCGAAACTAACATATTCACCGACAAGAGAGAACGGAACCCAAAGAACGATGGCCCATGGAATACCCATGATAGCCAATACAATCGTAGCTCCCATCACAGATCGCACCCATAGCGCCGACAGTAAGGCCACGGCTACGGTCAGATGTGAAACTGTATAGATATTCAAAAGCGACAACCAAGCTATCTTGTTGAAATAGGACAAAAGGGCAGGCAGCACAATTCCCGCACCTACAGACACAAGTGAATAGCACAACAGAGCAAATGAGCCTGCACGCGTGCCTTCGGTCCAATCCTGCTCTTGACCTTCTATTGGCGGGTTGTTGGCAAAGTAAATGTCTGATACCCACTGGGTACTGTAAAACAAAAAGGGAAACCATCCCATCCAAGCAAAGAACTGAGTATTGCACAAGGTTTGGATGGGACGAGGCAGGAAGCGGAATGCTCGCCATATGTAGGCTAGCGTGTGGTACCATGGGCTATGTTCAGTCATTAGTTTCTTTCTTTTTCTTCTGCTTCTGCTTTTGCTTTTTTAGGATTTAAAAGCATAACCAAAAAAAACTTACAGGTCGTCATCTTCTACTCTTTCAAGAACTTTCTCTTCAACGCTTAGACAAGTGATTGCCAGCGTTCCACAAAATACTGCAATAGCCACAATGCAGAATGCCTTGATCTGAGTATCTCCCATCCATGGTGCATAGTGCACGAGGTCGATGTAACCCACAAAATACCCCAGAACCATTGCGCCATTACTCATCCGTGCACTCCACGCATTTGCATACTCCTGCTGCCAGAGCGGCGGTATGTCAAGAATAAGAGCTCTACAGACAGCCTGTACTGCATTGAGAGTAAAGTCGAGGAAATAAAACGAAGAAACAGCAGCTATGATAGTATAAAAGTGCGCCTTTAAACGAGTTAGTTATTGTTGCAAGTAGAGTGTATACCTACTGCCTCAGAGGGTACTTGTTCATTGGCTAAGTAACGACCAGCAAAAGCGCCTATCTCTCTTGCGTATGCTACGCCCAACATCGACATACAAGTAAGAAATCCAGCAGCAACAATGAATGGTCTTCGTTTCCCATATCTAGATGTACATTTGTCGCTAAATGCACCGACAAGCTATATATAATCATTTTGCAAATCAATACATAGACGTACACAAATACACATAAACACTGGCACACAGAGGCACAGAGGCAAACACAAACACAAACACAGACACAAATACACAGACACACATACACACACGTACTGGTTGTACTAGAAGACCTGATAGTGGTCCGGCCAGCCAGACCAAGGCTGTCAGTTCCTTTGAGAGATCGAGTGATAATAAATAGGGTGTACCATACCTATTTTGAATAGGGTAAGAATAATATCATAATAATAACCATGTAATGTTCTATAAGAGCCATGACTTACGCTAGCTCAACCGACCCTAGAAGATTAAATATAATATAAGATAATAAAAGTTAATATAATCAAATTATACGAAAAGAATATAAATTCAATTATACACTTGCATGTAAATTGGGCTCCTCCCATGCATACTGTAAGGGCAAGGATTTCTTTCAGACTAAGGCCAGGTAGGGTCACATCCAGGTCTAATGAGCGAACATAGCCCATGGCTTGGCCAGTACTGTTGTAGGTCGAAGGGTCAAATGAAGACCTCCTTCGTTGGTTGGTCGGCCTACTCAAGGGTGGCTTCTTGTCTAATAGGGGCGTTTTTTGTGTGGGCTGTGACATTGTGAAGTAATAAGAAAGTATTGAAAAGAAGAGTGATGTTTTAAATTTTTATTTTTTGGTGGCGAAATTTAAAGGTGCTCTTATATTTATTTTAAATGCACTCACAAGAGATCCCATGCATGCCACCCACTTGAGCCGAGTGATGATTTGATGCATAGAATAAACCAGCTGATAAGCTTCATTGTCTTAATATTTGAATGTGGGGTAATAATAATTTATTATATATTAACCATTTTAATCAATAACAAAAAAAAATAACACACACACTTCCCTTACACACTTCCACTACATACTTCCACTACACACCATACACGCAAATACTCTAAAATTCATTTGTCTTGTAACAATATCATTCTGTAAAATATGTATGTATTTATGTATATATTCTCTTGCTATAGATATCTACAGTGTTTGAATTCCAAACACACCCATTAATAATTCACTCCTTTAATCTAAGGTCTTTAACTTTAACAATCACGCACACCCCCTTCATTACCCCCTCTCTATCTATTTCTATATATCTCTACTATTTCTTCTTCTTCTTTTCTTCTTCTTCTTTAAATATAATGAATTAAACATATTGTATACAAGGTGGTGGCTTTCACAAGGGTTTCTGTGCTATCAATATATGAAAATTGCTGTAGCTCTGGTATTCTTCCATCTCTCGGTTGGCAAGTTCAAGATCAGTATCAAAGTTGTGCTCAAAAAGAGGCCCCAGATTCTCAAGGACTGCGTCTCGGCTGTTAACAAACATATGGATTAGGTCATCCCTGAACAAAACGCCCAATCGCCCGCCCCAAAGGCCGATAGGTAAAGATCGGTATTTTTCTATCCTGTAGGACGCATCTCCAGGTACAAACATGTTTAGATGGCGTGCCAACCTTGGTTTAAATCCTCTGCTCTGGGCTGCATCTACGACTATAATACAAAGTCAATAAAATGCAATAGAATTTTTTTTTTAAATAAAATACCTTGTTCATTAAGTTTCTCCATAGTGGGACCCGGAGAGTAGATCATCATGTCCATTTCCATCATTTCAAGGTATCCTCCTGGCTTGAGTACTCTCCAGCAGTCTCTGACCACCTGAGCATATTGACGTACGGTTAACGACAGGTTCATAAACCGAATGTGGCAATAGTCTATTGATTTTTCCTCAAACTGTCCGAGACCCATGAGGACATTGTAGCGAATAAAAATGCAATTTGGTGGGATAGTGCCAGCGTCGGGAAACATGCTTTCCTGGAAGTCTAGTCCAATAATCTCTAATTCTGGGAAATCAGCCGCCAGATCAAGACACCACGAGCCAGGTCCACACCCAATGTCCAACACGCGTCCGTTCTCAAGACTTGCAAAATCAACTGGAGTAGGAAACTCGCTGTAAGGGCAAGATAAATAAACAAACCAGCAAGGTAGGATCAGTCAAAGGCCTGAATTTATATATATTCTTATATATATATATATATTACATACTCTTGAAAAGCAAGTTTTACAAGGTCATTTTTTAACTCTATACGCTCAGCTTCATTTTCGGATCTTGTAAATAAATAATATGGTTCGACTATGTCCGCCGTGTCGAGAGATAGGCGAGTAAATCCAGACGAAAGGACAGAAGATTCGGGTATACTAGGGCTTCTTCGGCTCTGGTGGCGAATGACAGTATTGATACAATGACGAGTGTCTTGTATACCGGGATCAGGTGGAGATATTCTGCATTCGCCATCTGTTGTTACCCATCGCCGAATGTGCTGTCGTCTGGCTTTGGAAAACATCCACCCAAGACCATTTCTACGTCTTGGGGGATCTTGTGGATCATGTGTGTTGAGGTCAGCTACACCGACTGAACGCGATCTATGTGGGCGGAGGGTTGTGTGTAGGCCAGGTGAGGGTGTACGCCGTGAGTGAAAGCGTGAGAAAAAGGAGTTGGATTGTAACCAATTCTGTCGGTTATCTTCAGAGTTGTGCATTTGTTGGTGAAAAATTGTGTCGGTTTTTTTTTTCTATGCTCTAGTGGAGCAAAAAAAAAATAAGTTAAAGAAGTATTGAATAAAGAGCGATCTTCATTAAACGTACATAATATGTAGTATTAAATCAGAAAAAGAAAGAGCACAGGGCAAGGACATTTTAGCATAGACACATGCTTTATTAGCTCATCGTAATAGCTGGGGTGATACTATTCCATGAGTCAGGGCTTGAAATAGAAATTAGTTGTTCACTAAACAGGTCAGTTCAGCTGAAACTGATCCGTTCTTTTCCCATCACATTTTGCCAGAGTAATAAGAGTCTCCAGACTCCACACGTCTTAAGCAACAACCCTTTCTAATTTGCAAATAATTTAATTTAATCCTTATTCGTAACACTGTGGCTGTATTATGTCAAGGTTCACAGTGTGTGAGGGGCGTTTTATTGTTCTTTTCAAGGAACAATAAGATTTGTGACATACCAAACACACACGCACACCAGCCATCCTTGTGTGTTATAACGCTCGTGTTACTTATTTTTATCAATGTATTTCACATGCAAGAATACAATTTAGTTCAATTTTATTTATTGTATTGATTTATTGGTGATTTATTTTTTTGGAATGATGATCGCCTTGATTTAATGAGCACTCTCGACAGCTGCCTGGGTCTGTGCCTCGGCCCGCTTCTTGACGGCGGAAGCAAGTACCTGAGAACGGAAAGAAAGTCCCTTGGTACGCTCAATGACTTGTTGGTAGATTGAAGTGACGGGTGTGTTCATGATGACAGTGTTCTAAAATAAATCGAAATGTTAGGATATTTTATTATAAAATAAAAACACATTTAATATTACCTCTTCAAAGTCAATCTTCGCGTCCACACGAGTGTCTCTGATCAAATTAACAATCCATTTCTCACCCTCCTCTTGGTTCAAGTTAAGAGTTTGAGACATGTCTCTATTATTTTAAAGAAAAATGACACAAATATAACAAATTAATAACCATTTACAAGCTCTCAAAACTCTATATATCCTACAAAGAAAAATATCCTTTTAAAGAAAACTTACTTGATATTAATCTTTTGGTGAATTCTGCAGTAAGTTTCGGAAATGAACTGTCGTGCGCTCTCCATAAAGTCTTCCTGGGTTGCAGCCAAAAAGAAATCGTTGCTCAATACATCTTCACATTCCTTAAGTTTCTTCTGTGCTCCTTCAAAGTCAAAGTGAATAAACAGAGCCTCGATAAACTCAGTTACGGGATCTTTATATTCGTAGGCTTCCTGTTCGATAATTCGTACAAGCTCCTTCATTTGGTTCTTTCTGCGCTTGTTGGTGACAACAGCGGTAGCTAAGTAACGCAGAATCCAAGGGCAGGATGTTTGGATGGTATTAATGTATTGGGGGGAGAGGAACATGTCGACGATGCCATCACGGCCTTTAGGGTGGTTGAAGAAAACGAAGAGCGACCAGTGGATGAGCCAGCTGCGCTGCTGCAATTGATGCAGTGGTGATGAAAAGCTCTAAATTGTTCAAAGTATATACATGTGAGACCAAGCAGTCGATAATATTCTTCTCCTACACTTATAATCATACACCAAGAGAAACATTTTTTTTCCTGATTATCATTTTCCCCTTACCTTTTGATCAATAGCCTCACGCATATTCTGCATTTCTTCCAATGCAGCTTCCCAGTTACCAGTCAAAATTTCGGCAGCCAACTTACCCCATGAGGCAGAGAATGCACGCTCAGTGTCTGTAGACTATATAGGTTAAAGAGGTTAAATCTCAAATAAGACAATATCAATTTTTTTCCAGGACATACCAGAACACGGAAATGGTAAAGCATATCTGCAGCACCTCCATAATCACCACAGCTGAACTGGAACTGACCAAACTCGTAGAGGATGTTGATTCTGTTCTCGGTGAGCTACAACACCAAAGATTAACGAGTTAGAGCTTGTGCATATATATATATGTATGTTCTTCTAATAAATAGTGAATCAAATCACTTTATCCACAAAGCTTACGTTATAGTTCTCCTTCAAGTAGTTGAGGTTTTGTGCCTTATCACTGCGAAGGGCAGCAATGACCTCTGGCTTTTCGAGAATGGTCATTACTTCCTGAACTTCACCTTGCAACTCTTCCAATCTGTTCAAGACAACCTCTCTCTTGTCAACAAATTCTAATTTTCACCATTTAAAATCAGTCTTGGCCAAAAACTCATCACCATCAGCCCCTCCTTTTTTTGTTTGCTTTATCTCTTTCTGTTTTGATTTTGTCATATTTTTTAGAATGGCGCACCTTGGGGAGTGTCCTCAGTGTTGTGAATCTTCTTGTACAAGTCCAAAACAAAATCGACCATGTTGGAGTTGTTAAACAAGTCATACTTTGCCTTAAGCAAATCTTCAGCCGGGTAGACCTATTTATACATTAAACAAAAAAAATCAATATAAATATATAAATATATATATTAAACAAAAAAAATCTAGAAAAAGAGTAGCGAATTTTTTGGATCGCGTCATTAGGATCGCACCTTGTTCAGCTCAAGAAACTCGATCAAGGGAAAGACGAGATGACGATCCAAAAATGGAATCATCCGCAGGGTCAAATCATGTGCGGCGGCCATCATTCACGTCGTTTGCTGAAAGGGTCAAAGAAAAGCCAGTGCGAGAGAACATATCATAAAAAAAACATAAGCGGCTCTTGAATATGGACTTCCCTGACGTCGACACAGTCACGAAATCATGGCAGGAAGAGGTAACTCACTTTTTTCTAGGCCACAATTTGTCGGTGTTCAAACTTCTGTATGTGACCTTCTTTCGTGTTTCAAAATTTTCCATTTTTTTTTTTGATTTTTGAAACAATATTTGAGTTGACTGGCCTAAAGGTGCAACTTAATGGCTGTATGAAAATGACTTTATACTGAATTTATATATGGTTATTAGCTTACTTATGGGTATGTATAATCGAAGTGCTTTTTGAAATTGTGTTTTTAAATTCAAGTAATAAGAATTAAGTAGATTAAGATAAACGAGTGGTCCAGTACTTGTACAATACGCGCGTGGCTTACAAAAATACTACTTTGTTCTCTACCATTTCCTCCTTTTTTTCCTTGTTTTATAAACTCCGGGAGGTTTGTCGACTAAATTTGAGTATTCTGTAAAAGACTGGTGTAAGCAAATGAGTGAATGATCAGGTGAACAAACGTGTTTCAATTTATTGAACAATTTGCGATTTAAAAGCTTTCAGGGGCGAATAACGTTCGTTCATGGTGTCACAAGCCACTTTTGGTTGGGTTTCTCTTTCTTTTTCTTTTTCTGAAAAGAAGAAAAGAGATCAAGGAGTTTCAACTATAAAATGGAAAGTTTCTGTCTCGTGCTTTCATGGGGCATGGATTTATATTCAGGTTCTAATTTAAGGTTGGTTGACACTGAAGAATATTCTTGGAAGGACTATTTTTTTTGATGAATGTTTTATACTCTAACGTTAAATATGTTCCTGTTCTTGCAGTTCTTTGTTTGCCTATAGAAACCCCCAATTGATTTGGAGAATCGAGAATTTGGTATCGATGGATTGTTTTGGTTAGCTTCAAACTATGCAAAGAGGTTTTATTCTGTCAATTTAGGGGTGACCGAGATTTAACCTCAGAACAAAAAACAAGCTTTCATAATATTTATGGAGAGTGTTTTCTTGCCTAGGTGATGTCAATCGCTTTTTTGAATGAGATCTACCGATTTTCTCCTTTACCCTAAAGGAATAGCTTGATATAGTGCTGTAAACAAGTATTAAAAGACTTCTATTATCATACATATTAGAATCTGTCAAGACCTATTATATGGAATAACTTGGCTATTGTACCTTACCAATTTTGTTGGCGATGGTAAATATAGAGAATAAAAGGAGAAAGGATAAAGCGGTTATTCTGATAAAATTTCTTCTTTTTGGAGGGTTTACTCCAAACAATCAAACAATGGTAATTTAGAGGGCTCTGTATTACTACTAGCGCTGATACATATGGCTTGGCTACATTATGGTAGAAAATGACTCCAAAAAAAAGCTTGGGCGATTCTAGTTTGCCAAGTTTTTGTCCACTGGTAAATAGATTGATAATTAGGTAGATACTTTATGAAACACCACCTTTGGTATAATTAAGACGTAGTACGGTACAATTGTACTTCACAGTCGACTACTCTATTACTTTGTCTTTCTTTCCAAAAAAAAAACACTGCAATTGGCAGCTTTGGATATATCTTCATTTAACCATTACAAAGCGTACATTTGATAATATAATTGAAAAGCTGGAAAACGTTTATTATGATATATGCAATAAAGATTATGTATTAATAGATTCTTTAAACATCTTCAAACAGCAACCAGTATGTCAATGGGTCTTTAGAAGAGCTCCGAATAAGCAAGAGATCATTCTACGTATACGACCTATTAAAAGATCTCTAGTTGTACTGACCCTTACTAGACAAAACTCACATATTGTAAAAAAAAATCTAGGCGAATGAGGAGCAGCTATTATTTCCCAATTTCTGTTAGGTTCCTTGATGGATGCCCATGCAAGCTTGCAAAAGCGCCTCATAAAATAGAAACGAATCGTTATAGGAGATACTGTAGTATGCCCTATTATAGATTATTAGTTTTACAATCCAGCAAATAGGATTTATAGGATTCTGGATCGTATTACATTTTATCCAATAATTTTTGTTTAAATATGATAAATCTAGGCCTTTTTAAGGTGCATCTATCATTCTTATGATTGGTCCAACAAATGCATAATGCTTTATATCGGAGTTTTATGATTTTATTACAGTGTTTTTAAAATAGATCGAGAAAATAAAAATAAAAAATAGAAATAGAAATAGAAATATAAATATAAATATAAATAGAAATATAAAGAAGTATGTGAAGAAGAGGTATCTGATGATATGTTGTATATTATATATATGTATATAAAAGTCCTATGGTTTTTTCGCTTAAAATTATGTGCTACTTTATACCCTTTGTATCTAAAAGGAACATACTTTTTTGACCATTAAACTATTTGCGAGTGTATATGTATTGATTAATTGATACCTTTTATCCAATAATGCACACATAAATTTTGTTTTGACAATACTATACCTGATATCTACTCTTGCAAGAATATTAATAACTTCCCTTGTGATTCTTTAGATCAATTGAGAGTTCTGATTAGCTTACGGATCATCTAGACAGCCAAACTATACACCGTACCAAGAAATATTCTATTGACACTTTAACTTGTGTAGCTTCAAGGGTCTATACTTTGTTGCAGGCATTTACTTTGGGCTATTAGATATCATACGAACAATTTCTGTAATCCCCTTTTAACACTATACTCTTGTTGTTTCAACAATTTAGCACTGTGAAAAATAAAAAGCAAGAGAAAGAAAAAGTCTGCATAAAAAAAAAGATTTATAATTCATTCATAGTTATTACTTTTTATGTCAATTTTGTCTTCTTTTTTTTCACAAAAGACCTCTTTAAATCCGGATTTGATATTTAGATAACTTGTAGACTCTTTTTATCCCTTTATACAACCTAGGATACTATTTTCGCTCAAAAATTGGCGCCTGGAGGGAAAGTAAAAGCTTGTAATTAAATACCAGTCCCAAGATGCCAAAATATGGTTCAAAATATCCTCAATTTAGTAATGGTGTATTAGTCTTTTGAAATTGAAGGTGACAATGGTACTTGAGATAATATCATGACCACTTGGAATTAAAAATAACTTGTATAATCTACTCTCGTGACTAGCCTAATAAACCAATAACGAAATGTAGCACCTTCTGTATTTAAAGTATAGCAAGGCCAATGAAATATATTACCGATATGGGGATGAGGATTTCAGAGAACATGGCTTGAAACCAATGTCCACAGTACCAATTGAATCATAGAGTTTATCATTATTTATAGTGTAGCCTGTGGTTGATATATTTAATTTGAAGAGAGACGGTACTCATGATATAAACAGCAATAGAGGAGGGTAGTGATATGAAATCAGTCAATTGTCTCTATAATTAAGTTGTTACTCAGCAATCTTGTCATTAATCTTCTCACTTGCCACATCCTTTTATGATTATGATTATTATTCTTGTTTCTTTTTCATATCCTTCTGACCAAATAGGAACCCTATTTTTGGTCGGTATTCAATTTTTAGATGGCTAAGATTTTCATGCATTCTGCAACTGGTAAATTCAGACTGTCATGGGTCCTTACAGGTTCTCATGGTTATATGAGCGTATATGTATATACTAATTATTATTAATGTCTGTCAAATTGAGTTAAAAATATTGTATATATTCATCAATACTTAAAGTACCAAAGTCTATTTTATTGTGAGTAATTCCATCGAAAACAAGGTATAGCCATGTTACTGATGACGCCATGAACGATTGAAAGAAGAAACGGGAACCCAAGTGCTCTGAACATCCAATAGCTCCGATTCCCCAATAAAGCAATTCTATCATCGTCGCAGAGTTTCTTATTTTTTTTGACCTAAAAAAGGTCCTTTAAGATCCTTCTTCTTTCTTTCTTTTTGCTTTAAAAAAATACAACAACCTATTGACCTTCCCAGACTCATCATATACTTTTATTGGCATATAAGCTACACAATTGAAACAGTTATACGATGCTCATTCTTAAACACAACGTGCTTTCTCCTCAAGATTTGTTGCTGATCGAAAAGGTAATTATTTTTATATATATAATATTTATCATTATATTACAGTCATTAAAGTAAAAAGAAAAAAAGAGACCAATTTGAGCTGAAATGAATATAAATATAAATATCTTAATTCATTTGGTTTGACAGCAATTCTTAAGAACACTTAATGGACACAGTCCGCCAATTACGGCTTATTTCAATGTCCTGGACCACAAACGAACACACGTCTATGGGCACCTTCTTGGTTTATTCGTCAAATTAGGTGTCAATAGTTCGTTGGGAGTAACCCCCTCCCAATTGCTTGATTTCTTCATTGACGCGGATGCTGCCTATCTCGAGACACCATATCACACTTTCTATCACGCTGCTGATGTGGTGACGATCGTGTTTTACCTCCTTACAGAAATGACGGCGTCCAAATATTTATTACCGATTGACATTGCTTCTCTTATGATAGCCGCATTATGCCATGACACCGGTCATGTAAGTTCTTGAGTAATCTCACAAATACATAAAAATAAATAAAAACAAAAACTTGCTGTGTCTCCTCTCCAAGGAGAGATATACAAAAAGAATCCCTGACTAAGAGAAGGAAAGGGGCGTGCCTCCTTTTGTTTACTTTATGTAGACGGGATACAATAATCTTTACCAAATCAATCTTCAAACCGATCTTGCCAAACGGTACCACGACCGATCGGTACTCGAGTCCTTGTCGGTAGATATAACGCGCGACCTTTTAGAGAAGCACCAGGTCCTCAAGAAAATACCGGGCGAATTGTACAGCAAAGGCTACAAACAGCAGGAAAGAAACTGCCTGGATGCGATAGAAAACATAATTATTGGAACGGACATGATATATCACTACGAGCACCAGAATAAGCTGATCAGCATATATGACAATCTCAGCAGAAGAAGTCCGGATAGTACCAGCAGCATTGATTCAATTGAACCTGACAGCAGCCCTGACGACACAAGCTCTAATAATGATGTTGATGTTAATAAGAGTGCTGTTGACGGCGACGGCGACAGTGATGATACCGGTGACAGTAACGGTGAAGATGGAAATTATAACCCGGTGCAACTGAACCCTAATGACCGACTGAGTCTGTGCGGTATTTTGATGCATGCAGCTGACATCAATAACACAGTTCGACCATGGAAGGTGGCCAAACAGTGGTCAGATTTGGTTATCCAAGAGTTCTTTCGTCAGGGAGACGCCGAACGGGCGGCTGGTCTGCCCATAACACCCAACATGGACAGGACTGAAATAAGCCAACCAATGATTAGTATAACATTTGGTGATCTCATTCGCCCATTCTTCCAAGCACTTGCGAATCTCTTACCGCCTGCCCGTGTATTCCTCGATAATATGACAGACACCCGAAAGAAATGGAGACAGCTCAAACAAGATTCGATTCCCTGGCCAAATTTCCCGGCTGCCTCTAGACGCAAATCGTATCCAAACAGCTGTCGGGTGAGTGTCCCGGCAGGAACTGTGGAAGTGATGGATGGAGAGGATCTTCAGAGACGCTTCAAGCGAGCCAAACGAGCCAATAGTAATATAGACAGTAAACCCCTGAAAGACTTTGGTGGTCGTTCACCATCGCCTTCCATACCGAACTGGTATCGTCGTAAGAGCGACCAATGCATTATAGACATCTCACAGCGTTATTCTCCAGTTCCAGAGATCCATTAAGTTTCTTCTTTCTTTCTCTCTTTCTAGGGAGCCTAGTTCTCTTCACAGTCTTTAGATTTTTATTCTACCTGTACATTTAACCCTTATAATGAATCCTGCCCCTCTTTTTAATACATGTATTGAATTTTTACTTTCTTAATAATAACAAAAATAAAAACGAACATTAGATACACACCAAATATATTATTTTGTCTATTGGTGAAATTTGTAAATACAGTACACTAAAGTAGTCGATACCATTTGTTGGCTACCGCCAACAACAATACCAAAATTATTATTATTTCTAAAGCCCCCCTTAAAACACAAGAGGGGCTCGCCACGTTCTCCTTATCCTAAACACTCCAAAACCTGTTCAGAACTCCAAATTCAAAAAAAAGTACAATTTTTTTTTTGGTCAAACAGTGCGATAAAAGAAAGGAAACAAAATATGCTGTACAACCCATTTGGGTCTTTTTTTTTTTGGTCTGTCTATCTATTGCTTTGATCTCTGCCTGCTTTGTTGGCGCGAATTTTTTATATAGATTTTTGTATTTAGAGGCTCAAAAATGACGAGCACATGGTCAAAGAATTAGATGTATATATAAACCCATTTGCCACCAACCTTTCTTCTCTCTTTCTTTCTTTCCCCTTTTCCTTCACTCCTTCCGAGGCATGCACTGCCAATCTGTACTTACATTAGAATCCGTCCTCGAGAACCCCTCTAGCCATCTCTTCCATTGTTTTTCAACATACCTGCAGCAATCCTTTTGTCATGAAAACCTTGTGTTCTGGATGGCAGTCCAGCAGTACCAGGATGACGCGTCTGCTATATTCAACTCCTTAGACGATCCCCTTGTCACACATCCAGATCTCGACACTATATGCCACGCGATCATAGCTACTCACATATACCCTAATGCACCTCAAGAGATTAACATCCCCTGTGACATTCGAGACGATATCCTCGCCCGAGTACGCACTCAGGACTACACACCCACATTATTTAGACCTGCTGCCGATGCTGTGCTTGAGCTTATGCGCGCTAATTCGTTTGTTCCTTGGACAGCTGACCTCGATCCACCGCCGGTTCCTGTACTCCAGACGTCATTCTCGTTTCCAGATCGGTGGCATCTTAAGCAGTTTATTCGATATTCTCGTACCAGCTTCAGTTCTCTCCAATCCTCATTCGATTACGAGCATGATACCACCCATGCATCAAACCTGTGCCCTTCACAGACCATTCATCCAATAGAAATCCCCTCATCTTCATCACCAGCACAATCTCGGTCTGTGTTTAAGCGTATGAAGCGACGCCTTGGTTTATCCAAACCTATTGATCCCACTGGAGTTAAATTCACTGCAGAGAATAGTAAATTTAGTTGGATAGGATTGAAGAAATCCCACCGATAGACAAAAGCAAGAAAACATGCAGACACACACACACGTACACACATTTATATATAAGTGTATCAATGTAAATTAACTTTCATGTATTTTAGAATAGAATAGAATATATATATATTTATATAAATATATAAAAGAATTATGGTTTAAAATTGGTAGATCCAAAAATGAACCAAAACTTGATTTTTTATTATAAAATAAAAACAACAATAGTATATAGAAAATCTAAAATACCTTTATTCGTTGGGTAGAGATAGTGTGTTTATATGAAAGATTAAGATACAAATTAGTAGCAGAACTAAGTAGAATGAAATAAAAGAAAAAGTGTGAAATATGTAACAATTTTTGGAAATAATATATATATATATAAAGGTTAAATATGAAGGCTTTAACGAAATACAGGAAGGTTAAAAGAAAGAGAAAAGGGGTTATGGAGAGACAGGTATTATACAGTAAAGTTAGACGAGTCAACTGTTTCATCATGGACCAAAGGTGGGTCGTGGTACTGTTTTGAATCGGCTGTTTGGATATCCAGCTGTGAATCATCGTTTGAGTGACTTATTTCATTACGAATATTATTTTTCTCTATAAAATCTTGGTAAGCTGGAGATTGTATGGGAGGATTTTCTGCACAATTCGGTAGATAGTAGAGATTTACGGGAGAGTATACATCGTGAGAGTAGTGCTCAAAGCAGGTTGCAAGCATTCGAACGGCCATCTCAAAAGAGTCGAGCGTAGCTGGATCAAGATCTTCAACACGAAAGGCAAGAATCTGTTCAGTGGTGTTTGGAAGAGCTTCGTGCTGAAGAATTAAATCAACACCACTAACATTGGCTATTTCTGCCAAATCACACTGGTTTGACTGTTTCTTGGACAGAACTGAGTAAGATGGATTCTGTAGTTTGACTGAAAGAGAAAGAGGCACAAGAAACTTGATCTCTAGTCTCTATATGTACCATTATGTGTTAAAACATATTAAGATTAGTTTCTTCAGCTAAAATATATGCATACATATGCATATACTTTGGATTATATTTACGTTTGAAAAACGAGGTGATTCGTCGTATATTTGGAAGAGTATATTTCTCCATGCACAAGCTGTTTGAATTGGATAGCCAACAGAGGTAGTTAATCGTCCATAACCGTCAGACTCAGAGTGGAAATATAACTTGATGTTGAACTCGGTTTCAATCGTACGATGATTCGCACCCTGTTTTCCAATAACTTTCCCTATCTTCTTTGTCGATAGTAATGCGCGAAGAGTGACGAGGTAATGTCCAGGACGACCCTCCATCATTCGTAGGATCTTTTGAAAGTTCATTAATCTTAGCGTTTCAAGAACAAGGTACGAAGTCAGCCACGTGAAAAACTTGGGCGGGTTGTCAATCAGAGACACCGGACTATGGGTGGGTTTCTGATTTTATTTTTAAATATTTTATTATATTAAATTTATAATCGAATCAAATCAAATCAAATCAAATCAAGTTATATAATTTTGAAGACTGAAACATAAACAGAGGTAGATCAAGGCTGATATCTATTCTATAATATAATGATGTTATTTAAACAGTAATAAGGATAACGATATTTAAATGAAAGCATGTAACAAATGCATTTCTTCTGTGTTACTGGAGGGTTTATTAATCCAAAGGCTATATCAAAACATGCAAGCACAACAAGATTTGTTACCTAGAGTTTTCTCACACAAAAAAAAAGTATCGCTTAAACTGGTATTCATTTCATAAGAAAACTTGCTTCCTTGTAATGTATAGCTTTAGTCCAATGATCTCATTCTCAACTGTACATAATCTACTTGTCCAACTGCTACTTTTCAATCATCTGTACATGTTGTAGCTGTGTTGGGATGAGTCATATTTAAACCCCCGGTCTCTCCAATAATCCCAAATCCATCCAGCCCTCAAACCTTGGACTCCCGTCAATCTTTCTCTTTCTTTCTCTATTTCCCAAGTCTCCATGTCGCCCAGTAAAAAAGTCGGAATTCTCGGTGCCACTGGAACTGTTGGCCAGAGATTCATCCTCTTGTTGGCTGACCATCCCGTATTCACAATCCATGCCCTCGGAGCCTCTTCTCGCTCAGCTGGAAAGGCATATAAGGATGCCGTCAAGTGGAAGCAGAGCCGTGCTATCCCTGCAAACGTCAAGGACATGACCGTAAAGGCCTGTGTTGCCGAGGAGTTCAAGGATTGCGATGTTGTATTTTCTGGACTTGATGCTGATTTTGCCGGTGAAATTGGTTAGTAAAATAACATATCATAAGCTCTGAACAAAGTAGGTTTTGACAGGTCGAACAACATATATATATATAACTATTTAGAGATGGCATTCTTGAAGGCTGATCTTGCCGTATTCTCCAACGCAAAGAACTACCGTCGTGAACCCACCGTTCCTTTAATCGTCCCTACCGTAAACACTTCTCACTTTGACCTCATTCCTCAACAGCGTGCCCTCCACAACCTCAAAAAGGGTTTCATCATCACAAACGCCAACTGCTCTACTACAGGTCTTGTTGTTCCTCTCAAGGCACTCCAGGATGCATTTGGTCCTATGAGCCACATCCTCGTTCACACTCAACAGGCCATCTCTGGCGCTGGTTACCCTGGTGTGCCCAGTTTGGACATCTTTGACAACGTTGTGCCTCACATTGGAGGAGAGGAAGAAAAGATGGAATTTGAAGCTTCAAAGATCCTCGGTGGTGTCACAGCAGACGGCAAGGAATTTGCTCCCCTGAACAACATGACCGTCTCCGCCACCTGCACCCGTGTGCCTGTTCTTGACGGCCATCTCGAGAGTGTCTCTGTCAAGTTTGTCAACCAGCCCCCTCCCTCTGTCGAGGCTGTGTATGAAGCCCTGGACAAGTACACCTGTGAAGCTCAGAAACTCAAGTGTCACTTGGCTCCTGAGCACGCTATTGTAATCACTAAGGAGAGTGACAGACCCCAACCTCGTCTGGATCGTGATAATGAGAAGGGCCAGGCTGTCACTGTGGGTCGTGTTCGCAAGTGCCCTGTGCTCGATCTTAAATTTGTTCTTCTTGTACATAACACCGTGCTTGGTGCTGCCGGAAGTTCAGTATTGAATGCCGAAGTAGCTGTCTCTAGAGGCCTTATTTAAAAAATTAAATAAAAAAGAAGAAGAAGAAGAAGAAAATCATCATATAATTTATATAATTAAAATCCTATCCATTAAACTCTATCTCGCATCAAAGCCAATTCAATAAATGTGTATGCCTGTTTAATTTTCATCAATCCTTATTATCCATTATCCGTTATACTTTTTGTATTTTGGTGCCTTTCTGTCAAATTCAGGGTCGAAATAGCAGTCACTGCACTGTCTGTCCAGGCAGCTCTGCTGCCCGAACAACTCCAAATTCAAGCCAACGTGGTGATTATTGAATCCTCCCTTTGTACTGACCATAATGGTATGTGCGCATAGTGGATGCAATAAACATTAGTTGTGGGGACTAGCACCAAGGATGGATGTAATAGGGACTGGTCTGGATGGGTGAAAAAAAAAAGGATTCAATATGTGTTGGTGTAGGGGGATATGATGCTGACCCCCCCACATTACACATCCCATCTGTGCATGCATTTATAGAATAGCATGACATTCATCTTATTCTTCATAAAAAAATCCACTTTATATTAATCCGCTAATTCCAACTTTCTTAGGCCGACGCTTCGACTGTTACTATCCGCACCCGTAAATTCCTTACCAACCGCCTGCTCCAGCGCAAGCAGATGGTAGTGGATGTCATCCATCCCGGACTTGCCAACGTCTCCAAGGACGAACTCCGCGAGAAGCTCGGCAAGCTCTACAAGGCTGAGAAGGAACGTGTCTCCGTCTTCGGTTTCAAGACCCACTTTGGTGGAGGAAAGACCACCGGTTTCGGTCTTGTCTACGACACCGTCGAGGCTTTGATGAAGTTCGAGCCCAAGTACCGTCTCGCCCGTATTGGCAAGGCTGAGCCCGGAAAGGGTGGCCGCAAGCAGCGCAAGGAGAAGAAGAACCGTGCCAAGAAGGTTCGCGGAACCAAGAAGGCCAAGGCTGCCAACGCTGGCAAGAAATAAGTTGTTTTACCAGTGTGATTTATGCCCACTTTGTGAATATATTTCGGCGTCTTTTTTCTATCCTCTTTCTATATTTGTTTGTTTGCTGGTGATGATAATGTTGTGTGAGTGTGTGTGTATATGAAAGAAACCATAATTGTTAAACCAAACAAAAAAAAAAGCCTGGAATGATTAGTGAACAAGCGATTGTATAAATAGAATCAAAAGGAACTTGACAAGTGTTTTTACCCGGATTTGAACTCTGTCTGTCTACATTCCCATACTCTTCTTTCTTGCGACGATTATATATCGATTTCTGTATATAAATATACTCTTTGCGTCTTGTCTGTTTATAGTTTCATTATATCCAATTTTCATAGTAATCATGGTAAATATCCATGTTTTTTGCTCGCTCTTTGTAGCAGCTACTCTTGCTACCACTGTGGCTACCAAGCTACTATCAGTCCCATTTCTTGCTGTCGATCGCAAAAATTCGGGTGTCACTATTTGGGGAAGACAAAGGATGGGTAACACGATTGGATCATTTCTTGAAAACGTTGACCTGGCAGTGAGTAGATTGTTAAAATCTAGATCGTATTGGACTAATTGAATGACTAATAAGTATAATTTTGTCTATAGTATTTGATAGACGTTTCTTTCGGTACTATACTATACTATGATATTTAATGCGTATTTACTCTTATCATAATTATTACTGAAAACAACCGGTTATCGGATCTATTAGGCACACCACCACAGTCATTTACGCTACTACTAGATACAGGCAAGTCTGGCATAAAATACATGAGAACATTAAGGCGGGAATGATCTAAACCATGTTTAGGCTCCTCCACTACTTGGGTTCCTACCAAAGGATGTGGTCGTTACTGTGGCTATCCTTCCCACACACTAAATATCTCGGATTCAAGTACATTCCGCCCATCTCAGTTGGTCTTTAATATTCGGTATGGCGATGGCTTCTCCAATGGATACTATGCCAAAGTAAGTTCCGGTCTTATTCGTCAAATTTGCCCTATTATACACCCCAATTGAAACCAAACAATTGTCATCAGGATACCATGAGCCTGAACGGCGTCTCTATTCCCAACGTGGTAAGATTATACATCTCTAAGCACACGCACCCTCTTTTAAAATATATTGTTGAATAATAAAAAGGAACTTTTTTGTTTGTTTTGGTTTTGTAGCATTTTGGTGTATCTGATTTTAATGATGGTGAACTTACCATGGATGGTGCAGGTATACCATATCCACCAAAACCGGCTTTTATTTCAGATTGTATATTAACTTTATGAAACGTGCGTGTGTTGATGTAATCGTCCTTCTAGATGGAATCATGGGCATTGGTAAGAGGCAAAAATATCCAGTACTTTTGTATATGTTTTGGAAATTGGTTTATTCAATTAATAATTCTCCGTTTACAGGACCAGACAATCTTACAGTTTACAATAACCCATACGGGGTTATCGTTCCTACTGTAGTGACAACTATGCACAGACAAAAAATTATTGATAAAAGTATATTCTCGATTTACTTTCACCCGGTTGACCATCAAGATCAAGAGATTGACCGGATCAACGGAGAGATTACTTTTGGTGGTGGTGAGCTGCCTATGTTGCATCGTTCAATAAAACCACTATTTTTGACTTGATTTATTTTCTTTCTTGCTTTTAGTGGACATGAAACGTGTAGATGGAAATATAACATATATGCCTCTCACCACCAACACGGATTTCCAGGTATAGCACACAATTATTGTGTAGAAAATACCTAATTAACCCTTTGCGTCTACAAATAATAGGACTACTGGGCAGCCAATATAGATTCTATTTCGATTAATGGAAAAAATGTATCGATTGATGATGGTCTTTCCGGTTTATTAGATACTGGATCTACGTTGGTGCTATTACCTGAACCAGTAATTACAGGAATATTTTCTATTGTAAGAGGTACACGACGCGACTATTCTGGTCAATATCTCGTACCTTGTACCTCAAGTGATCTCCCCTCCGTGACCCTGACCATGGGTGGTACAGATTTTACTTTGGAGCCTAAAGACTATGTTATTACAAGCGGTATAGTAAGTATAATTAGTTTCAGTTTGTTGCTATTATAATCCGAAGATTTACTTGTTTGTTTTTAATTAGCTTGAAAACGGTTCCAATTTTTGCTATACATACTTTCAAGAAGCCCCTCCTTTTGTAGGTGCTATTCTAGGCTATGGATTTCTCCAACAGTTTGTGTCAGTTTATGACAATGAATATAAAAGATTGGGCCTTGTAAAGCGCTCGTAAATAACTACCCTCTGTATCCCAGCTTTTTTATGGCCATACACACGTATTAGTATTTTCTTTAGTGCCAATGAAAAAGGCAGTTTTATTTTTATTTTATTTTTTACCTACACGTTCTTATTGCATAACACTCGTTCTTCCCAAGTCCGCCTTGAATAACTTGGGACGTCCATATTTCCTGGTAGATGGTAAAGTATTAACCGAAAATGAGTATATCTACCAGAAAATAAGAAAATTCATAATTTATAGTCATTTTGACTATTGTTTCAATTTACAGAACATTTTCCTTAAAAAAAGAGACATTTATCTTAAGTCCTTTGCATCTCAATACAAATTTCCTAGGTGACAAAGAGTTGTTTCAACTTTTATAAAACTTTATAAGTACTTCTTGACAAGAATAAAGATATAATTATCTTTATACATATTCTCAGAAATATGAACGATGTGCTTTTTAATAACAATAATTTCATATAAATCAGATTTCAACATTAAAACGTTGATATTAAAGATAACAAAACACTTGCTTATTTAATTTATTTTCTCTAAAAAAAAACTCTTAAAGCTATCTTTGGCTCATAACAATTCTTCATGATGTAAACAATCCTACATGAAGTACATCTTTATTCTAGTGACTTTTTCTCAGCAATAGTATTGTTGATATAATGCTTGTTAGAGATGTTTGCAATTTATTTCATAGCATACTTCTATTCATATTATACATATCTTTTACTAAATTGTTTTAAGATTGATTCTATTATTGAGTTTTTATGTCAATAATTTAGAAATAGAATAACATTCCGACAATCGTAAAACTGTTGTTAATATGTATGCTGCTTTATTTGTTTAAGTATTAATCGTTTAAATGTGTAGTTGAGAGTGTGCATTTTAGTAAAAGAAAAGGTTTTGTTCAAGAAGTATAGAATGTCTGTTTCAAATAAACAATTCAAAAACAAAAAAAAAGAATTGACAGTCATTATTTCGGTTAATACTTTATCATATACCAGGAAATATAGACTTTCATACTTGACTCAGCAGACGGAAGAGGTCGTCACGAATCCCATTAAAAATTTTAGTTCATGAGCAAATGGACTAGATCGTCATCCCCTCTTTTGTGTGTACAAATGTATAGAACAATTCAGACTTCAACCTTTCCTACTATTCGGGTAGGCTCCCTTTATGCTGACCATAGTTCTCGTCATGTCCGCCTGGCTAGTGCAACAGTCGGCGCTACATTCCTCATTCGCACCTTGCCACGTCCAAGCATTTCGCTTCATACTGTCCGGTCCTTTCAAACAGCCCAGATGGCACGATCTATGCGACAAGGGTTCCCGACAGAGTTGCGTGTATTGCGTGCAGAGGGACCCAAGCAGGCTAGGGAAGCATTAAAAATCGACGAAAAAGAGACAATGACGACACGCGCCGCTCAACTGGCTAAAGAACAAGCCGCCATGCTTACTGCTGCTTCGGAAGCGGCAGGTGGATTAACTAGCTCTACTGGTACAGGTTCAGCAGCTGTAGTAAATTCCGTCAAGCCTAAGAAAACATTATGGCAAAAGGTCAAAGCAGAGGCTGTGCATTATTGGCATGGAACCAAATTACTTGGACTTGAAGTCCGTATTTCATCCAAGCTTACATGGAAATTACTCCACGGTAATAAATTAACTCGCAGAGAAGCCCGCCAGGTAAGTTTAATGCTTTTCCTTTAAACACGTTTGTTTATTGTATTTATTGTATGTAAATGTACACATTAGCTTCGCCGTACAACTTCAGACATAATACGCCTTGTGCCTTTTGCTGTGTTCCTCATTGTTCCTTTTATGGAGTTATTACTTCCTGTGGCATTGAAACTATTCCCTAATATGTTGCCTAGTACTTATGAAAGTAAAACAGTAGAGGTAAGAAGTAAAGATAACAAAAAGGTAGGTTTAGGCCAAGATTCTGATGGCTACTTGTTTTTAGGAGGAGAAAAAGCGTAAACTGTTAAAGGTACGACTGGAAATGGCAAAATTTTTGCAAGAGACCATTGCAGAAACTGGTTTCCCTGGATCCGATTCTTCACAGGCTGCCCAGGAGTTTGCAGAATTCTTTAGAAAGGTAATAATAATAGTCTTTTGCATGAAAAAACTATCATTTCACCGACCATTATGTGACTTACATGTGACTGTATTTATGTAGACCCGTATTACAGGAGAGCAACCATCTACAGAAGACCTCCTGAATGTGGCGAGACGGTTTGAGGATGAGTTGACATTGGACAATTTGACTCGTCCACAGCTGGTATCAATGTGCAGATATATGAACATCAATGCTTTTGGTTCCGATAATTTTCTGCGTTTCCAAATTCGTAACCGTATGAGACAAATCAAGGCGGATGATCAAGTAGGACAGAGCGTTTTTGTGTAAATACAGCCCGTTTGTTGACCCGTGTTTTATAGGTCATTGTGGCTGAAGGAATCGATGATCTTACAATACAAGAGCTTCAGGCCGCATGTGCTGCCCGCGGTATCCGTACCATCGGAACTTCCCCTGGAAGATTAAGAGATGAACTGTCCCAGTGGCTCGACCTCCATCTTAATCACCATGTACCCTCGACTCTCCTTATCTTATCCAGAGCCTTTAGTTTTACTGACCGCCATATGACCACCGAAGATGCCCTCCGAGTTACCTTTGACAGTCTTCCGGACAACTTGGTAAGATGAGCTTAATCACGTGAAGGATAAAAGTTGATAGAGTACCTTTGTGGATAGGTAAACGAGGCTGAGCTTCAGGTGCTTGAATTGGTTGGCGCAAGCACTTACAAACAGAAGATGGAAGTCCTTGAACAGCAGCAAGAACTTATTGAGGATGAGTCTGAACAAGAAGAAAAGGAGGCCAAGGCACGACGTGATGCCAAGGAGGCTATCGAAGCACTTGAGACTGAGAAAAAACGAGTAGAAGAACAGTTAAACCAGCAAGAGGCAGAGAAGAGAGATTCGTTTGACAAGAATGAAAAGGTACTTTGGGAAAGTTATTGCTGCTCAGCCAAAGTCTAATAATTGGTATTCTGTTTTTGTTTTGTTTTTTTTTAAATAACAAAAACAACGACGACGATAATAACAATAATAATAATAGTCTCCTGAAAAGAAAGATAACGTAAAGATTGACGAACGCCTGTCAGAAGAAGAACAGCAGGAACTTCAGGAAGCACTTTCTAAACTTCGAACAAAGGTTGATTTGCTGGAAGAGCGGGCTCAATTGAATGAAATCAAGTTCCACCATGAAGGCTATAAAGAGGTAAATGTTACAATAGTTATAATCAGATTTTCTTTATTGAGAAAGTTCCGGGTCGGCACAAGACATGTAACACTTTCTTTCTTTTACTTTTTTTTTATAAGCTTATTGAGGACTTGAAAGATGCCACTCACCGAGAGGCTGACAAGTCTACGATGCGCCTTGGAAAGAAACTGGAAAAGATGTTAAATGATATTGACGTTGAACTTGATACCCTTGAGAAAGACCAGAAAGCACAGGAGCAAAAGGAGACAGTTAGTTAGAGCAATCCTTTGATAGGAACGCTTGAGTTTTATAGAAGTACCGTATTGAGAAATGCTTTTACAATACAGTACAATACAATATACTGCTCCACTATCCAAGAAAGTTCTTAAAGTCGGGTGATTGTGCATGTGCAACCCAATGGGTACCACATCACAATGTAATTAATCTCAATCCTAACCCATTAGAGATGGTTGGTTAGTCAATAATAAGCCAATCAATCGAGGCTTCTGAAGGGGTCAAGTATTTGTGCCTTTCTACTTTGTAGTCGGTAGTCATCATCTCAGCCTCTGAATGGATACTGTTTACCAATGAACAGGGCTCAGTTTATGTGAATCCTCTCCAGGCTCTCTTACTGTGCGCCACCCAATGTCTTTAAAAGGCAAATAGGCAATGAGCGGCACTTTAACTGAAAAGGGACAAAAAAAAACATTAAATAACTAGTCCTGAGTAATCTTTGTTCTCATCACTCTCTTTTCCCCCCCTTTCATCCCTTTTTACTTCAAGCAGCTGGATTGCTTGCATACTTTTTACCGCCACTAATCCATTATGGTTACCTATGAAAAAATTGTAATTTCATAAACTGGAATAAAACTCAAACCAGCTTCAGTAACACATTTTTTTACAGAAATCCCGTGTATCAGAGACGCACTGGTCCAAGCTATATATTTTTGTAGCCGTTCTCCAGTGTATTATTATTGTTGGACTCCAATCTGGAATTTGCTCGCAAAACACTCGTCAGGCAGACCTCCTACCCGAACCAACCTCAGATAATGCCTTGCAGTCAGTAACCTCGGGAAACATACTACAAGACGCAGCAGACAGACTTGGTAGAATAAAATGGGAAAACATTGCTTTCATAGGTTTCCAATTCTGGTTTGTAGTCATGGCTCTTGATGCGGTACGTTCATTTTGTCCGAATACAAAGGGAAGGGGCAAGTCTGGGCTTTCAGCTTAATTATCGTATTCGTTATATTTGCATCTCCGCCGCGCCTTTGACCAATCAGACAGTTTATCAAAACACCGCAGAAATTTTGGCTTTGGCCATCTTTAATGTAATTTGCGCTATTCTGAGTGCCCTTCAGGTCATTGACGGAGTAAGATGGCTTGACAGAATCAACGCTATAAAACCTGAGATCGCCTATCCACTGTCGATTGCCGAAAAAATCGAAATATCGCTTTCTGTCACCACCCTCGTATTTGCTTGTATCATGTCGTTTTTGAGTTATAAAATGTCGAAACAATTTGGCTGGAATATTTACAAAAAGATCGGCGCTGATGTCAAAATACAGAGTAAGTCAAGTTCTATAAAACGTCAAATAATACATGGAAAAAAGAATCCTAGTCTTATGAAATGTATTTCATTATAGAAATGTACCGCATGTTCCAGTTCTTTGTGCTTGCTCTCAAAATCGATATATTCATCGAGTTCTTGGTCTCTTTATTCTACATTATCCAACGTTCGCTCGCAGACTCCAGGTCAGATGAAGGCTCCCTTGAAGGCGCAACATGGTTCCAGGTAGTCTGTACAATTCTTATGCTGCCTATGCTTTATTTTGCTCGAACAGCTGTAAGTTGATAATAAAATATATATTATATAGTGGCTTTTACTGATTATATATATATATATTAAAAAAAAACAAACAAACAGGGAAGCACAGAGAGCAAGGGCCGCATGATCACCTTTATTGTTTTCCAATGTATTGTCTTGGCCCATTTTGCCCTGGTGTTTAGAAAAACCTTCCAACCTAATAATAATTGGTACACTTGGATTGTCTTAGGTAACCATCAACATTTTACGATTACAAAATGAATTACTCGCCAGTTATACTTACCTTTCATTTAATCATTTAGTCTGGATTGGTATTGCAATGGATGTGGTTAGTAGTGTATTTTTTTATCTTAAATATTACAAGGATATATATATATATCTTATTGACTTACACAACATAACTTAGGCTACTTGTGTGCTTGGATTTATTTGTATGAGAAACTTTGGTGAAGGTCTCAAGCCTTATGTCCAACGCGGTGCCGCAAGTAAGCAGGATATCGAAACTTCGAACAAAGCGCAGGAAGACAACTGGCAGATTGACGACGATTAAATCAAAGGACACTATTACCATATAGTTCTTGAGACTGCCTCAAGAAACTTCCAAAAAAGGAAGAAAAATAATTGTACAAATCAACCTATATACATTAGAGCCATTTCGTCTGTTGTATAAAAACAAACAAAAAAAATGTTTTGTTTCGTCCCGAGAATACAAAACAAGTCCATTACAGGTCATATATTCATTCTATTCTAATCATTCTTCATCTTCATCTCTTCAAATAATAATAAAAACATCGAATACAAATACCATCATACAAAACCACAGTAAAAGAGTAACACAAGGTGTCATATCTGACGTTTATCAAACAAAGACAAGCTTGAGACAAGTTAGGTTTCTTCTTCTAAGAAATATAAGTTACATGTATATCGAATTAGAGTAGGCAATATAAGCATTGGGGCTACTATGCTATCCTTTTAATTTATATAATTAAAACAGGTAAAATTATACTTTCAAAAGAATGCTTAATTATAAAATACCACTGTTCCACAAAATATGGTCCCACCAAAAAAAATAATTTCGGCCTCTAAGAATAAAGAATTCCTCAAAGAAGTTAGAACATATCTTCAACATACAATTATTACATGATAGTATTTGTATCATTAGTAGTGTCAATAGCAGTCCTCTCTTCACTCACTATAGCTTTGATAGCTTACCGATCATGTTTGATGGAGTTAAGATTCGAACGTCGAGATGGTCAGTAACTCTTGTCCACTATACCAGCTGATATGCTGAGTAGTCTATTCTACCTGAATTTTTTCTTTTTTTACTTATCTCTTTAAAAGCTGGCACATGGACTGCGATATATAAACCAAACCCAAAATTCTCAAGACATCTGATTGCTGCATTTCTAAAGATTATTTATTATATCTGTTTAAAAGCGGTTTTTTTAGTCTCTCATGTGCTGCAGACGAATTGTTTTATAGCTACTACATTAGAATAATTTTTATATGTTCTTTAAGTTTGGATGATTATGTTTCTTGCACTCTTAAAAATAATTTTCATATTGAACCGACTCATGTCAACAGCGACTGTAATATTTGTTTCATAGAAAATTTCCAAATATATATATATATATATATATACACGATTAATCCCCACTTGTAATAACCAGCTCTCACTTAAAAGAAAACATGCTTTGCTTGATGAGAAATACATTTAATGTTGGGCTCGACCAATAAAACAAGAGAAAGAAAAAAGTGATTTTTTTCGGGAGTTTCTAGCTGTTGTCAAAACATTTCAGAGTGTGAGTGTATATGATACTCCATCTCGTATACACTAAGTAACTTGAAAAGTTCTACGACAAAAACATTCCATAAACTTACAAAAATTGCACCAATACTTTAATTGACTAGCTTAAGATTCCATCAAGTGTGATGTAATTATAGCGCTTTTATCAAAAAACAATTGTCTTCATTAGTTTGTGTGTGTTGTTTGACAGTTATTTTATCCGTCATTATGTAGTTAGAATGGTGGCGGCTGTATTTGGAGCATTTGGCTGCTACTTAATTAATATTAAAAATTTCGACGATTTTTTCCTGCTATCTTCTTGTAATAATAATAATAATAATAATAATAATAATAATAATAATAATAAAAAGGTGCAAGAGGATATATACTGAATGGAATGAACTATAGGATGATATGGTTTTTAAAGATTTACTAATATTAAACTGCATGGTATTATCAAGCTAATAAGTTATATCAGAATTTATATTTGGCTTTTATTGCAAGATTCTCAGCTATAATTAATCTCATCATCTATCGTAAGAATAAGAGCTAGATTCTCTCTCAATCATATAGAGGAAGGGGTACCTCTTACGATGAGCCCTATGTAATATGCCTTACAAAAAGACCTATGCCACATATCTCAATGAATAAGTATATGTATTATATTAGTCATTGAGTTTTTAAAATTGAAGAAAAATGTTTGTTTGTGATCATGATTTTATAAGCAGTATATGCATCCTACATGGTCCTCCAGGAAAGAATATCGGTGTTCCACATCTTGTTCTTGTGCTTCAAAATTTGCTGTAAAAAGAAAGAAAGAAAGAAATCTAAAAGTACGTACCTGCAAAACTAAACATGTAATAAAATTATACCAGTCGATCAATAGAAACCTAGCTAAAATTATAGTAACGAAGCTTGGGACATCTCACTCATACAACACGGTGGTTCAGCTCACCAGAGTGAAGGAGGACATGATGCCTTTAAATCCACGTCTTCTAATTCTAAATTAATATTTTTTAAACTTTTGGCCTCGTACTCAGAATCCTAGACACCACCAGATTCAGTCAGAATCCCGAAGGCTAACCTGTTGACTTGAACCTTGTATATACAAAAAAAGAGCAGGGCAAAGTGTTGAGATACTTTGTTTTGTTCTATGTGTTAGAACTGTTACTTATCGTAAAAAGAGTCCAATAAAATACCCGCGTATCTTTACGAGCTCACTGGCTGGACTGTACTTTTTTTTTTTATAAAATCATACAAACAAAACACGTTAGCATCTTTCCATGTCAAGTTAGTAATTAGTAAAATGCTAATTAGCAGCAGAATTTCTCATAAAAGAACAAAAAAATAAGATTTTAGTCAACATTAATGTGCATGAACATGTTAGCATTAGCCATCCTCCTGTTTTTTTGAATACATAAAGTTAAAAATATGGAGCGCCTCTTTAAAAATGAAAGGGCGAAGTATGTTCAGCTTGGTTTACGATACCGAAAGAGGCATATTCAAGCTGGCTTTCATATACTGGTGGACCTTACATTCATTACTTACCTGGTATAACCATAGACAGACCTAAAGAAAGGTATGTAAAATAAACAGGCGCACATACATTTGTATACTTTGTTTGTGTCAATACAGATTGAATCATTATTTATTTGTAATGCAAGCTTTTTTTAGCCACTATGAGAAAAGAAATGGTGGTCCAGAGGGCGATTTTGAAAAATGCTTGAGGTTTTAAAAAGTCATCCTCTGAAGCCCATCCTCCTCTTTTTTTTTTACCGTAGTGTAAAGCGAAATATCACTCTTCCCAGGGGCTAGAACTGTACTATAGACATTTGCTTATATTCCCTGCCCTTTACATATGTATAGAATAAAGCTGTATTTCGAGCTTTTTACTTAAAAATATATAAAATAAAACACAAGAAAGAAAATATATAAGCAGAGTATGCGCCTCGATATGTATCTGAGGTAGTAGAATTACTGACATTTGTACATAAGACACTATTAATCTTATGGTATTTCTTTGCTAAATATTTCTTAAAATTACCCTAGAGATAAACACTTGTATAAATCTTCCGGTTACTCTTTACTTGCAAATAAACTTAAGCATATTATCCCTGATTAAGATCCCCATAAGTTGGATTTCTGTAACTAGGTCTCGTAGTAGCTACACTTATGCAGATTAATAATGTCCTATTAGTTACTTTGCCTTTATATGTACTTAACTCATAGTTGAGAATATGCTACAGAAATCTGTATATCTCGACTGTCTCAATATCTAAGTATCCAAGCTTTTTCTTCAATCCATAAATGCTTGGCTTTTTGTCTTTTTTTTCCCAGATTCATCGCAGCCAATAAAAATGGAAGTTAAATTACTACTACATCGAAAATCGACCACTAAGCTGGTAAAACTCCCAATGATTATATTAGCTTAATCATATTTGGATACACTAGAGAAAGGAAAGGGAAGCGTTTCTCTTAAAATATTCCCATTATTATTAAGGGCCAGAGATACTAACAGCTGTCTGCGCTCATATCAAATTTCTAGAATGTTTTTAGAATAGACAGCCTTTTATAGTGTAATGCAATTGGTGCGAAAGGGCTGAAAAGATTTTTAAAAAAAAAATCAAATAAAAAAAATCAAACGTCTCTGACTGGCAAGTCTTCTTCTGTTGCCAATTAGATTGAGAAGAAGGTCATTATTTTGATGAAAGAGGTAGTATTATGAGCAGTTATTTATATCTTATATGCGCTTGAGCTAATTTTATTTATTTATTTAAAAAAACAAAGGTGGGGACAGGTAGAAGCTATTTTTATTAGTTAACCTCCTTGTAGTCTATATTTCATCTTTAATTAACCTTTTCAGTTTATTCACATTAACAATATTAAAAAAAAAGTTACCCTTTTACTCTAGTAGCACACGGTTATAAAAAGCCCCGTTCATTTCTTATTCTCAGTGTTGGATATCTCATACGCTTTACAGTTTAGATTGTATTCGTTTGGATAGTGCAATATGAGCGTATATTAATTCCAATACTTCAATGCCAAATTCTGGGTCGGTCTTCAAGACAAAAAGGAAAGGTCCTGTATAGTGTGGTTTGTGGAACTTTGTATACACATTTTCTCTTCTCTGGTAACATGATGTATTCTAGTACTATGAGTATATTAGTTATATTTCGTTTATTTATTAATATATATTAGCTATTTTACAGCCACTGAACTGATACCGTACTTAATGTTCAAAGAGTTAAGAACTCTGATAGATACTTAAGTGGATAATATACTAAGCTAATAGAAGAGGTAGTAGCTAATTAGGAAGAACGAAGTTTTTTGGTAAATTAATATACAGTATATTATAATCAGGCAAAGGTTAATTGTTTTATTTCTTTATGTTGAATGAATGTCGATAAAAATATTACTATTAAGAAAAAAGTCGAATAAATACCAGATCATAAATAAAATTACTATGAAAAAATCAAACTTATTGATTTACTCTTCCTCTGTTTTTTTTAGTAGTCCTTTTCTTCATGTAGCTTAAGAATTAGTTTATAAGAAATATATCATTCAAAAGAACAAGGAAGCTTTTTATTTATTTCCATTTAGCCAAGTATATTTCAATTGTATATTAGTTTATGCAGAACTCGGCATTTTTGCAGTTGCTTTTATTTAAGATACGCTTATAAACTTAACTCTATTATACAATCATTATGATTTAGCTGGCCTGACTAAAATTGATACACTCAGTATAAATATTAATATTAGTTGTGTATACTAATCATATGTATTCAAAGTTAGCTTAAAATATAGGCGTGTGTTTGGGATAACATTTTACAACCTTTGCTTGGAAAAAAGTGTACTTAAATATATTAGATCAAAGGTTAGAGTTGACGTATAGGACATATGTTGTATAGTTGAATCAATAAATTACATTTAGATTTAAGGGTAGAATGACTATTACTTCCGCTACGATAAAGTACATTAGATTGGTTGAATTTAGATTTTACGGACTAAACACCAATGTCTGTTTTTG